CCTTGGAATTCGCGGCATCGGTTCGAACCCCGTCTCGTCGAATACAGGGCATGTCACGCTCCGAGTTTGCTCAGTACATTGCGCGCGTCGTCATGGCTGTTTTTGGCCTCAGCCATACATACAATACCAAAGTCGGTAATGATTTTGTTCGTGGAGTCTCGGGAGGAGAGAGAAAACGAGTCAGCATTGCGGAAATGGTCCTTGCTGGCTCGCCTTTTACGGCCTGGGATAATAGGTTAGATGTTTAATTTGATGATGCTCACATACCGAAGCTAAATTTTCTACTAGTACACGAGGACTTGATGCTGCGACAGCTCTCAAATTTGTCCAGGCACTACGGCTGTCGTCAGAATTCGGATCACACGCCAATGCTGTCGCCATTTATCAGGCTAGCCAAGCTATCTACGACATCTTCGATAGAGCAACCGTTTTATACGAGGGTAGGCAGATATACTTTGGACCTGCCAACATGGCTAAGGACTTTTTCGAACGACAAGGGTGGTACTGCCCACCACGCCAAACGACGGGCGACTTCCTAACATCCATCACGAATCCCTTAGAACGGAGAGCACGGAATGGAATGGAGAATCGAGTACCAAGAACTCCAGAAGACTTCGAACGATGCTGGCAGGAGTCTGCCGAATACAAAACACTCAAAGTCGAGATCAAACGATACGATCAAGAGTTTCTAGAACAGCGACAGGGCGAAAGCGTTGCTCAATTTCGACAACAGAAGAACTTTAGACAAGCGAAGCACGTCCGTCCAAAGTCGCCGTATACGATAAGCATTCTCATGCAGGTGAGGCTGAATACGAAACGCGCCTATCAACGAATTTGGAATGACTTTGCAGCAACACTTACCACGACTGTCACGTATCTCATCATGGCAGTAATTATCGGATCCATATTCGTAGCGACTCCGAACGCCACTGCTGGATTCTCTTCCAAAGGTTCAGTATTATTCATGGCTATATTGCTTAATGCTCTTACCGCCATCTCTGAAATCAACGATTTATATGCTCAGCGGCCCATCGTCGAAAAGCATGCATCTTATGCTTTTTATCATCCAGCTACGGAAGCTGCTGCTGGGATCGTTGCAGATATACCGGTCAAGTTTGCTACGGCCACAGTCTTCAATGTGCTAATTTACTTCATGTCAGGACTGCGTCGAGAGCCAGCCCAATTTTTCATCTATTTCCTCATCACGTATATTTCCACTTTTGTCATGAGCGGTATCTTCAGGACAATGGCTGCTATCACTAAAACTGTTTCACAAGCCATGACATTCGCCGGTGTGCTTGTTCTTGCTCTCGTTATATACACTGGATTTGTCATTGCTGTACCGCAAATGCATCCGTGGTTCAGTTGGATTCGCTGGATCAATCCTATCTATTATGCATTCGAGATTCTAATCGCGAATGAGTTCCATGGGCAGAACTTTACATGTTCCAGCATCGTACCTCCGTACACTCCACTTGTGGGGAACTCATGGGTTTGCGCGATCACAGGTGCAGTTGCTGGAGAGCGGACGGTCAGTGGCGACGCATATATCGCAACCACCTATGGATACTACTACTCTCATGTGTGGCGAAATTTTGGCATACTCCTCGCCTTCTTAATTGCATTTATCGCAATTTATTTCATTGCGACAGAGATCAATTCCTCTACAACAAGTACAGCAGAGGCTTTAGTCTTTCAGCGTGGCAATGTCCCTGCATACCTTCAGAAAGGTGGTAGGCAAAGTACGACGAACAACGAGACAATATCTCATGTCAGAGATGAGCAAGAAAATGACATGCAAGCCATTGAGCCTCACAAAGACATCTTCACCTGGAGAGATGTCACCTATGACATTGATATAAAAGGGGAGAAACGCCGTCTCCTAGATAATATTTCCGGCTGGGTGAAGCCAGGTACTCTGACGGCCTTGATGGGTGTTAGTGGTGCTGGAAAGACCACACTTCTTGATGTTCTGGCACAGCGTACAACTATGGGCATCATTACAGGCGACATGCTTGTCAACGGTAAACCGCTGGATCCTAGTTTCCAACGGAAGACAGGATATGTTCAACAACAAGGTAGATTTCGTCCAAGCTAGTCGTCTACAATACCTTCCCACGCTAACGCCCTTGTTCAGACTTGCATCTTGAAACAGCTACTGTTCGAGAGAGCCTTCAATTCAGCGCTATGCTTCGACAACCTCCATCAGTGAGTAAAAAGGACAAGTACGTCTTTGTGGAGGAAGTGATAAAGATGTTGAATATGGAAGACTACGCAAACGCAGTAGTTGGCGTCCCAGGGCAAGGCCTGAATGTTGAGCAACGAAAACTATTGACCATTGGCGTTGAACTAGTTGCCAAACCCAAGTTGCTTCTCTTCTTGGACGAGCCTACTAGCGGTCTCGACTCTCAAAGCTCATGGGTTATTTGCGTTTTTCTTCGCAAACTTGCAGATGCAGGTCAAGCTGTACTTTGCACAATTCACCAGCCCAACGCAATCCTTTTCCAAGAGTTTGACCGGCTTCTGTTCTTGGCCAATGGCGGCAAAACAGTCTACTTTGGCAATGTCGGACGCAACTCGCGTACCCTTCTAGATTACTTTGAGTCTAATGGTGCCCGGCCCTGTGGCGATAAAGAGAATCCTGCTGAGTATATGCTCGAGGTCGTGAATAAAGGTGCCAATGGAAGCGGCGACGACTGGCATTCGATTTGGAAATCGAGCAGGGAGTTTCAAGAAACACAGGCCGAGATCAGCAGACTTCAACACGATAAGGAGAACGAAAAGTTGGTCGGGGATGGCAATGTCAGAACTCACTCTGAATTTGCCATGCCATTTCTGGTGCAGTTAGAAGTGGTCACTAGACGCGTATTCCAACAGTACTGGAGAATGCCTAGCTACGTCTTCGCCAAGTGTATGTTAGGCATTGCGGCAGGCCTCTTCATCGGTTTTACATTTTATCAGGCGAAGCAAACGCAGGCTGGCATGCGTGATGTCATGTTCTCTGTCTTCATGGTCACGACAATCTTCACTACCTTGGTGCAACAGGTACGCTAAAAAGTCCTGGTTGAATGCTATATAAAGACTAACCGTTTGATACCAGATTCAACCACTTTTTATAACCCAGCGGTCTCTCTATGAAGTACGCGAGCGCCCCAGCAAGGCCTATTCCTGGAAGGCATTTCTCATCGCAAATATTGTCGTGGAAATCCCTTATCAGATTTTCACAGCGGTGCTCATATATGCATGCTTTTATTATCCGGTAGTCGGTGTTCAGAGCTCTGATCGCCAAGGCCTTGTTCTTCTATTTGTCATCCAGCTGTTTGTCTATGCCAGTGCTTTTGCACACATGACTATTGCTGCGCTGCCGAACGCCCAAGCAGCTGCGGGTATTGTTGTGTTACTTACGATGCTCAGCACTATCTTTAGTGGCGTCCTCCAGTCACCAACGGCACTCCCGGGCTTCTGGATCTTCATGTACCGCGTCTCTCCTTTTACGTACTGGATTGGCGGTATCGTGTCAACTGCTCTTCATCAGCGACTAGTCACCTGTTCGGCTAGCGAAACTGCAATATTCGACCCCCCAGCTAATCAGACGTGCGGCCAATATCTGGAGCCGTTCTTACAAATGGCTCCCGGGCAGTTGCAAAACCCAGAAGGCCTTGAGCAGTGCCGTTATTGTGCATTTTCAAACGCTGATCAGTTCATGTCGACGGCTAGTATATATTGGAGCGAACGCTGGCGCAACTTCGGCATCATGTGGGCATACATTTTCTTTAATATTGCGATGGCTGTCCTGGTATACTATATATTCCGAGTAAAGAAATGGAACAGTGGTGGCGGTTTCTGGGGCTTGTTCAGGTCGCATAAGAAAACGGATGCCCGAAGCAAACCTCAAGAGAGAAACAAGGAAGCAGTGTAAATAGTGCTGAATCGAATGTCTACCTTATGTGTGGATTCAAATAATATCCTCACATACATTATGCTGCAGTCTCCGCAACTTAGTGTGGCTGATTGCAATTGCTTAGCATATTGGGCCCGGTTTACAACCCGATTCATTTTCATACACGTTCAACTACATCAATATACCGCAGCAGAGGATGTGTGCTCTAGCCAAGGCGATTTATGGGAGGTAAAGGGAGCGACTACAGTATGAGTGGGCGATAGAGAAGCTCACGATAACGGGTAGGCAAAAGCGACGTGCTACTCTGGACAATTTGCAGTCATGGAGGAACGCGCGGAAACAATCCAAGAAATACAAGCAAAACATCGTTTGCTACATCCACAAAGCGTAGGAATGTATATCTATCGTCTCGTATTACGGTTTCCATCACATATTCTCCGCATCATCAAGACCTCGTGCTTGGTGACAAAGACGCGGTCCCCGAAGCTAGAAGGATCACCAGTAGATGCCGTTGGGTCACCGGCCAAACAATCCATTAGGTCTCTGACCTTGGCACCCTCCCACTGGCCACTATTGGTTGTCCAAAAGACTCGCTTGATGCCAACAGAATGCATGTAAGAAACGCAGCGATAGCACGGACGAGACTCGGCGATTCCCCTAAAAGCCTGCTGCTCAGCCTCGACGACATCCTCCTCCGGAACGTCCAAGACTTTGCAGACTAACTCGTCATGAAGGGAACCCGTGCAAGCCGGCGCACATATCTCATCCACGCCGCTCCTCGACTGGGACGCATCGGAGTTGAGGATTGCTTCAGGTACGGCAACAGGGCTGCTGTTTTCTTCGCATGCGGTGGAATAATTGACACGACGAGCCACATAAATGTCAGCGCCGATAAGCTTGGGGTGCTTTGTACGTTCTTTAACGCTATGGCCAGAATCCTCGACACCCTTCTTCGAGGTAAGGGTGTATCGACCTGACGGGCTTCTTAGTCGATTGTGCTGTAAAAGATTAGCGAAGGCTACAAACTTAAGCTGATGCGGGCGGCTGACCTCGTGGAGATGATGCTGTACAGCTTCCTTCTTATTTGATTTACGTTTGTTCAATATGTCACGGTGATGTAGTTCTCGGCCAGCTTCGTGCTGGCTAGCAAGGAGGGCATTGTCTGAGGTACATGCTGGAGGCTTCTTGCTTCTCTTCACGTTGCTTCTCTCCAGTCTGTTGGTGTTTGCTTTATTCTTGCTCTTGTTGTCGTTCTTGTTCTCGTTCTTCTTGTCCTTGTTCCCCCCACTCTCCTTCGGACGCTGCCGATGGATATGATGACGAGGCTGGAGCGTCGCGTCCAGGTGTAGGGGTATCAAAACGCCACTCGTCGGTCTGAGTCGTGCCGGTACCTTGTTGAACATGTTGCCCCACTGCCTCGAGACAGACTCTCTCGGTGTAGGACCGAACGGCGTCACGTAGTTTGTGTTTATAATCACCAGGTAGTTTGAGCGACGGTTTGATATAGGACACGGTGCTGGCAGCAAGGGTGCTCGATGAGGCGAGAGCAGAGTGGATGGCCATCATCTCGGAGTGCATGCTGAGGCCCACGGTGCCGTGAGGCCCGGCGCCGCGCGTTGTACCGCCGACGGTCTCGAAAGCCGTGAAGTCGCGCTTGGCGCCGGGCGGATTCTTTGTTCTGCTATGGGCGTCGGAGGCGAGAGGAGAGGCGCGAGAGGAGAGGCGACCGGTCTTGAGAGCGCCGCCATCGTAGCCGGGGCGGTAATCATTGAAGCCCTGGCCGATGACCTTGCCGCCCTTGACGACAACGCAGCCGTGGCGGAAGTGGAGGGGCGAGAGCGCGGCCTGCTCGAGACAGAGATTGAGATAGTAGTCAGACTTCATTTTGTTCTGCGGGCGATGTTGAAGTTTCTTCCTGGTAGGAGGACGGGTAGATAGCGCGATATGTCGATCGTTTGCTTGGTTCGAGTGTGCGGGGGCCGTGTGGGTAGATAGGCGGCAGAAGACGTACTTTGATCAAGCTCTTATGGCGGATCAAAGTTGAATTGATAGAGACGAGTCTGCTGCAAGACAGGAGTATCGAGTGTGTTTGTTTGTGTGGTTTGTGGTTGAATGCTGGAGTGCGTTCGAGGGTCTGGCAAAGCTGGTAGAAACTTGAAGGAGGTGGAGGTTTCCTCAGTGGGATGAGGCAGCTATCTCCATTAGAGTCAAGAAGCCAGTCACACCTAGTGCGGGGCTTGGGGCTCGTGCGCTGAGCCGCATGTCACTGAGCTTAGAGGGGCATTTACCGACCTACCTAGCCCGCCTACCTCCTACCTACGGAATAGGTAGTCTATTGGCGCTCGGGCTGTTTAATTCTCTCTCTCTCTCTCTCTCCCTTTTTTTTTCTAGAGATATATATAATATAATAATAAAAAAACAAGAAGAAAGACTGGCCAGTCAGGATATCGAGTGGTATCAAAGCTCGTGACGTGATGACGAGAGGCGCGCTACAAGTGTCCTCCCTCCCTGATTGACTCACTGTTTTGGAAAGTGCCGCCGACTAACTTGATTCCTACCTTACCTAGGTAATTTGCGGCGGGCGTCAGATATCAGGAGTTAATTAGATGCCAGATGCTGGGTGCTGGTCTGATGTAAGTGTGTGCGAGTTTTGGTATACCTACCGCTGCAATGCTGCAATGCTAAGGCACTCCACCGAGGTAGTCTATATGAAAATATATATTTATCGATCAACCATTGAACAAGCAAGAGATGCTGCTATGGTTTTTAGATCGTGTTGCGCTGTGTGGTGTGGTGGTGTTGTGATTGTGATTGTGTGTGTGGGAGTTGGAGTTGGAGATGCCATACATACATACCTACCTTCTTGACGTACATGTACTGTGCATGCACGATGTTGTCATTTGATAAGGTACCTACCCCTACGCAAATCCCACCCAGCAGGACAGTTACCATCACCGTCGCCTTTATGGTGGTTATGCCTCATCGGGTATTCTTGTCTTGCCATTTCTTCCCATTCCTTTGTTGTTATTTTTCTACTGTATTTCATGTATTCGGAAAAGTTCGTCTTGGAGAGAGTCAGCCGACCACAATCACATGCTAAGATGCTATCTAGCGCCCCCAGCAATCCGCCTGGTTCCTGGCCAGCAAGCAAACAAACAGACACGCAAACAACCAACCATGCTCTGAGAACAGGTAATTGGCAATGGGGGGGAGAAATGGGCGCGGCGCAGGTCTCTGCCGATCAGCATCAAATCTGGATTACCTTGCTTGGTGTGGTGTTAGTCTACGCGTAGGGTTGCAGCGTGTAGGTGCCACGGGCAAGGCCGCTGACCTGCCAGCCAACCATCCCCCGCAAACCCTCCTGGGACCTCCAAGGACTCCCCGTCCTTCCTCTTGTTGTGGCGCCTAGAGGGCCTCGAGAGGGCACCCTCAGCAGGCCGGGATGCCTAGCGAGTGCGTCCGGGCTGTGTTGTCACCTGTGATTCGTGCTCCCCGCGCAACATTAACATCCTGCTACTCTCCCAGCCCAGCTAGTAGCTAGTGTAGTCTTGCCCAGGCTCAGCCAGGTGTTCCTGGACTCTCTCCGGACCATTACTACGCAGTACAGTCTTCTTCCTGGTAACCTGGCAAAAGCTCGCCACGGGATGACGCGCGCTGGCTGGGCTTGGCTTGGCTTGGCTTGGCTGGGGCCTGCTTGTTGAATGGCCATCAGGTTGCTGTACCGTGTGTACCTCAGCACACTACGGCGATGGTGAAACACTCAGGCTGGCCGACTTTGGCTTGGGGAAGCGATGCAATGGGCCAATTCGCTGTCGGCAATTGGCAGTCGGTGGTATGGACACGGCGCCTTCATAACTGGGCGGCCCTTACCAGAGCGCAGTCGTGGCCTGTCATTCCCCAGCAGCCGGCGTCTAACCGTTGACTCCCGATCTACGTATTGGTACTGTAGGTCATGTTGATTCGTTCATTAGATAACCTGCGGCGGCGGCGGCGTGTCATTTCTGCTGTGTGCCCTTAGGTAATGGGCGACCTCCCGCAGGCTGCCCTGTCATTCTCCCTCTCGCTCGCTCGCTCGCTCGCTCTTTGCATCCATGGATGTCTCGTGGTTCCAGGAAATGGAACTGCATATGGAACCGGAAGTAGAAGTGGAAGTAACGTGCCAGTTTCCGTTCCCATCCATGCAGCACTTGCCCTGGCCTAGGTATGTACATGTTCTGGAGGATGACAACCCAGCAGCTGATCGGTCAGAAAGGGGGAATGAGGGGGCCTCTTGACCCTGTCCACGTCCCTGATGGGGGAAGCTGCGCCTAACAGCATTAGCTGAAGTACAGAATAATCTCTGTGCGAACGTTAATAAATCGTCGTCATTGCTGATCCCCTGCTCATTTCGGTCCTTTTTTTTTTTTTTTTTTCCCTCTCTCTCCTCTCTTCTTTTTGCTCTCAATGTCGTCGTCGTTGTCGTTTTGCTAGCATCAAACACTGGCGACCGTTGCGCCGTTTTGTCTCTACGCACGCCAGACTGGACCTGTTGCCATTATGGGCAATAACCCGAGCGCCTTAGAGACATGTCTGAGCAATGTCTGCGGGAGCAGAACCGGCTGCGTCTCGTTCCCCAGTGATCCTCTCTACCAGATCAACTGGGTTAAGCCATACAACCTCGCCGTCGATGTCACCCCTCTTGCCGTGGTGCGCCCAAACACCGCTCAAGAGGTGTCCGGCATCGTCAAGTGTGCTTCCACTGCCGGCGTCAAGGTGCAGGCTAAGTCTGGCGGCCATTCCTACGCGTAAGCAACTGTCATTGAAGAGCCCATCTGTGCAGGAACTATCCCATTCATGTCCATACATCTGCAGGAGTCAAGACCAGCGATCAAAGACTGACCTTCGGACAGCAACTTCGGGCTCGGAGGAGGCGAAGATGACCTTGTCGCAATCGACATGGTAAACTTTCAGCAGTTCAGCATCGACAATACAACCTGGCATGCCACCATTGGGCCAGGCACCAAGCTGGGTTCCGTCGACGACAAGCTCCATGCTGCGGGTGGTCGTGCATTCGCCCATGGCATCTGCCCCGGCGTGGGTGTTGGTGGCCATGCGACAATTGTACGCCCCGTCCATTCGACACTCGACCTCTTTGTCTTTGCCTAGCTAATTGTTTATTGTTTTGAAGGGCGGTCTAGGCCCCATGTCTAGGATGTGGGGAGCTGCTCTCGATCATGTTGTGGAAGTTGAGGTCGTCACGGCAGATGGCAGCATCGTCCGCGCCAGCGACCAACAGAACTCTGATCTCTTCTTTGTAAGTCCATCTCGGATTCGCGGGGGCTTTTCAAACCCAGTCCGTACGGCTAACATCTTTGTGCAGGCTCTCAAAGGTGCCGGTGCTGGGTTTGGCGTAATCACCGAGTTTGTGTTTAGGACTCACCCCGAACCGGGAGATGTGGTGCAATACTCCTACAGCTTTACCTTTGGCAACGGTGAAGACCTCGCAAAAGCTTACAAGCTATGGCAAGATGTGATCACAGACCCAGACTTGGATCGCCGCTTCGGAACGGAGCTGGTCATCTATCCACTCGGTGTCATTATTACTGGCACTTTCTACGGCACAAAGGAAGAGTTCGAAGCAAGCGGCATTCTTGATCGCCTCCCTCAGAATGGCAATGGCAGTCTCGTTATCACCGATTGGCTTGGCTCGCTTACTGAATGGGCCGAGCACGAAGCCCTGTATCTCTCTGACACGCCAACGGCCTTCTACTCCAAGAGCTTAGCTTTCAAACCAGAAGATGCCCTTTCAGATCAAGGAGCAGTGGATCTCTTCAATTACGTCGAATCCGCTGACAAGGGCACATTGCTCTGGTTTATCATATTCGATGCCAGCGGTGGTGCTGTCTCAGACGTTCCCATGAACGCGACTGCCTATGCTCATCGCGACAAGGTTATGTTCTACCAGTCCTATGCCATAGGTCTCCTTGAAGTGTCCGACAGTACACGCGCGTTTCTGACCAACTTCCACAACCAACTACTCAAAGCGGCACCTGCGGATGTTTATGGGACATACCCTGGCTATGTCGATCCGGCGGTAGCGGATGGCGCAGCTCAGGCGGAGTATTGGATGACAAACTTGCCTGCGTTGGAGACGATCAAGCAGAAATGGGACTCTGCGGATCTATTTCACAATCCTCAAAGCGTGCGCCCGGCAACATCATAGGAGATGGCCATTACTCTCAGAAATGAAGCTTTGATGACATGAAATGTTGCCATCAATGATATCCCTTCAGCTCCAGCTTCTATTATAGTCGTCTTTGATAACAACCCAAGTAGTGTGAATCACGCAATGTCAAGTGCACGTTTACGAATTTGAGAGATCTTCCGAGCATAGGCAGAATCGTGAATCATGGTATGTGGACCCTTACATGTGAAACTGCATCCGTTGTTGTTACCGAAATGTCTCAAATACAATGTCCTATCTCTAGAGCAAGCTTGGCACGGAGCCACGAGCCCACTCCGAACGGAACACCAAGGTTGGCGATCACGACCATTCTGGAAAGAAAAGAGAAAAGAAGAGATATAAAACCAAAGGGAAAATACCCCTGAGTCCAGTGGTATTGGTCATCATTGCTCAAACCGGCCGATTTGTTCATTCGAACGACATTTGTTTCTAAATAACCATAGAGAGGCAGGACATTGTACAGTAACATGAACACATGCCAATTTTACAAGAATAATAGTGCTGACAATTGGTAAACTCGCTGCTCGATGCATATGACAAAACCCCTGGGCATCAACAGATTATCGAGGACATGTTAGGCTTTATAAATGTTTAATGTAATCAGACCGTGGTGGAGCCAAATTCGGGACTTTCCTTTGGGGACCACATATCCGGGATTCACAGGTCCACTTTTACCCTTGCACGTTTCCATCTGCTTCATATCTATTCTTATTTTGATGCAAGATGTGCATCCGGGATGAATCACCTAGCATCCGTGGGGGTCCGCCAAGTCTTTCAGGGGCCATGGTATCCTAGCCTTTTCATCATCATCCACATTCTCAACAACGCTGGTATGGTCTTGTCGGACTTGTCTTGAGAAGACCATGTGAAGGCTACTTGAGAATTCCGCTTTGTGAAAATGAACGCTTGTATCGTAATTTAGGTAAGAATTGATTGGTGATGCATTCGCGCCATTGTATGTCTCGGGATCAAGGAAGACCTGGGTCTTGGTCACACTTGGCCCATTGTGGAGCAAAATTCGCAGTGTTCCACCAAGAACCAAAGTATTCATATAGATTCGTTGGGCTCTCTTCTTGGCACGCTATTCTCGACAATGAACCCACCAGGCCTAAACTCACCATGTTGCCATGCTCGACGTTCACAGGGGAGCGATCGGCCGCGATTCGTAGATTTGCATGCGGCAAAGGGATCCGGCACTCAGATGCAGCACCGCTGCTCTTAGATTAGAAGTCGATGTTTCGTGCCAGACCCGCACGTATTGATGTCTTGGCATATGCCGATCGACAACCCAAGATACAAGCATGCTATTAAACCAGTCCATTCCCAGAGATGTGCGAAGTTGCTCTCAGCATAAGGAGGCTTAGAGACCCAGGAGGTTACGTGGCTGGCCAGCTGTGAATAACCTTTCAGAGTTCTAATACTTGCAATACATCCGCTCTTCTTTCTCCGTTGTCTGTGAAAACGAAACAAACTTCAGTCACTCATTCTCGATTTCGTTGGTCTCCGGAAGACCTACCCTCACACTAAAACAGCAACCTGGAACAATATTCATTAATATAGGGTTATTTCTCGGGGGAAATCCTTAGAGCCATTTTGCAACAATGGAATCCGGCCCACCCCAAATACCGACGCCAACGCAACTGCAAAGGGAAGAAAGACGACACAGTCACTCCTCAGCGACGAGCTCGGAAGGCTATGGTACAAACATTCATCGCCATCCAGACGACAGTGAGAAACAGGCCCAGCCCTTCGACAACTATGATCCTCGCCGCCCAAAACTACGCCTCAAGCAGCGGATGCACCACTTCACATGGGCATGGTTTACCTTGATTATGAGCACTGGAGGCCTATCGCTACTGATATTTGCACAACCTCATCAATTTCCAGGATTAAAGCAAATCGGCCTTTTCTTCTATATCCTGAACATCATCATGTTTGCGCTCGTGGTGTCCGGAATGTTAAGCCGCTTCTTCCTCAATGCTGGTGATCTGAAGAAGTCGCTCACACATCCTCGCGAAGGCTTCTTCTTCCCGACATTCTTCCTGTCCTTGGCGACAATCATCACAAGCACTCATCGATACGCAATTCCAGAGAACGACGTCGCGCTTAACTGGGCCGTCCAGACAGCATTCTGGGGTTATGTGATCATCACGCTTATTCTTGCTCTGGCACAGTATAGCTTTGTGTTTACCCGGCATAGCTTTGGGCTTCAGACAATGATGCCAACATGGATTCTACCCATATTTCCCATAATGCTGTCGGGGACGATAGCATCTGTCATTGCGGACACCCAGCCAGATATTGCGGCTGTCCCCATAGTTGTAGGGGGTCTAGCATGTCAGGGACTGGGCATATCTGTGTCAGTCGTCATGTATGGACACATGGTTGGCCGGCTCATGCAATCTGGTATGCCGAACCGTGAACACCGGCCTGGGCTGTTCATGAATGTTGGCCCGCCGGCTTTCACTGCCTTGGCATTTATCGGCATGGCAAACGGTTTACCTGATAATTTTGATCCCAACATGGACGGCATTCTTGATGTGGCCATGATCCGCACCATGGCTGTCATTGGAGCAGTATTTCTATGGGGCCTGAGCCTGTGGTGGTTTGGCATTGCTCTTATTGCTGTTCTCCTCCAACGACCCAAGTACTTCCATCTCGGATGGTGGGCTATGGTATTTCCGAATACCGGTTTCACATTAGCAACCATTTCCCTAGGAACAGCATTCAAGAGTGAGCCAATCCTGTACGTCGCGAACGTCATGTCCATCTTTATCATTGTCATCTACTTTTTCATTTTGTATCATCACATTCGGGCTGTTATAGTCCAAGATATCATGTACCCTGGGAGGGACGAGGACGTTGAGGACCACTGATTCAGCTGGAATTACACATCGCATACAATTGCCGGACAGGTTAGTTGCTTGTTCGTGGCACGGCGCTCGGTTGCTTACAAAAATTGACCCTAGCTCGTCAGAATTTCCATCAACAATACAAGCATATAGAGGTTCTGCATCGGGGGATATGGGTTCGAGAGATAGACAATAGACATAGATATAGACAGCATAGACGCCTCATCCTGATTCAGATTTGCCTTGACAAGGATGTTCAGATGCAAGGTTTACGCACCGCTGTAGTTAAGAAGAAACGTAACGTGCGATAACAACAAGTGTTGGTGCCGATTTACATGAATTACATCTAGACGCTTGTCCCCAACGCCAATTTTGAAATATCAAGGACGGAAGGGTATATCTCTATTGTTATCAATGGCGATTGATGTCCTGTTTACGAACATTCACATGCTAGACATGCTGTCGCAAACATCATAGCCGAGTGCCACCTGCTCTCCATGCATCCCGGGCTCGCGCTCTAGTGTTCACTGTACCAACACCAAAGTTATGTAACCTCTCTCCAATCAAGTAAGCCTCGTCACGAATCCTGACTCGCCAGCTTCTGAACACGTCGATCAAGCTCCAAAGGATATAAGCACCTACGGCGCCCATAGCTGCAATGGGGAAGCTGAGGCGGTATATCAGGGTCAAAGCTGCGTCATCAGGCACAGGACCCAAGGCTCCGTACTGAACGAAGATTCGTGCTGATATCAAAGGCCCCGCGACAGCAAGAACCCATAGCAGCACCCCCGGCACAACGAACGCTCGTGTGAGAATGGAGACATCGGGCTCGAGCCACCCACGTCGAAGCACCGCTCGAATGGCAGCCGTCATACGTGTGTCGCGATACCAGGATGCCACGATACGAGCACCAAGTTTGAGATACAATACACCAATGGTCCAAGACTGAATGACGCGAATGGTGTGTTTAGGACCATGTATTCCTAAAGCAGCCGTCTCCCGAGTTACTGTCGTGGATAGAATAGCAGAATACATGTAGGTATCGAGGGGAATAAGGAAGTAGAGCTCCATGAGAGACGAGACCATGAGAGGGAAAATAATGAGTAGAAACAAGTATGCATACACGAGCTTCGCACCATGGCGAACAACTCTTGCGACGCGGCGGACAGCATCGCGCTGGAGCATGGTTGACAACGTGTCTCTGGTCCAGTTTCTTGCATTTTTTATTAATGAATGAATATGCACAATAGAGTATGCAAGAGATCCCAAGAGGTAGATGCCGATGCTGAATGCGTAGATATCGTTGGTCCGAATATGTGACGGAATGAGGAGGTGGAACATCTGGCGGCCAAAGGCAAGTGGGATGATAGTAAACCCGACCCCGGTTACGGCGGCGAATATCCAAATGAACATTATGAACAGGAAGACTCGCAACCTGAAGTTCGGGGGGATATACACGAATTGGTACTGATTCGTGGAGTAGAGGTCTGTCTCTACAAGATCGGCCTTTCCATCCAAGCGAAGATTGTTTTCGGAGACATCCAGGAATACTTGTTTGCCTTTGGGAATCTTGACCTGATCCGAGGCCGGACTACGGACGAAGCGGCCATCCGGGATCAGTTGTTGAGACTGTACTAGGTGAACCTTCTTCACGTTGAGGTGGATCATATCGTCCGAGGGTATCGTTGATGTGGGCTTTGCTTTTCCGCCCTCAAAAGTGTCCCTCCATGTCTTGGGGATGACGTTGTTATCCTCAGTCAGTTCCAAAAGCTGTCTCTTCCACCAAGCCAATGAGCGATGTGGTGAGCCTGGTGCCAAGACTAAAGTTCCTTCTTCGTCAATGCGACGCTCTCCAAATAAGAACCAAGAGATGCGAAGAGCACGTGCGCACTTGCGGAACCACCAAGTGTACATGGCATGCAGTCCATCGCTCGGCTTGAAAAATTTGACAGCCAAAGGCATGAGGAAATTGTAGAACAAGAGATCGATGGGGAACTCAAGAACGGGTTCGTTCGATGAATAGTGTATGGGTAGCACGTTAGGTATCGAGTAAGCAAGCCCCCAGACAACCCCGCCAAGACAAATGATGACCAGAGCTCCATACACAAAGGCGGAGAACAGAATCTTGCGAAGCTGGGTGGTGACGTTTCGCTCAAGAACATCACGGACAGGGTGGAATTCGGGATCATCAGGGTCGCGGATAAAGTCTAAAATGGCAGTTAGCAAGGATTGTCATCACGAGGACTGGTAATGAAGACGTACAAAGAACCCCTTTGCGCATGATTTTGCGACACATGGACACAAAGAGAGCAAAATGGAACATGTATCCTGTGCCAACGAACCAGTGCACAAAGATTGAGGTAAGGGGGTAGTTTACGGTAAACAAGATCCGCGAGATGATCGAGGTGTTCTCAAATAGTGGCAGTAGTGCAATATCGAGGAGTAGGCCGCAATAGAGTGGAAAGATGAGCATCTCGATGCCGATGATCAAGATAACTTTCATGACACCGCTCGCTTGGTTGAGACCATCGATGACGGATGCTTCCCACTCCTGCCCTGCCTGACCCCGTGAAAATGGACTGCCTCGCCGTAGGTAAAGACCGGCAACAAAAAAGACCGTAAGGTAGCCGCCTAGAATTGCCCAAGTCCTGTCCATTGCACTCCAGTATGCGAGCTCGGAGTTGATGGTCAGAATAGCCTCTGGTCGGTTTAAGTCAATGACCCAAGATCCAGGATTGGAGAGGTGAGCCGGCAGGTCCTTGAGAGCATGAGCTGCGGCCGAAATGAGTTCACCAGCAATTGAGAAAACTTCGATTGCCTTAATCGAATAGTCACCACCGAATAAGAACATTACTGTGCGTCCCACAGCTGCGAAGATATAAGAGACGTGGTCCTTTACCACCAGGAGCGCTTCGTGACTAACAGCCGAAAAGTTGCGAATTTCGCCTGCAGAGATCGGTGGTAGGTCGAGAGTGAAACTATCGACAATTCGCAGAGCCGCATTGGATGACATGTTCCATGACGTGAAAGCCGCCGACTTAATAGTATCGGAGACAGGATTCCACCGCAAAACGAACAGGCCCAAGTCAATGATCCACAAGCAGGCGCAAGAAAAGGACCCGACGGCAATGAGAGCAACATCCTGGACGAATTTCGAGATGCTGAACAAGATTCTGACAGGACGCATGGGATTCGCCACGAGCCACACTGCGCTTCTTCCAATGTTGTAAGGTAGAAAAACGCCCACGAATATGCTGATGGAAACCAGGAAGGCGCAGAATATAGCATTCTGAAACAACCCAGCTACAGGGCCACGCATACCTATCAGTTCCATGATGCCTTCCAAATCTTCAGCATCCTCGATGGCTTCCGCATCAAGCCCCGCAGCGGCGGCAGCTTCAACCACTTCTCGATCCCGTTCTATATCTTGGGGAACAGGATCCTCTCCCAAGGGTGCGAATGGATCGTCATGGTCTGCAAAGTCATTGCCATCGTCAGGAAGCGGTGGGAGCTCGCCAGGATCGATCGCATCAACATCTTGCCACATGAAGTCGGCTAGGAGCCGGGCAAGACCACCCGGCTGGTGTGGAGGGAGGGCTCCTTCCAGTGTAGGGCGTCGAACAGCCTCTAGTTCGTTGAAATCTGGCAGATTCTCCCATTCTGTAGCAGGTGGCGCCTCTTGTATCCCAGACTCAGGTTCAGGTGTGCCAACCGCATTTGGGACTGATCCGCCTTCACCAATCGGACCGCTTTCGTTGCGACTGGGAGGTTGTGATGTTTGATCACGAATACTCGAAGGTCGGCTCTCTGCGAGCGTGCTCGATGGTGGTGACGGATATTCCCAAGATCGCGACTCTTCGGCTTCTTCGACAGGGGGATCTGACGTTGAGTGTCCCATTGGTAGCCTCGCCGAGTCACCTTCTATGTCATCTTCTCCTGGTAAGTGGGAGAAAGACCAATTATTGTTCCCTAAAAGATCGGTTGCGTCGCTTATGGGTGGGTTATCCGTGTAAGACCGCGGTCTTGGGGGTTGATGCGTATGAAGCTCGCCATGTGTCCTGAGCCCTGCTTCTTCAGTACCTGCTTTTCCCTTGCCTTTCTCAGCAGAGCCGCTATCACTACTTTGCAAGTCGTCGGGCCACTCCCACTCGGACGAACGATCCGAATTCCGGGAAGTACCAGAGCGCGATATTTCAGGAGCACCAGAGCTGGATGGCGCATAGCCCGACCCTAGCTTCTGTGACCTGGCCGAAGTAGAAGCTTCACCAATGGCCTCCCCGTCGCTGGGTCTGCTCCTCTCTACCATTGACTGAGTAAGTCTGATCCAGTAGGCCAACTTGTCCTCCAACTGTTCATTCTTGGCAATCTGCAGGATCTTCTCCGGATCACCCCCAGCTTCACGGTATATCCTCAAGTACTCATGCACTGTGCTTCCCTCGGCCGCGGGAACGCGCGTCCTATTGTCGCTCTGTGATTCTAGTTTAGACGGTTCAGTCAATCGAAGAGAAGGAGTCGAGGAAGACTGCGGGTCGGGCAAATCCAGATTCGGCCGCGATGATTGACTTGAACGTGCAGATGCAGTCCTCCCAGGAATTGGTCGCAGCAAAGCACCGTTTGTGGTTGGTTCAGTCCCTGATCTCTGTTCATCATGTTCAGCTATCAGTCGAGGAGCTTGGCCTGTGCCAAGGGTCTGATCTCGTGCAGTAGCGCCCGCTTCATTGTCGTCAGGTAGGCCGTCAATCTGCATGATAGCAGTATCTGTATCAACTTCGTCATGGTCAGACTCATCTGGACCACGAAGTCTATCGATATCTTCTGCCCTAAGATCTGCTGGCAATGCGACGACCGGTGGTTGGGGGGCCCCATTGTCAGCTGCTGCAAACGCAGCGCGCATATTGATCTCAGGCTGTTGCTGTACAACATAGTCCCGAACGAGAATGATCAATATAAAACATATGATCACCAGAACTGTGATGATCTGCCCTTCGAGCACAGCGATGAGGGTCAGGTTGAACATGCGAGACTTGGTCATATGGAGAAAGCTGACGTCGCTTAATAGAGTTGGTGGAGTCGTGTAGGCGGTCGACGAAGCAGCACCTTCGGCATTATTCGAGGCATTGAAAGGCGACGATGTGTCTGAAAGCCCGACAGCACCGAAGAGAAACCGTAGGAGCGTGCTCGGTAATGGATCGATATATGTAAGGTTGATGTTGTAGAGAGACTTGACTATGTGAGGTACAACGTCAGACGCAGTCTGGAGAGGGCTTCCTGCTCCGCCAAGGACTGCCGCCGTCGTAGTCGCAGCGAAGAGCGGGCTGGAGGGGCACACGCTGGTTCCGAATGTGGACACGGACAATGAGGTGCCTGTCAGACGGTCCCAAGAGGCGTCCTGGCTGGCGAAGATACTTTGTCCACCCCCAAGCCCCTCGTCGCTGATCCAGAAGAGGAACGACCATACACTACGCATCAAGTAGGGCAGCCAGCAGAGCCAGACGAAGACGACGAGCAGGGCACGTGCCCAGACCAAGAAGTTGCGAAATATGTATTTGGCAATGTGGCTGACGAAGACGATGAAGGGCAGAGACTTGGGCATGTCTGGGGAGTATAGCTTGGTGAAGCGGAAGGGGGTTTTGCACAGCTCGCAGTGCTTCTTCTGAGAATGGGACAGCCATTCCATCAGGCAGTCCTGGTGGACATACTTGATGCTCCCGCTGCATTTGCAAGGGTAGAAGAGCGGCTCGCTGGGCGTTGCCTCGCCTCTGCATATTCGACAGGTGTCGGGTTCTGACGAAGCTGAGGGGTCATTGACGGCGGCGGCGGCGGGTCGTGAGGATGGCGGGATCTGAGTGTGTTCGGTAGACGAGATGCGTCGGCGCAGGTGGGCGGAGGGGCCGGACTGAGGCGCGAAGCCAGCATCGGCTGCTGCGTCCTCCATGGCCGCGCGCGTGGGTGTCTCGATGTGCGGCAAGTCGGTGCGGGAAGAAGAAGGACTAAGCAGGTGTAGAGCGCATCCTGCAGCCGAGCAACAGAAGCTCTTCACGGCTCTCTGGACCTCGTCGCTGCTGTTATTTTTGGTACGGGCGTCGGTCGGCAAGGTGACTACCTCAGTTGCAGCTCAGGATTGACGAGACTGGACTAGCACCCCCAGCTGTGCTGTGCTGTGCTGTGCTATGTGTATATGGGACAGTCGTGATGTCGTGGTGTCGTATTCGCCGAGGATGTCAAGCGAGGATGAGAGAATGAAAGTCGGAAGCAGGATTTGGCCACCGGTACAAAGTAGTAGGAGTCGATAGGTACGGGTACTTAAGGACTAACTACACCGGAGGTTAGGTAAGGTTTGGCTGCGTCGGGTATCCACCTCAGGTAGGAGGTACCTGGGTAGCTAAGTAGACGAGGAATCACAGAGATGCGAAGATTAGTCTCTACCTAACTAGTTCACTAATTTGAAGTACACAGATGATAAAGGCAGGAGTCAACTGGAAAAGTCGAATCGCACGTTTCCCTACCAGGTAGATGCGTATAACGTATTGGGCGATTGAAAGTCCGGCTGCCGGGAGTGACAGGGAGTGCCGTAGGTAGGTAACATGTTTGGGGGGCGGCGGGCTCTACTCCGGTGGGTGGGGCCAGTATCCAGTATCCCCATGCCCTCCAGATCGCAAGCGGCTCTTGAGAAACTCCGGCCTTCCGTTCGAGTATCAAACATATTGCTAGCTACCTACCCTTACCCAGGTAGGTAGGACGATGAGGAAATAATAACATTGGCTTGAACATACCACCAAAGGAACACCGCAAGGTGGCTTTTTACAGTCCCTCTTACAGTATGTCTACATTATAAAGCGCTCTGCACGTTTTCAAGGATGAAGACAGCACGTCTACCTCCTGCCGGTTTGGGGCGTTGGGGGGATGATGATATTTGCCAGTCATGGTCAAATAGGTCAGACAGGACCCCGAGCTGACATGTTATCCACACACCTTGGGTTTCTTATACAAAACTATTACCCAGCAAGTTTTTGTTGCTGACTTGGGTTGGGCAACAAAAGGGGCTGCGCTGAATTCAATGTTTGTTTGCTTGATTCTTTCCGCAGATACAAACAACAATCTGTCCAGGTACTAGCAGTGACCATGAGCTACCTGCATAGATAGGTACGGCCCTGCTCTCTGCATATGAACTAAGACGGCTAGCTGATGAGCTGAAAATCAGGAGCAGCCGGCAAACACTTGTGGAGATTTATCTCCTCGTTCTGTCACGCCTCGAGGAAGTACCGGTAGGGTAGGTAGGTGAATGCGTAGGAGGATGGATGGGAGAGTTTGGCAATTGGATCTTGGATCTACGCGGGGTAGAAGCTGAGGTGAGTGTATGTATGTACGATATGATATAGACGGGAAATGATCGTGAATCTGCCTCTTTCTTTCTCTCACTCCCTCCGTCTGCCCAAATCTATCTATGATATAACGCCACGCGCTCCATTACCGAGTTGTTCTCATGTGAATATCGACCATTCCTGCGGCCCCAGCCAAGTTGAGATACATGGCAGGATACTCCCAAGGGGCGTGGCCTTTCAAGCCTTCCAGCCTTCTTACTCAAGAGTCCTCGCGCGCACCCTGGATACGTTATACCTCAGGTCGGTAGACTAATACTGCACAAGCAGTTCATCGCAGCAAATCGCCTCCGTCTAGGAAGCTAGTAGGTGCCCTTGACCTTGGTTTTGCTCTGGGCAGGCCAATCGATGGAGCGTCTACCTAGGGAGCTGGCAGTCTCCATACGGTGATGGCGTCTTAGTGGTCGCACGATGCGAGTTTCAGCGGCCATGTGCAGACCTCCAACGCCTTAGCCTCTCCGCTTCTCAGGTTTTGGAGCACATGCAACGCAGCCCATTTGCTTCTTTGGGGGGGAATGTACTGCATTGTATGTGTGGAGGTGTGGGATGCGATGGGATGATGACGTCTATCTGGGTGTGGCTTCGGGCGACCTGATTGACCCACGCTAGTGGTTGAGGAAAACCGGCCGGGAAGAGTGCTAATAAGCTCAGATTATGTGCGATGATGATGATGAGGAGGTGGATGAGGTGGATGAGGTGGATTGATTACCTAGTCTACTATCCAAGATACTAGGTACATGTAGGCTAGATAGCACCCTTTCTTGAGACAATCCCGAGATCTTGATCATTGCCACCAACAACCACCAAGAAAAAAGAAGAAACAAGAAGAGATAAATATTTTTTGTTCTCATCATCGGCATCATCATTTTCCTCATCCTCATCCTCATCTTCATCTTCATCTTCATCCTTCCTCGTTACCCTTGAGTTGAGCGGGACCAGGTAGCGGATAGCAGGTAGCAGGTAGCAGGTAGCAGGCAGCCCCTTGTGTTTCTCGCCAAGTCTGAAGCCCGCCCCCGAGCTTTGCCTGTGACGTCCAAGCTTCATCCGGCTCAAAACGAAAAACCCCCGTCCGCGTTGCAACTGCAATCCATCAACAGCCCAGCCCAGGGCAGCCAGATCCACCACCGCTCCCTGCGCCGTGATTGTCACTTATTTATTATTTTTTCCCCCTCGACACCAGGTACTCTACACCATTCATACCTCCCTGCCTCTTTGACCTATTTATCCGTCCAGCAGCGTCAAGGCTCGGGCGACGACACGATCCGACTGAGGAGGTAGCAGGTATTCTATCCGCCCCGCTGTCTTCCAAGGTACACAGCTGCGACCGTCACGATAGCACCCTCCCGGCTGTCGGTGATCAGCTGTGTCCAGCTTCTCACGCGATAGGCATACGGTCGCAATATCAGACCAGAACCATTTCCGCTCTCCCACCGCGTTCACCGACTTATTCCATCCTGTCCGTTGCCGGCCTGGAGCTGCATCATCGCGTCTCGTAATGGGCGACACCAACGGCTCTCTCAAGGGCCCAAAGAGTGCCAAGGGCATGAACGGAATCGCAAATGGCATCAAGCCGGCGACAAATGGCCACGCCGTCACTCCCCGCAGGAGAACGACCCAGAAGGCAGGGCCCGGCTTTGTCTCCCGCATATTCAGCATCGTTGCTAGGTAAATAGCAGTTTCTCTACCCCTGCCAGATCTCTACATGCCTTTGCCCATCGCTGACATTTCCCTTGCACAGACTACTGACCTGGTACTCGATCTTCACTGTGCTGTTCCGCTGTCCTTCAACGATTGACCAATGTACCGAAACGAGCCCCCGCATCTGCAAGCCATACTTCCAGATAAAACACGCCGTCTCTCCCCACGTCGAGCCATACTACGATGCCTACGCCGCTCCTTACGTCGAGCTGGCCCGCCCCTACTACAACACTGTTGATCAGAAGGTTTTGTCGCCTACATGGGCGTATGCCACCAAGTATGGCGCGCCTCGCGTCGCACAGGCCCAGGCCTTTGGACAAGCACAGTGGGAGAAGAGTGTCCAGCCTCAGCTAGCCAAGTACCAGGCCTTGGCCAAGGCGCAGTACGAACAGAACCTCGGTCCACATGTCGACCAGCTGTCCTCTGCTGTCGGACCGTATTACGACATTGCTCGGACCAACGCCCTTCAGACCTATCATGAATTGCTCTTGCCAAGCTACCAGTTTGTCGAGCCATATGTACACCAGGGCTATAATGTCGCGTCGGCTTTCACCACCGACACAGCTCTCCCCTCCGCCGCATGGGCGTGGAACAAGACGTATCTGTTTCTGAATGGTACAGTCTGGCCGCAACTCCGCATTGTCTATGTAGAAAACGTAGAGCCCCAATTGGTCAAGATAGGCCAAAGGCTGGGCCGGTACAGTGGTAGCAACGGGCAAAAGACAATAGTGGAGAGCCTTTCAAGGTATGTTACGAGAAATCAGTTTATGTTTATAACCCGCCGAAGTATCTCGAGCTCTAACTATTTGGTCAGCACCGCTAGCAAATCCGCCTCGTCTTTCACCAAGCCCAGCGCCTCGACTTCCTCCTCACTTCCTGCTTCAAGCGATGCCATCACATCCGCCACCCAAGTCACGTCGTCCGAGGCCGCCCCTCCGAGCTCGGGCGCCCCCGAACAGACTCCCGATTCTACTAGGTCCCGAGTTGGCGGCGAGCCGGTCGTCGCCCCCGAACCAGGCGAGGGAGAGGAATCAGATATGCGTCGGACGACTCGGGAGGCCGTGGCAGAAGACCTCAAGGCCTGGCAGGCGAAATACGCCAAGGCTGCCGATGAGGGCGCTGCCGAGATTGAGGAACGAGTGGATGAGATCGCAAAGCGCATGGTGCAGCGACACGCCAAGACCATGGGCAAGTCTGTCATAGATGACCTACAGCAATCTGTCGTCTCGGAACTGGTGACGTTGCGACGAGACATCAGAAACATTGTGGGTGCTGTCATCAAGGGCTCAGCCACTCCCCAGGAGGCCCAGGAACAAGTCACAACCGTTGTGCGTCGTGCTGGCTCAGAGGTCAAGGGCAAAGCTCAAGAGGTACGAACTTGGCGCGAGAACTACGAGGCTGAGCTACAAGCAGCCATCACCAAAGCCGCAGAGAACCATTTCAAAATCCTCGGTTCCATTCGAGATCTGGCCCTGCAGAAGATTGGCATGAAGTGGGCCTGGATGGACGGCATTACCTACAAAGACTGGGCTAAGTACCACGAGCTTCGCGGTCGCTTTGATGAGTGGGAGGTCGATCTCAAAAACCTGATCGTTACGCACCCCAGCCTCCTGGCTGCACAAGCAGAGGGCCAAGTCATAGAAGATAGGGGCATGGAGCTTGCTCAATCTGCAGCTCAGGAGCTTGGCCGCTTAAAGCAAGTTGCCGGTTGGAAGATTGCTGCCAAGGATGATTCAGACGAGTTTGAAAGTGAAGCAACTCGCTTAGCTGCTGAGGCTGTCGAGAGTGTGGAGGAGGCAGGCGAGACCATCTCCTCGTCCGTGGCGGAGGAAGCTGTATCTGCCACAGAAGCGGCAAGCGAGGCAGCGGAAACCATCCTGCCGTCCGAAGCCGCCGAGGCTCCAGCCTCAATCGAAGAATCGCTCGTCAGTAGTATTTCTGAGGCTTCTTCTAGTGTTGCGGATGCCTCTCCGGTTTCAAGTATTGAGAGCATAGCTTCCCAAGCAGCATCGAGGCTCAGCAGTGCGTCCGATTCGGCTGCCAGCATGGTGAAAGAAGCGTCATCTTCTCTCCTCCCCGATTCTAGCTCCCAGGACGGCGTGCCTCCCAATAGCGAAGTGTCTCCCACGGCCACTGATCTTGCTGCGGAGGCATCCACCATTGTTCTGGACGAAACACCAGTTGTGGCTGGAAATACAACTGAATTTACTGAAGCAGCCGGGCCCGGCCCGGCTCATATGCCTGTGGATGAGGTTGCCGCACCTGCGGACTCTGAGATCTCATCCCTCTCGATTCCCCCGGCGTCATCCGCTACAGCCTCCGTCAAATCGGCCTTCCTCGGCGCTGCTGCGCAGTCTGTCCCAAGCCGGAAGCCGATCCTAGATGATGACACTTTTGATTCGGCGAACAGCATCATTGAGTCGCTGCGCTCAGACCTGCCCTCCACAATCGCAGCAGCTGCATCTTCTGCCTATGCCGCGGCGGTATCGAATGCTGCCGAGCAGTACTCTCAAGCGCTCTCCGCCGTATCAGTCCAGATTTCAGGCACACCCAAGCCTGCCCATGAGGAGATGCTGTCTTCACTGTCGTCTGCCTACAGTCAGGCTGTTGAGACAGCCAGCGCTCATCTCGACGGCGCCCTAAAATATGCAAGCGAGGGCGTCTTTGGGACGACTACCAAAGAGTATCCAAGCATACCCACGTTAGTGGACTGGGCTCGTGTAGAGTCTATCGCCTCGGAGAGGCTTAACGATGGCCGGGCTTGGGCCGAGCAGCAATACGAAAGCGCCAAGATTGCTGTTGGTCTCGCCACCCCAACGCCGAGCGATTTCTCCGGGTCAGTTTCGTCGATTGCTTCCGCAGCTGGCGAATCCGTGGCTTATGCTACGGCTGCTGTCGGCGAGAACGCGGAGAAGATCCTGGAGAACGCACGACATAACTACTATGCTGGGCTTGGCGTCGCCCACGAGAGATACTCCCAGTTCCTTGCCGCTGCTTCTAGCGCTTTTAGCTCTCTGACGGCCACACCAACTCCCACCGACTTTGCTGGAACCGCGTCTTCTATAGCCTCTGTTGCGAGTGAATCCGCATCCTCAGCCGCGTCCGTTGCTGGTGAGAATCTTGCCGCAGCTAAAGATTCCGCGTCATCGGTCGCCGCTGTGGTGGGTGATACAGTTGCTTCCGCCGCTGCTGCTGGTTATGACAGCGCTGCATCGGCTGCATCCGTTGCAGGAGACACGGTGAGCGCTGCCGCGGCTGCAGGTTACGATGGAGCAGCCGCCGGATATGAGAGTGTGGTCTCTGCTGCTGGAGCCGCCGGAGACTATGTGCAAGGAAGCTGGGACTCGCTGCTCGATCAACTCAGTGTTCAGGTCTATGGTGCACCAACCCCGACACCATGGTACGAGAGCTTCTACAGCGCTGCTGGAGAATATGCGGCCGCTGCCACATCAGCATTCGGTGATAATGCCGAGACCGTCACCAGCGCTGCCGGTACATATGCTTCTGCGGCATCGGACGAGGCATCAAAGCAATACGATGCTGTCAGCAGTATCGTCTCCGAGCTTTTGTTAGGAAAGGAGCCTACGTTCTCGGAGAGCGTTTATTCGAGACTGAGTGAGGCCTATTCTACCGCACTTGCTTCCGCCAGCAGTGTCGCTACTGCGGCATCATCAAGCGCGGCATCTGTTGCCGACAACGTTGGAAATGCGGCGTCACAAGCAACCAAAGCTGTCAAGGAAACCGTAGATCATTTGCGAGACGAGTTGTAAATTGTGTATGGGGCAGGTTGGCGCAAACCTCGGGCTTTGTGACACTCCGTTCACCTAACATGGGGATACAGTTGGGGAACTCTCTATGGAGGAGAGTTGGAGCGAAATTTCCTAATCTGACAACGAACACATCGAATGCGGTTACGACTTTTTATGGCGGCGGAGGATATCCGGTGTATTGCGTCTCACGACATTGACCAGCGTGCGTAAGTGGAATATTGAGGGCGGGATGCAACAGCGATGTATGGAATTGGTTTGCCAGTCTCTCATTTTCACGCCAGCATATACCCTCTACCGATTCTGGATCAGGCCAATTGACTTGATCCTGGAATTTCTCGTCATTGAGGCTGATGATAAAACGGCCTGTGTGCCTTGTCTTACTGTCTTCCCATATGTACTATCCTAGTTTACTGGAGTTATGAATGGCGACAATTTATAAATATGTAGAACTATTTTGGATCACCTCTGTGTCACGTGCCAGGTGAGGCCTTTTGTGAGTTCAAGAGTTGGTAACCAAGAAACAATGAGTTGTGTCGAAATCGAAGACTAGGAACGCCAAACCTAGTACCGTCTAGTTGTGAGCCGGCAATATTGGCGTAGCCATGTGGCAATGTCAATGTACACTAGTGACAGTGGTGAGAAACCATTCACTTCTTAATGGCTGAATGGGTTTGCCGAATTTACTTCCTGCGTCAACGATACATCGATATAACAATTTTCTGAATAAACCGAAGTATAGAACTTTAATTGTTTTGAAGATCATACGAAGCTCCAATGACGGTTTATAATTTGTAACAAACCATATCGTAAGATTTGCCATAGATATCTTTCTTCATGGTAAGCAATGTTTATTATCTACTTAAGTAGATAATGTAGAGTTGTAGATCAACAATAAGGTTCCTTCACAATATACTCCCTATTTTTTGATCATAATTTACGGTTACGGAAACTTTAGGTGACCGACTGCTTCTTTTCAGACGGTCGACTGTGTTCCGGGGTTTGTCAATCACTCTTATCTACCTTGGCAAAGTCGGTGCTAATTGCTGCATTGTACTTAGCAAGATCGCATAGTTCCTTGAAATCATTGCCCAAAAGATGGGGTCGTGATCATGTTGAATCAAGAGAAGTCAATCCCGTGAATGGGCACGTGGAGGCTATTTCAGGCATCAAGTATTAGGTAATCGCAGACAGGCCTCTGAATGTTATACGGGCTAGCATCGAACCGGCATAGTCCGCAGGCGGCTCTGATTTGATGCCTCGTCATTGGACGAGATGATCCTAAGGCTAGTGGCAAGTGGCTAAGGGTGACGGCAGGACTGAAATGGGTTTCCCAAATCCCCCACCAAAAAAAGCGAACGATCCCTGAGATGGGACCAGGCAGCAGCATTTCCAAGACAGCCGAGCCAATGCGACGACGCCTAGAGCAGGCGATATCTCGGCTCCATCACAGGCACCCGAATAACGAGACCGACCCTGAGGCACTACATTGAATGGGTTACAGTAGCTAGCTAAGTTCACCGCGACTGGGGACTGCCAACGGGACTGCACTGCACTGCACTGCACTGCACTGCGGAATGAATGCGAGGGTTGTTCGGAGTGGCTGTCTCGCGATGTGATGTGGTGCTGTGCTGTGCTGTGCTAACGTTAGGCCGGCCTGCTCTAGGTAACGACTTTAACAAAGGGGGGGGGACCTTTACCGCCGTTAATCTCTACCACGGAACGCAGTTCTTCTGAATACCTTCTTTCTTCTTCGACATAATCATCATCATCATCATCATCACTATCACCAACGTCAAGCTCTGCGGTCTTGCTGTACTCCGACCGTCTAGAGTCTGTCTGTCTGGCAGTAAGACAATCCATCAGCTAGTCTGGAAAACCAGACTCAGGCACGATACGGGGTTGCCTAGCTAGCCAGACATCCAGAGCCTGCAGTCGTCAACAGACACCAGCACAGTCAAGTCTGCTTACCGCGTCGTTGTCTTTGCAACTGGTATTGGTGCTGTCATCTGTCACCTCTTTAAACTCGATCTCAGCCTTGCGATCGCGAGCGCATCTTTAATCAGCCTTCGAGAGCGGACCCTTGGAAGTGCTTCAGCGGCACAGCAAGTCGCTTCTAGCCCCCAACGCCTGTTAGAGTGGCCAGTGCGATTGACAGATTGGTGATGTCCTGACTGGAGCACACGCCGCAACCTGAACTTCAGATCATCATTCCCTGCGAGAACTAACGAGGCTGTCCTTGCGGGCTTGCCTCACCCTTGGGCTTCTCCGTATCGTCAAAAATGGAGTCCTACTTGCCCCTTGGGGGCTTCCAGCTGCCCTTCCAGCGGCGGCTGAGCAGGCTCTACAATGACACAAAGAAGTCTTCCGACTTCGTCAAGGAACCGGTGCAGAATGCAGAGGATCCAGAAATCAAGATGCTTCACCGCAAGCTGCGCATTCAAAAGGATCGCCTTGTGAGTTGGGGCTTGGAATGGTCCGACCCAAATCAGTCAGCCGAGATCGACGAGTCACTATCAAAGGCTGGCCTCAGCGAGGTTGTCGGGAGCATCATGTCGACCATCAAGGATATCCTGGCCGAAGCCGAGCCCTTGTGGCAGAGCTCCAAGCGTTTGGTTGGCGGCGAGAAGCAGCCTGAGAAGTCCGTGGGAGACAAGAAGATTCCTCTAGTTGTCTGGGATAAAGGCCGCTTTGAAGATTTGGTGCGCGATCTCACAACGTCAATCGACACTCTTTATGATCTGTCGAGAACAAGGTCATCAGCGGCGTTGTCGTCTCAGGCCCGCGCCAGACTCTTCAAATCAGGGGGCTCTACGGAAGATCTCCGAGCATTCGAGTCAACACGAATGCAGACACCGCAGCAGATTGATCCACAGTCCCTCACGAGCCTGCGTCAAATGCAAGCTGTTCCAATGTCGGAGACAGCAGACACGGGCTCGCGAGAAATCGTCTTTATGAGCAAGCAAGCCTTCTCTGAGCTCACACACCATGCCGGACGACAACCATACTCACCCTTGCTCCTTGAGTACGCCGAGTTTGATCCAATGTACTCCGCAACAGGAATCATGCCATCGATGTCGCGCTTCGAAAAACTTTCGTCGGGTCTTCAGACGGAGCCTCAGCGCTCTCCGGGTTCTTGGACTGGACTTCCGCGCCTGCTGGGCTACTTCGAAGACATGGAGCATTCACGACTTGGTCTAGTCTACCAGTTTCCGCCAACTTTCAATCCTGTTTCTTTTGAGCACCTCACACAGAATCCCCTTTACAATCTTTGTTCGCTGTCCGACCTTCTTGCTCGGCCTGATTTCGAGCCTACACTAGAGGCAAAGTTTCGCCTGGCTTTCAACCTCGCCAATACCGTTTTTGATATGCACGCTCGTGGCGTTTCGCATGGCAATCTATTCGATGCGAATGTGTCTTTTTGCAACGCTGTTGGGACTGAACCCGGAATGGGTAATGGGGAGGTTGATATTCGCCGACCGTTAATCTCTTCGTTCGATCTCTTCCCAGATTCATTCCAAGAAACAGGAGGCGCAACCTTCTCGTTGTACCGGCATCCACTCGACCCAAAGGTCACCGCTCAGGCCTCGGCCCTAATCACCAACCCCGACTCCAAAACATACGATCTGTACTCGCTGGCGATGTTGCTATTGTCAATTGGATTGTGGACTAATCTTGACAACCTCGTTCCTACCTCGTCCCCCACCTCTATTCCCGAATCTGTCTTGGAGCAACTCGCTATTCGCTGCGGCACATTGTACATGAAGGCGGTTCAAGCCTGTTGGAATGCCGTGGATCAAGAACTGTCTGGCCAGCTTAGCGGCGAACAGGTTCTGGCCCGCGTGCAAGTCAAGGCGAGCCGATACTTGGAGGCCTGCTGTATTCTTGATAGCGTCGGTGGGCTGGAAGAGAGGTTGAGCGACGACCTCGGTGATGATACTACCCCAGCGAAGCGAACACAATCTACCGCATCGGCGGTGGCTGGCTCGTCGAAAGAGAAAAAAGAACAGACTGAAAACACACAGACTGAAGTCGCATCCACTCCAGCCACTTTGCCGGCCCCATCTCTTATGTCCGCGGACGTGGAAAAGAGAAATATAGTTGAAAGCCCTACGCCGGTGTTTCGTACAGAAGGTAAGACTCCAGGCGTGCTCTACATGACATGCTGGCTAATAAACTATACAGACTCTCCTGTCGAGATGCAACCGAAGCAGCCTTCCTCGAAGCTTCGCCTCTACCCTCACATTCCCCTCCCTCCCGATGCGGTCGAGCAGTGGAACATGGTGGTGATGCCACAGATTAACCAGGCCTTACGACACTTCTACCGAAAACACCCCGAGTCTGTCGAGATATCACTTGAGTCGATTGGCGAGTCACCTAAGGAAACCCAACCAACAGTTCTCGTTGTGTGCACGTCCGTCAGCAAAGTACGAGCTATCTTGAAGCGGAAGCTAGGCCTCCTATTTGACGGAACCACAGGCTTTGCCCTGAAGGTATGTCGGGGCCAAGTGTTGCGGTCTAGGAACAGGGGCCCAGCGAGGAGCATGGCAAAGCCAGACGAGGATGGCGATACTGGCGCTGCGAATGGTGATTTTCAGGAGCGTCCGCATAATGGTGCTAGTATTGGAGCGTGGATTGGTGACAGACACCTGCCACCCGTGAGCTTCGGCGGCTTGGTCTTGGTCGATGACAAACCATACGGCATGACCGTGCACCATATGCTTGACGATCCGGATCAACCACAATCAGCCACAACTCCAGGTGCCGACTCCCAGATTCTACGAAGTGGTGCAAGAAGCAACCCGGTGCCGGATCTGGCTGCTTGGTACGCAGAGCAGTACGCAGACCAGGACTCGTCAGGTGACAGTAGTGGCACCGAAGACTTTGCGTGCGAGTTCTCCGACTCTGACTCTGATGCTTTCTCCGAGTCTGCTATTACCAGTGAGGATGAGTCCCAGGACTCAGACGCCGAGTCAGATTCTGGCGTTCACAAATATGATGAAGCGGGTGACATCCCAGGCGTTGAGCCTGGTTGCGGTGATGGCTATATCATTACACAACCGGCACTAGATGACGTGACTGAGGGTTTCTATCCCTCGCCAGAGACTCAAGACGAAGACCATCTGGACACGTTCAGTCTGGGTGAGATGTATGCTTCCAGTGGGATTCGTCGCCGCTCGGATGATAGCGGCTTGATCCATGAGGTCGACTGGGCCTTATTCGAATTCAAGACGGACCGGCTCCCTGATCGGAATAGCATTCCTCAGGTGATGACGGGCCGTCGGCAGAGAGACAGGAATACTCATGGACGTGTCTCATCCGCGATACACCCGACTGCCGTTGCGCCGACCTCCTCACTGCCGGGACTTGAGGTGCAGTGTATGGCGCGAACCAGTGGCTTGCAGACGGGCCTGATCTTGCCGACCATCACCTCAGTCAAGATATACGGCCGGATGACACCCAGCCATACGTACCAAGTCACTGGCCGACCCAACGCAAAGGGTTCTGCGTCAACTGAGGAGCGCAGGGAGAAAATGGATGTGAGGTCTGCTCCACTCCCAATGGGCATTCCTGGTGACAGCGGTGCCTGGGTGGTTGACTGTCAACACGAACAGGTCTGTGGTCACGTTCTCGCGTGGAGTGAGCGGAAGAGAGTGGCGTACATATGTCCCATGGAGGTGCTTCTACTTGACATTGCCGAGACTTTGGAGGCTAGTGAGGTCAGATTGCCTGGAGGCGAGGCAGTTGTGAGTAGTTTGGATCAGGACGAGGGGCATCACAGCCTGAGCCATGGAGACACGGAGAGACAAGGTGCAACTGCCACTGGCTATCAGGGATCCTACTCTGATTTGGACACTGCAGAGAGTACCGGCCGACGGCATGGATTGACCGATGAGGGGTTTCACGAAGATGATGACTTGGAGATCCACCCCCACGCCAGAAGAACACGATCTAAAAAGATACCTTCGAAAGCGGCCATTCCCGGCAAGGGGCTGCTTGACGTATCAGATAACATTGACGCTCTAAGTGAGGAATTGGACAGCATGCATGTGCGAAGGAGCGATGTGGGTGTCAAGGCATCTTGCTGATTGGAGTTGGGAGCTAGTTTTCAGTGGGAGCGTGCGACAGAAATTGGCGCCTACAGATGAGGCGGAAAACAAGTAGCTTCTGCAACTTTGTATACTCTACTAATGCATTACATGATTGCTGGATCTTAGCAACTGAGTGATTATGCCTCTACTCCAGGGATGCCATGTCTTTGATTCCGGCCCAGTCCATAGCTCCGAACACCCCCTGCCCAAAGAAAATAGACACTTTGTGTCAACAATGACCATGACCAATTACATCCCTTGTTCTTAACACCATCGTAAACATGTAATTGGCTGTCAGGCTCCATAAACTCGGAAAAGGCGAGTGCTTGATTTTTCGTTCAGAGTGCGAGTGCGACGGGGACAATGGCAAGAAGCAGTCCAGACAGGCCGCTGCATGCATGTTTAGTTGTCATACGTCAGTTTGAGAACATCGGTAGCTACTCACCGATCCAATGGACCACTGGTCAGGACCGCAGCGACATTGGAGCTCGCAGGTGTCACTCGAGCGCTGGTAGTGGTGGCCAGAGACACGCTGGCTGTTGCGTTCGTCACTGTCTGAGCGGTACCCGTCTCGCCGGATGACGATCCAGGGGTCGCATTTGAAGCTGGTGTTGCTGTAGGTCCAGCCTCCTCGCTCGAGATGGCACTGCTGATGCTGGCTGGGCCGAAGACGCTCAAGCAATAGCTGCTGTAGAGGCTGGTGGCTATGACCAAGTCCGAAGAAAGAACTTCGCTGACAGATGCGAGTCCAGCTGCATCGGCGGCGTTTGTCATGGCAGCTGACGCACATGAGGAGACGACGCATGTTGCAATTGCCTCGATAGCGGCGACGGGACCGGCGAGGCAAACACACTCATTAGTGAGAGAATCGGCACAAGCGGTGCCATTGGCAGATCCGAAGTTCTCAGGGTTGACGAGACAGTTGATGACGCATGAAGGTTGGTGCAGAGAGCCAGGAACAGTGCCAAGAGTGCAGATGCCTGCGGGGGCAGCGGACGTCAGTGATCCAGTAGTCGTCGGCATGGCAGCTACAGCGGTGGAAACCACTGGAGATGGTGATACACCATCTGAGATGGTCGCCTGGGAATTGATCAGGGATACGATCAAGCCCAGAAGCAGGATTGTGATGCGCTTGAAGTTTGCAGCCATCGTGAGGTTTGAGCGGGAGGCGTTATGACCTGAGATGGTGGAGTGGCTCTGTGAATCTCTGTGCTCGATGCAGGGAGAACAAGAAGACACCGAGCGGTGCTTTGGGACGGAGACGGAGAGATATGGTATGGAGAAGTAGTGTTGTTTCAAGTCCTGGGGCTGGTTATGACAATGATGATGACGATGCCGGGGGAGAGCTGTCGATGTTGTGTGGAGGACGATGAAGATGGATAGACGAACCCTGTGATGTTGTGAGCGGGGAAACGAGGAAGAGACGAAGAGAGGTAAGAGACCTGAAGTGAAGAGCCAGGCAGAGGGCTCCCTAGGAGAAGTGGAAGGAGAGAGGGCGATCGAAAGGCAAGTCGTGACTGCCTTTACCGGGCAGCAACAGCGTCGACGGCCGGCCAATCCATGCCCCTTGTGTCGTCCCTTCCAAAAACAGACACAACAGGGAAGCACGAGCAGCATGAGTGACTGACTACCTAATCACCAGCCGCCCACTCAATGGGATTGAAGTTGGTGCTCCGGTGGCGCCTTCTCAATGAATTGAGGTTTGTCTAATGGTTCCTGCAGCACCGGTATTGAGGCAGGCACCTACCTTAAGTGGGCTCTTTAGCAGGGAGGCGTGCCTTCTGCTCTCACGATGCAGACTCACGCTTCGAGAAGAGAACCAATGGTTCTCAGCTCATTGTGATAAGTCTTGTTGTGTAATACCAAAGTAGGCAGGCGCGTCTAAACCGACAGCAAAGAGACGCCTCGAAGGGGCGGATGCCATTCTCCAACACCTACTCGCGGTAGGGGCGATGCTGCTCACACTGTTTGGGCCAAGCATCAATTATTGTCGTGTTGTTTCCCCGTACATAGATAGGAGCTTTACTTAGGTAGATTCAGTCCATTATCAAGTCGTTTGTGTTCGTCTAGCGGGCAGTTCGCAGCGTATGAAATATGCCTCTAAACATTGATTCATTTGCTGCAGTCAGTCAGCAATCGGGTCCCTCGGAAAGAGCAGCACGATCAGTGTGTAGGCAATGGAGGGTGACGGTGTCATGGGGGCCTCTGTGAAAAGCACATTTTCGACGAAGATGTGGGCTGCCGCTGGAGATACCCCAGAGTAGTAAGAACTAAACGCCTGTAATCAAAATTTTGTGATGCTATCCAATGTAAGGCTCCATTTCTCGGCCACATTCTTCCCAATGGTCCGCCTTGGCCGCTCTGATGTTCGTTTTATTCGTACAAAACATGGTATCATAACCCCTTCAATCCAAACGAGTAGGGGGCATTTCCAAAGAAAAAAGACACTACAGCTCGTGGCAACGCTACCACGCATAACCTCCCAACCTGTTCTTCTTCGCACTCACACGATATACGCAGCTCCCAGAAGGCCCATTGCTGCCACCGTCAGGACGCTGCCAAGCGCTGACTGGCCCATCGATGCCAGCTTGCCCGCGGCGGCATTGTCGCTGGTGCTCGCCGTCGGGCTTGTCGTTTGAGTAGCACTGGCTCCCGTAGTAGTCGCTGCAGTGGCGCTGCTGTTGCTGCCGCTGCTGCTATCCGAGCTCACCAGCGCCGAGAGTTGGCTGTCTGCCACGAAGCTGGCAGTCAAGGTCGAGTTCTTGCAATCGGAGCTTGTCTCGCCAGTGCCTTCAACAAAGTTCACAGCAGCGCACTGCCGATTTGTTAGCCTTGATAATCCGAAGAATTTTCATTCTTGTTGCCTCATGGCACAGGCCATGGATTGAAGGGCCGGTCGACTTCCTTGCCGTATCCCAGTACAAGCATACGCGGGCGATGGGATTCACATAAGTGTGTAGTGTGTAACACGTACCTGAAATAATAAGCCATCTACCGCGTTGGCCACGAGACCTACGACACCCTGCTTGCCAATCCAACCTTCTGGCGCGGTGATGCTCGGCTCACAGAAGTCACCCAGTCCGCTCTGCTGGACAATGGGGAATATCTGTGTCCAGTTGCTGGAGGCTGTCGTGTCGAGGGTTGCGCGGAATAGCCAATTGGCCTGAGGATGTCCGAGGAACAGCACAACAGGCTCACCACCGACGTGGAAGTCGGTGACATTGTTCTTGGAGAAGTCAGGCGTGAAGCCACCGCAGGGGTCCGTGTCCTCCTTGTCCTCGTCGAAGCCAATTGTGGGCGGAGCATTGAGCTTGAAATGCGCGCTGGCAAGCAGAGGGAGCAAGCTAGCAGCAAGGAGCTTGGCGGGGGGAGCCATTTTGTGGTGGTGGTGGTGGTGGTGGTGTTTGCTTGAGGTGAGGTGCAAGTGGGTTGACGCAGCCGGCGACTGGGAAGATGACTTCAACAGCAATGAATTGGCCGTTACGATCGAGGCAAAGCTGGCGATTATGGGACGAGGAGAGGAAACGAAGTCAGACCTTGGAGCGGATCCTGTGAGCGGCGGATCTCCCAGCTTTTAAGTAACGACGACAGCAGCAGTTGGTGGTGGAGGAGCAAGCACGCAGCTGTTGGTGTCGGTACCTTGATGGTGGGGGAGCTCGATGTCAGGTCAGGTACGTACTGACTGCATGTATCCACCACGACGGCTTGTCTTGGGTTGCTTATTCTTATTTCAACCTAGCTCGGTCCTTGAGCTGTTTCTTCCGACTGCCAAGCCGGGCGGGGGGTTCGACACAGGCAAAAGCGGATCAATGTTGCTATTATGAAGAAATCAGGGGCCAAGCTAGGATGGCGCACCGACGCTAACATGGGGCAGAGAATCGAGCGAAGAGGCTGGGAGAGCGTTGATGAGAGGGGAGCGATGTACCCTTGGAGACATGGACCCAACCTTGAAGTTGTCTGATGGATGGATGTGCGCCAAATAAGCGTTAAGACCCATACATGTACATGTATAGCACTGTACAGTACGGTCTTATCATGGCGTGGCGAGAAACGGAGCAATGGAATGTAGAGTATCAGACGGCTCCGTGGCGGCGGACCGCTCGGGCACCCTAAAACATGCTCACTGCAAGCTTCGTGACAACGGCCGCCTCCTTGCAACCAACGCTGCCAGGACCAACCTCCGATCAGCTACAGTAGCTCATAACATCGACATTTTGTTGCTGGACTACCGGTATCTCCCCCCAGGTTGCTGTGTATCAGGACCCGGGAATCCGGCGACGACGGACTCAAGAAAGCTGGAAGGGCATTGCCTCAATGAAGTAGGATTTCTGAGACAGGGCAGGCCAGTCACACAAGTAGTTGCAATACCCAAGCATGCATGCGACTTTTATTTTGCACTCCGCCTGGGGGTCTACAAGGGCTGCATCTTGGTGATATGTCGCGAGCAGTAGGTCCGACCTGATAGGATCAGCTACTTCTATTTGAGATCCAACCAACCTTCCAACCATCCATCCATCCACCCAATATCCACGAGGTTTCGCCATGTCCAGGGCATGGCGACAAGGCAAGCTACCTAGGTATGACAGACCCAGAGAGGTCTGGTCAGCAGCAGCGCATTTCGACCTCACTCCTGTGCAGGCTGTCTGCCAAGGAAGGTGTTCGTGCACTTGGTATATAGCCTCATGGATGCCATCCACACTGGATTTCATAACTACTTGGAAACGTGCAAACATCCAGTGCTGTCTGTGGGAATCCGTCACCTCTGGGCCAGCCGTGTCGTGCCGTGCACCGTGCCGCGTAGCCGGATGGGAACTCGGGGAGTTTGGTATCTGGTATCTGGTATCTGGTATCTGACTCCAGTATGTGGCATCTGCATCTGCATCTGCATCTGCAGCTATCCAGGTTCGGTCCTACCTGTTACCAATGAATAATTGGAGATGACTGAGCAGCGGTGTTCTGTATGATCAAGCACAAAAGTCTCGAGTGTCGTAGTCCGGAGTGTTGGTGTAAGTCAGGTAGGTACCGTGGAGGGGATAAGCGACCCCTCACTGGCCCTCTGGCAGCGGGGGGAGCTGCAAGGACAGGGGCCTGATGTGGATAAGGTACGCACTAGCAAAGCCCCAAGGTAGGTACCAAAACCCGCTCATAAGTACCTACCTAGGCGCCTAGGCAGTACAGCAGCTCATCTGTCTCGAGATCTCGGTATCATTCTCTGCCAGCCTGCGTTATTCAGCAGTTGCCCATGCAGAGAAGACCGTTGATTGTTGATCTTCAATGCCGACACACGCACACACACACACACACACACCAGCCGTACCTAGCGAGCCTAGGTAGAGCTTTGATGCGCGGTAAAACGGTTGCAGCAAAGCTCACGTTATCTGAGGTACCTACCTCGAGCCTACAGTACCTACCTAGGTATCTAGGTAGGTAATTCCTTTTGGTGAGGACGAATGAGGGTATTTGAGCAAGTTGTGGCGTCTTAGCGCCCGAATCTGCGGCAGCCTGCATGCCCTTGCCCCGCCGAGCCCGCCTCCTGTCCTGCTCCTGCCCTGCTCCTGCCCTGCCCAGGTGCGTCCGCAAACGGCATCTGGCCAATCAAAGCTTCGATTGAACCCTCCACGGCTTCCCAATAGGGTAAGGGTACTACCTAAAGGTACTACCCGGTGAGTACCCTCGGTACCCTTCCAACTGTCCTCAGAATACAGTCTCCAGTGTCTGTCCCAGGCCCTTGGATCGGAAGTGCCACCGCACACGCCACACGCCACCTGCGCACTCTTGGGTCCAAGGGTTCTTAAGGTAGGTAGGTTGGTACCTACCTTAGGTAAGTAGGCAGAAGAAGACGATGAGCATGCTGAACGGCTGGCTTCGTACAGAAGCAGACCAGCGCCAGCATGGAAAGAGAAACAGAAGGAGAGGGAGAGGGAGACATGTAATAATAAATCTGCATAATACGATATTAATTGCCTCACAGCACTTCAAGTTCGGGGTTCTAGGAGCGTCTGGAATCTGGATGGCACGGCTATTCTACTGGTACTGGCAAATGTCTGCTGCTGTATTTGTATTTGTATCGGCAGATGAGGTAGCGAGGCAGATACCGGTGCCGTACCTACAGTAACTGTACAGGGCAATGCCTTCAGACGTGTAAATCTCGAGTGGTAGCCTCCTTCGCTACGATTTTCCCGTGCTATTTCCAGAGCGCATTCGTTTCGTTTTCTCTCGGGCGTAGTGTAACGTTAGTTCCTGTTCCGACTGAATCTGCTCTTTTCTGCTCACCGTCACTACTACGGTATGCACGCAGTACCTACGCTCCTACGGTAGGGTGCTCGTGTTTCGCATGCAGTAGGTAGACAACCTGGGGGTACAGAAGCTGAGTACCTAGAGGCAATACGGCAGTTTGGTGTGAGTGGGCATCCCATCCGCCGCCATCTATCGGTTTGAGGGGCTTACTATGTACTCTACTCTACGTACTCTTTGGGGCGATCTGGGTGCCCCCCGCCGCTGTCAAACGCTCAAATCTGCAGTTCCGTTTTCCTGTACGCCGCCCGTCGTAGTTCATTATCATCATCATCGCAACATCCAACCAACTTGACGATGATGGATTGACTGATTGATTGACTGACTGACTGATTTATCCATTGCTTAGTTACTTGCTTGCTTGCTTGCTTCAAGAGTGGCTTGACATGATTTGATCTGGCCGGGACAGACAAACAGCAACTCTCGCCTCTCGCCTCTCGTCCTCTCAACGAGCTGGAGTCTATTCAAGGCACCATCTTATCTGCCCAGCAGGTTTTGCTCACGAGTTGCACATACGGTCGAGGCCACCTCGTCCCAACATCTCTGAGTCGTCTTCTCGCACGCCGCTATCGAACTATCTTGACGATTTGAGCCAAGACGGACATGGACGGCATGGAGGGCATGACCATGGACATGGGCTCGGGCATGTTCCAGACCAAGAACATGGCCCTCGCCCACGCCTACTGGTATCTCATCGCCGGCGTCCTGGGTCTGCTGCTGGTGGTGCGCGCCGTCAATTACCTGCAAACACAGACGAGGCAAGTCGGATGACTCGAGACAAGACGTCATGGCATGGCTTTGTGTTGAATGAAATGCTAACAGTCGCTCAGGCTGCGCACATGCTCTTCCTCCGCCATCCAGTTCCCCACCAAACCTACCAGCCAATTCGCCCAGTTGTGGGCTACCTTGACTGCAGTCGGCCGTGAGATGAGCTATCCGCAGCTCTATGTCCCGTCGCGGTTCTTCTCATGGATGACTCCCCCGCCCATGGGACGCATCATCATCCTCCTCGTGTATTGGGCCGTCGTCATCTACATGGCGACTGCGAATGCCATCGTCAACGACGCCTACTTCTGGGAACGTATCGGCTTCCGCAACGCGTGGGTCACTGTCACACAGGTGCCACTTCTCTACTTGCTCGCCTCCAAATCTAGCGTCCTCGGGCTTCTCGGAGGGACGAGCTACGAGCGACTGAATTGGGCGCATCGCTGGGTTGCGCGCACCATCTTTGTTACCGCGAGTGTCCATGGCTGGCATTTTTGGACCGAGTGGGTGCGCGCTGATATTGTCGACTACTATCTGCCCATGATGCCCATGGTCAAGTACGGCTTGGGTGCTTGGGGAGTCCTGCTTTTCACCTTGCTCAGCTCATTTGCTCCACTCCGACATCTATGGTACGAGCTCTTCGTCGTGCAGCATATCCTGTCCTCTGTCTTCTTCCTCTGGCTCATTTACGTCCATGTCCCGGTGTATGCGCGGTACAACGTCTGGTTCGCGATTGCCGCCCTCTCTTTTGACCGATTCTATCGAGCAGTCCTCTTTGTTTGGCAGAACGTCAAATTCCGACCGAATCCGTCGCGCTGCAAGGGAGGCCAACGTCTGGGGCACCAGGCACAGGTGCGTGCTGTTGGCGAGGACATCACTGTTGTGACGATCAAAGATGTCCATTTCTCGTGGCGAGCCGGGCAGCATCTCTACCTCTGGATACCTCGGATAGGGCTGACCGATCACCATCCGTACACAATCGCATGTGCCCATCAGCTGCCAGAGACGTGCATCTGCAACAGCATTCAGCTTATTGTACGGAAGCACAATGGATTTTCTAAGAGGTTGCATTCATTCGCAGAGAAAATGCAAGCAACGGGGAGAAAAGAAACGCTCACCGCATTTGTGACCGGTCCGTACGGCGCACCGCCGCGGTGGGACGTTTATGAGACCCTGATACTCATATCGGCCTCGACTGGTGCCAGTTTCACGTTACCGATCCTTGAAAGCGTCCTGCAAGCGAAGACGACTTTGTGCACCAGGAGGATCGATTTCCTTCTGGCCGCGAAGAAAGGAGATCAGATCGATTACTATGTGCAACGACTCCACGAGTTGATCGACAAAGCTGCCGATTCTGGCATTGAGTTGACTGTGCACATCGCAGTAACTGGGGGTCCCTCAACATTCTCTAATGAGAAGCGATTGAGTGAGGGAAATGTTCGCACTACACCGTCGTCATCCAAATCATCTACTACCCCTACTAGCTTTGATGAAAAAATAGGTGCTGTGACCTCGGTGGATATTGAGAAATCAGCGGCGCGGACATCGACTCCCCGATCCCACAGACCCGGCAGTAGTGCGAGCTCGGACTCGCACGTCCATCACTCGAGTATACGACCCGATATCGACTCTTTCATCCGGGAACCTGTAGAACGGACAGGCGGCGAGACATCAGTTGTTGTCTGTGGCGGGAAGTCCCTCGTTGCGCGGGCACGGAACTGCGTCGCAAAATTGAGCGATGAACGAGCCGTGCATAAGGGTACGGGAGCCCAGGGCATTCATCTTCATGTGGAAGAGTACTGCTTTTGATCAACATAAGTCGCATGCTTGAATGCGGCGAGAATTCTCTGAGAAGGCCCAATGCTCCTTGATCAGAGGCGGATAGCAGTTCGACTCACGGACCAAGGATGACAACGGCTAGAGCGGCGCGAGCGCACAACGTAATATGCCTTTTATATGTGTGGCATTTCGGTCCCTTCTGTGAGGTCCAATTCTCTAACAGAAAGGTGGTGGCACATTAGGAACTCTGACTTGGAAGGACATGAGGCCCTACAGCAATCACGCCAGGGAGCTATGTCGTCCCGACTTGGGTCCAACGGTCTCTTTGCGCCTTGCCCAGACTTTGGACATGGGCCCGAATATGAAGAAGTCTGCTAGGTGAACGGAAACGGAAGAGACTGGAAACAGCTCTTCTAATCCGTAGATATAACCCCAGTTGGATCGATGAAAGGAATACCAGGACTAAGGAGATGGTCGGACACTAGAACCAGAGCTGTCCTGCCGTATACGCGAGGACGATCAACGTGAACAATGTGAAAATTCATTTGAGAAGCAAGGATGTTCTTCCCTAGGGGTTGAGCCAGTAAGCGTTGGGATATGTCAAGCATAGCGACGTAGCTTTGGATAAATATATGTGACTATGAGCAACGATTATATAATTTGTTTACAGCCTGCTAGAATCAAACACTAAGTAAAACATGTGCAGATTGAGGGTGATGTTGACAATGACAGACCCATCATTGTCGGCGTGTTGGAAACAGCAGCCTTACCAGGTGGCGGACAGCTGTCAGGTTTATCGCATTGGGCTGCGGTGCTGATAACGTTAGGTGAACCAACGCCCTGCAGCTGCACCTGCCCTAAGGATGTGACTGGCGGTACCTGAGCGCGCGAAACCTAAAATTTTCTGAAGGGAGTCACAGCCCGCCATCCCGTCGAGTCACCAGTCTGCTCTCCATTGACGATATCAAGGGAAAACGGTCACGGTCGCAGGTTATGCCAGTTCTCCTCCCACGCACATCACACTCACCTATTTTCACTTCATCTCTCTGCATTCGGCAGTTGACTCTGACCACATCGCGAGCTGGACACTCTTTCTCCCGGCGCATTGTATCTCGGCCGGCCTCGAGCCCAGACCCCGCCTCGAAACTCTTGACGCAATTACGCCCGGTAATATACCACAGCCACCAGACCGACGCCGCTGTCGGTCAATCGCGCAGCTCAACCCTCCAATTTGGACCTCTTCGTACACGAGAGTTCAAGCGCACATTCGCCGCCATGGCCACCACACATCGAGGCTTCGACGAGCTAGCGAAGCTCACCGATGGCCTGGCCCTCGATGACATGCGCGACCGGTACCCGAACTGCTTTCCCGACGTAAACCCTTTCGACGTCTATCGTGCCCACCTAACGGGAATTCTTGAGAAGATCACTGGCGTTGATCCCAAGATCATCTACAACGCCCTTCAATGGACGTCGGGGCTGGAAAAGGGTGATCTCATCCTTGCGGCGCCTGCTTTGAGGGTCAAGGGCAAGAAACCTGACGAGCTCGTGAAGGAGTGGTCCGAGAAGGTCAGTAGATACAGTGCCAAACTCTCTCTTTGCGCCCATACCTGGTCGTGCATATCTTGCCGGCTGAGGCTAACTCTGCTTTCCTCATAGTTTCCTGAAGACCCCCTAGTATCCAAACCCATCGTCACTGGCTACTTCATGTCCTTCTTCTTCAAGACTGGACCTCTCACACAGGCAGTCATTCCCATGATCCGACAACTGGGCAGGTCCTTCGGTAATAATAAAGCACTTGGGTTGAAAGATTCCAAAGACCCCAGCAAGGGACAGAAGCGGATCATTGTCGAGTTCTCCTCCCCCAACATTGCCAAGCCCTTCCATGCCGGCCACTTGCGAAGTACCATCATTGGCGGCTTTATTTCAAATCTGTACGACGGCATGGGATGGGACGTCACTCGAATCAACTATCTAGGCGATTGGGGAAAGCAGTACGGTCTTCTGGCATTAGGCTTCGCGCGGTATGGCGATGAAGAGGCACTCCAAAAAGACCCAATCAACCATCTCTACGAGCTCTACGTCAAGATCAACAAGGAGCTTACCGAGGAGAAGTTAACGATTGATACGGCGAAGAAGGAAGGTAAGGATGTCACGGAGCTGGAGGCGACCAGCCTTGACGAACAGGCGCGAGGATACTTCAAGAAGATGGTCGACGGGGACGAAGCAGCGGTCGCCCAGTGGAGACGATTCCGAGATCTCAGTATCGTGCGATACAAGGAAACATATGCACGGCTAAACATCCACTTTGACGAGTATTCTGGAGAGAGTCAGGTGCCCGAGTCAGCAATGGAGGCAGCGGCCAGGAAGATGGCCGAGATGGGTATCTCTGAAGAGTCAGAGGGTGCAGTGATTATCGATTTCCAGAAGCTTGTTCCTGGCAAGGAGGGCAAGCGTTTGGAGCGGCCGATCGTACGGAAGAAGGACGGCACTGCGCTCTATCTCACCCGAGACATCAGTGAGCTGCTTGGACGCCATGAAAAGTATCACTTCGACCATATGATCTACGTTGTTGCCTCCCAGCAAGACTTGCATCTGAAGCAGCTGTTCAAGATTGTGGAGCTCATGGGGTACAAGGACATCGCGGCGAAGTGTCAACACATCAACTTTGGTCTAGTTCTAGGAATGAGCACACGAAAAGGCACAGTCAAGTTTTTGGACGACATTCTTCGAGATGTAGGTGACAAGATGCACGAGGTCATGCGGAAGAACGAGGACAAGTATGCGCAGGTCGAGAACCCAGATGCTGTCGCAGATACCCTTGGCATCAGCAGTGTCATGGTTCAGGATATGACTGGCAAGAGGTAAGCTCCATTAGGCGTTTTGTAAATGATTCTCCATGATCTGACTTAAGCTTTAGGGTCAACAACTACACGTTCAACATGGAGACTATGACGTCTTTCGAGGGCGATACTGGCCCGTACCTGCAGTATGCGCACGCTCGTGTCTGCTCTATCGAGCGCAGGGCAGCCATCCCGGTCGAGGAACTCGCGGCGGCGGACCTGTCATTACTGACAGAGACACATGCGATCAATATCGTCAGGATGCTGTCCCAATGGCCAGACGTAGTGAACAACACTCTCAAGACTCTTGAGCCCACCACGGTCTTGACATATCTCTTCAAGATGACACACGCATTGAGCGCAAGTTACGACCATCTCAAGATTGTCGGTAGCGAGAAAGAGCTCCAGAAGGCCCGTATGGCGCTTTATGATGCGGCTAGGATAGTACTAGCAAACGGCATGAGGCTACTAGGCTTGACCCCTGTCGAGAGGATGTGAGCTGGGCACACTGATGATATGGGACGTGGCTAGAATTATTGGTAGGTAGCCTAGCCTGGTCACAACTATTGTTGTAGCTATGGAGTCGGATATTGAGGTGTCGGTGCGCCTAGCTAAGGCCGTTGATTACAACGGCAACGAACTTCTCGTTTGGGTGGCTTGCTGTGCAGCCAAGACATCGTTGACTGCGTCATTAGCATTCGATTGACGATCGCTGATGAATAGGGGGCAAGGCCCAGTGATGAAGCAATGCCTAACTTATTTGTAAGAAAGCTTCGATACCAATAATCCAGACGGACTCTTTGCGAAGCAAACTCGCTTTCAACTTCTCTTTCATCCACTCCAACCCCAACCTGTGATATATATTCTTCGGCGTCCTCGCCGTCTCATAAACACATTTTCGAATGTCATTGAAAACTCATCAAGGATCATCTGATTTTGCGAAACTCTCTAATATAACCTTCAATAACATTCAAGTCTCTAAATTGCTGAGTATCTCCATCTAACAAATAAGTCCGGACTAACTATCAGACATAGCCGCGCGCTTCGTCTCACAGTCGGTCTGATCATGCTCATAAAGATCACTATGCACTCAAAGACTCTAGGTAAACTTGATCTCCTGGGTACTGACAGACTCTCCTTTCGGCGGCAATTTAAACGTTGCTGACAGCCAATTTCCCGTCACTAGAATCCTGAATCAAGCGATCCCACATCTCCAGTGTGCACTCTTGGGAATTCAGCTATGCGAGCATGCTTTGTGAGGTGGCGTTAGAACGTAGTCTTATGGTCAATGGCTCGATCCGAGAACTAACCACATCAAAGCTTCTCATAATTTCTTCCTGGCATTGAGGGAGCACACCGGTTGGTGGCATTATGGCTTTTGAGATATTTTGCAATATCTTTTTGGCATATGAATAGACCAATCATGAAGAATGTAACTCAGTAGGTTTTCGGTAGCTTTGCAATGATCCAGCGAACCAAGAACCACGAATCGATATGGCACCTCTGATCTCTTGGATTACGCGTTATACAGGGACGTGCGAAACCGATGTAATCGCCTGAAACGTCATATATCCATCCAGTAGTTGAAATGGAAACCCCCCTTATCTTGTCTCTATCTTTGTGGACTGTGTACCCGTCAAGCTATTCACTTCATCCTGATCAGAGTTCAAGTCCGACCTACAACAAACCTCACTGGCTGGCTCCTCTTGGAGTAACGACGCTACTGTAGAAAAGATGGACGGTATGCGGCGCAGAACTGAGAACTGAGGGCGTTTCCAGCCTGTGCCGATGGGTGGCACGCAAATAGAGCTGCGGCCATTCTCCTTCGCGAGGCACAGGTGAAGCCCGTGAACGGCAGCGAAGAGCATTGTACCTGAAATAAATGGGCGAATACCTTAGCTATTCACCGCCACAGATCCGATTCCTCTTTTTATTCATTGAAAATAGAACACGACGTGATATCATACTTGCAAACAGTCCATAGTCAGCCATTTGATAGTGTAATTCAGTGATCCAAAGCCAGGCTTTGGCTTGTAAACACTTTCTCTCAATTGCCCGGGATTAACGTCAGGCCGAAAGCCATAGGCATCGTGATATTGATCCGCCCTAGTATGATGATGCATTCCCTTATGTATTTAGGAGAGGCGAGAAAGCCTTGAAGAGGTGCTCGCTGCGTGCGGGTCGCTTACCCAGTGATCGAGCTCATGATGCTCGTTCCATCTCGCGAGAGAAAATATCTGGTCCCATCTGGAGTCCAAGGGCAGCATTGACTGATATACTCGAGAGCATATACACTAGATTGCACTTCTAGATCGACGTTGGTCGCCCGCCACTTAGGAAGGGCGACGAAGTTGTTTGGCTCCAGGAACCAGCCACAGATGCCACACGCTGACAGCATGTGCCTTCTTGTGGAGGGGTACCTGAAGTGCCTGAGCCACCGTGGGGGAACCCGTAGTGCAATGGTGATCATCCCGACGCTAGAGGGTGCCGCGCCCCCTGCAATACCGAAGCCTGCATGACGGCGTCGGTTTGACAGCCGGCCTAAGAACGCCGAGAAAGCCGATCGCTGCTCAATGAGGCTGGCGTCTTGGGCTATGGCCACGCTGCGATAAGTTACACGAACTGCACACAACTGTCAGTCTAGCTTTTGCATACGCCGACAGAAAGCCACGTAGATGAAAAGACCGTTGTCTTATGCATAAACCAGGTGGCTTCTCAGACACCAACTCTTGGGTGACCGGACAAGCCCACGTAACACAAACGATAACGGTCTGGGTCCGTCCTTGATGCCCTCGCGATGATGACCGATGGAATCTTTCGTCCTCATCATGTTGATTGCTACGTAATTACAGAATGACTCCTCGATGTAGGTGTAAGCCAAATATCAGATCAACGACAGTAGTAGTGAAATTATTCGCTCTTGCCGGTCCTATATCCTATGCATTAATTATTTGTAGTTAACATCATCGGTTTGATTTTTCTTGATGAAGCAAGTCTTCAGATAAGCGAGGTTTACGCGACTCATAGGACAAGGGTACAAGACCGAAAGGTACTCGGCTGACGGGCCGAGAATGTCCGGGCCTTGACCAACTTGGAATATCAGCCTTGGTATTGATGATACGGGTGTGCATGCCTACCAGTGACATGGTCGGCGATGTTGATCTATTTCCATAATAAGATTGCTCTCTCCCCTTTCCATCTTGGAAAGCTCGGATTGTGATTAGGTTTGTGCAATCATCGGCGATACCTCCCATCAATCCCTTTAGCAAACCTCCTCTACGCGTATCACATGCAGAACGAACATAGCACCTTAGTTTTTAGCCCGATTACTATGCCTCGATTAGAGCACGGTTAACAAATGGGATCTCGTGAAACGTGCGGAGCGCTCGAGGACGTAAGGACATCCTTTGTGATTACAATCCTGAATGTGTGACAACGCCCCGTTTACTACAGTTACCGAGCTGTTGTGCTGGCTACTCTCTTGCCTGTCCCGGTGATGAAGAACTATGCTGTGTGGGGCGGACTTATAACGCAGGAATGATCATCGGTCTACCGTGGGATGGCGGTCTCCGTAGCATCGGGAATGTTGAGTGGAGCTGAACCTGTACAAGTTGTCTCCAAGGATTTAATGACCATAGTACAGCATTGAGCTACCAGTGTGTCAGGCATTGGATAACTGACATACGTACTCGGGGAGGACAAAGCCGTAGGACCGCAGCTTGGGACCATATTAGCCTCCTCTTCCCATGAGCGGTGGCATACTATATTATTCTTCTTGTCGTTTTCTCTTGGTCTTTGTCCTAGCCGTAATACATATAGATCAGCCGTTAGGATTGAGAGAACCCATGGCGGCACTGTTAGCTCTACTGCTGGCTCTGCTAGTTGGCTTCTGCCTCTTCCGCCTGTACTCGGGAGCGAAAAGGCTACCCGAAGGGGTAAAGCCTTTACCTGGACCGAAAGGTAAGCCTGTACTATCTTGCCTTCTATTGTTTATCTTTCTTTACGAGTTGTATGTGTTTCTGACGAGTACCTCAAGGCCTTCCGCTTGTTGGAAGGGTTCACGATGTGCCATCTGAGTCTTCGTGGTTGAAGTTTTATGAATGGAGTCAAGAATATGGACCCATCTATCAAATGGAAATTTTTGGCTCAATCCATGTTTGGATTTCGTCCGAGAAGATTGCCCACGATCTTTTGTCTAGACGTAGTGCTATTTACTCAGACCGACCTGTCATACCAAACCTTGCCGATAACAGAACGAGCGGCGACTATCTCGCACTGCTGGGGCGAACTGGTAAGTATGAACACATCAATTGCTGCACCGAGACTACGAAGGTATAACCACCAAGGTGTGAGACGGTGCTTACAATGTATATGCATGCAGATACTTGGAAGCGTCAACGTAAATTATGCCACCACCTTATGGGCACGAGCTCAACTGCGTCTCTCCATGGCTATCCTACTCGTGAGCGAGACCGGTTTCTTTACCTAATGGGGCAGGATCCCGGTAACTACATCGAATGGGTTGAGCAATTTACAAGCCGGACAGTCTCTCGACTAGCTTGGGGCAGCCCCCATCCTGCCAAAGTGCTACGGAAAACGACATTTGGCCTTCTTGAGGCGATAAGCCCTTCCGGAGCTTTGCCCAATGTCATTAGCTGGCTTGCTCACATTCCTAGCATTTTGAGTCCCTGGAAACAAAAAGAGAAGGCTCGCCACAGACTCGAAGAAAAACTGTTCGAGGGCAATGTGGACTACGTCCGAAAGATGCTGGACCGAGATTCAGCAAACCCGAGTTTCATACGCACATTCTTAGAGGATAAGGATCGTGAGACTATGGACGAGAAGTTGAAAGATCGATGGGGTAACATAAAGGAAGGCTCATATGTCGCAGGACTCATGGCGATTGCCGGAGCTTTGACCATCGGTAGTCCTATACAGAGCTTCTTCCTGGCAATGTGTCATTATCCAGACTGGCAACGAAGGTTGCAAAAGGAAATCGACCAATCATGTGCAGGAAAGTGTCCGCAGTGGGAGGATCGCGAAAAGCTCCCACTTCTGAGGGCTGTTGTAAAGGAAGTCATGCGCTGGCGACCACCTGTGCCAACAGGTAGGAAGTATAGATGAGAGAAACCAGTGAATTTAGCTAACACAAGCAGGTATTCCTCATGCCGTAGAGAAGGACGATATTTATGATGGATACTTGATTCCTGCAGGCGCAACTATCCATGCATTAGAATGGTAAGAAAATGCAAATTTTATTATATACAAGCGCTAACACACTCCCAGGGGAATGACACGCGATCAGTCTGTGTATCCCCAGCCAGAAATGTTTAATCCTCAGCGCTGGCTCTCGCCAGACTACCCAACCTTTAAGGAGCCACTAACTGTGTATCCTAATCTGAATGGGTATTCACAATTCGGCTTTGGTCGACGAACATGCCAAGGCGTACCAATTGTTGAGCAAGACTTGTTTCTCACTATGGGCGGCCTTGCCTGGGCTTTCGATATCAAAAAAAGACGTGACGAAAACGGCATGGAAATCCCGATTCATTGGAACAATTACACTCCGCTCTTGATTGCAAAGCCTGTTAGGTTCTCGTTCGATGTAGTTCCGAGGACCGAGGACAAAAATTCACTGCTCAAATCCATGTTCGAGAGCGCGAAGGAAGACGAAGAGGCTGCGATGCTGGATGAGCAGTCTGCTGTCGAACATCTGCTCTGCAAAGTGGATGGTAGTGAAAGTGACCACGATGTTAAAATCACTATACGTGATTCGTCATCCGAATCGGGCTCATCGAGTGATTCGGAAATTGAGTCTACAACTGCAATACGGAGAAGCATCATGGGCCAGCCGATCCCTGGAGCTTGGGTTTAGCCTTGTGCCTTTCTCGTCACTCAACGAAGAGATTACCCGCTCTACACTTGATCTTTATCCCGAGTCATCTCCCTGAACTTGTAATGGTTTCTGTCATAGACCACTGAGCAGCTATTCTTTTGTATATTGTTGATCTCGCTAGTATTGCAACTTCGGTTTTTAGCCTGCCTGATTCTAGATAAACTCAATATACCCAATTTGTGATACCGTTGTTGTGTTCTGGTGGCACATGCAAACCAAGTGTATGAATGCAATCCTTCGGAGACATATATCAGAACTGTATCCCACCTCAATGACAAGACACCGCGACAAATATAGATGGTATCGAGAGAAGACTGGCAGGAATGTTGAGATGTTTTGTTCCTTATTAATCAAAAAAGGGGGAAGAATGAGTGACCTTTGTGAGACTGATATATCTCCCTTTTTCAATCTAGAAGGTGAGAACCACTCTACTAGCTGCATTCACAACCACAACTACAGCATCGAGAATTATCATATCAACTTGTTGAACGAAGAATTACTTCGGGGTCTCTCATTTTGGCATTGGTCGACGTAATTTTTGAAGGATTATTGGTCCGCAAAGCGACCGCCATTTCAACTGCCGTAAGCCGTGCCGTGGTGAAAGCTTGTTAGAGGACTGCAGGCTTTGGTCGTGGGCCTGGTCAAGCCGCCCGGCTTGGCTCGCTTGATAATATCAGCCACCACATGGTTTCACTTGGCATACGACAACACAACTCGGCAGCATCTCGAGGCCGGCGCGGCGTTGCTTGCTTCGACCTCTTGCGCGACTTTGGAGGCAGCTCTCTACAATATCTATGATATGACCTTTCCTAGGACACCCGACCTGACGATGAAGTCCTGGAAAAGTCCGCCATCAACTATTCCGGTCGATTCTCTAGCTCATTGCTGGGCACCAACAAGATCGTGAGACCTCGTGAGATTTTATCTGGGCAAATCGTGAATCCCTGCTCTCCACCCGCTACTCTCCGAGTCTCCGCATGGCCGAGATGAGTTATCCGCGGCGAGAACACCGTCCCCCGTAAAGTTCCTTCCTCCCCGCGGGGAGCCCGATCGTCACATCGTGCTCCATCGCCATGGCGGCGCCCCGTCTTCAACGAATATCAATAGGTCCAAGACTTAGTTTGACCGAGAATATACGCCGCCATCCTAGCCTCAGAGCAATGCTATTTGCTGGCCACATCCGACTTACAGGGCTTCCCCTCTTCTTGGCACCTGCCAAGCACTTGGCAATGCTCGTCTTATCCTCTCTCGAGTCAGCGACCTCAGAGTAAGCAGTAGCTTCTGTATCACTTCTATAGGGCAGGTCCGTAATCTTGGTGCAGACTCCAGTGGTATGCTTGACTAGGACCCCTGTCTGCATGTTACGATAGACCTTCTTTGCAAACGGATACAGTCATGGATCACGATGATACCTAGCATAGTCCCCATTGGTTGTGAGGGGGGGTCTACCTCAAAGCACCCAGCGCTCCTTTATTTATAACTGACATGCTCTCCGACTTTCGATCTTAGAGATACAGCAAACAAAGATCAACGTCGTACTAGATTGCACACAAATATCAGCTCTGGACTGTACACTTGGTTTATTCCTACTGACCTCTATTAAAATCGCTGGCTTGAAATCATGGAGTCTACTCATGAGCCTGCTGACCCCGTGGCCAAAGGAATTTGGCCAACAGCGAAGCAATCCTTCAAAGATCTCTTCATATGGAAGCAGCGTGTAGTAGTACGCAATGAGTATGGCGAGGAAGCTGCAGAATGGCAGAAGCCAGTACCGCTCAAGAACCCAATCAGTTTGATGTCTCAGCTTTCTGCCAAAGGCTGGCTCTTCTTCTTCGTTGGTTTTGCAGCTTGGAGTGCTGATGCCTTCGACTTTCACGCTCTTTCCATCCAGCAGGCTAAACTTGCCAAATACTATGGAACCACCAAGACTAACGTGTCCACCGCGATTACTCTGACACTTCTTTTACGTTCTATCGGTGCAGCATTCTTCGGCCTCGCTGGTGACAAGTGGGGACGAAAATGGCCCATGGTCTTCAATATGATCATCTTGGGCATTCTGCAGATCGCCACCATCTACAGTTCGACATTTTCCCAGTTCCTAGCTGTCAGGTCCTTATTCGGGCTCTTCATGGGCGGAGTGTGAGTCAACTTCGTCAACTTACACGGTCAAAGCTAATGTCTTGACAAAGGTACGGCAATGCTATTGCAATGGCTTTGGAGAATAGTCCTGTCGATGCGCGTGGATTGATGTCCGGCGTTCTTCAGCAAGGCTACTCATTCGGCTACGTGTGTGCTGCATGTGCCGTTCTTGGAGTGGGCGATACTTCAGATAGCTGGAAGACCGTCTTTTGGATCGCTGCTGGCCTTTCCATTGGCGTGGGAATCCTAAGATGCTTCTTCCCAGATTCCCAACAGTTCATAGAGGCTCGTAAGGCTGGAAAGAACAAAGCTCATCCTTCTCAATTTTGGAAAGAGACGAAGATAATGTTGGGCCAAGAGTGGAAGATGTGCATTTACTGCATCATTTTGATGACATGGTTCAATTGTAAGCTCTCCTTTTCAACTTTAAGCTTTACCCAGCCACTGCTGACTTTCATGCTTAGATTACAGTCACACCTCTCAGGACAACTACACAACCTTTATGCTTACAGAAAAAGAGCTTGGCAATTCAGCCGCGACCCGTGCGAGTATCCTCATGAAGACTGGTGCTTGTGTAGGCGGTACCATCATCGGTTACATCTCTCAATGGCTGGGTCGCAGACGAGCCATTGTCGGTGCTGCGATCATCAGTGCATGTCTTATTCCAGCCTGGATTCTTCCCCACGGAGAGCGTTCACTGTCTGTTACGGGATTCTGGATCCAGTTCTTTGTTCAGGGAGCTTGGGGCGTCATTCCCATCCATCTCAACGAACTGTCACCCCCTGCGTTCCGATCGTCGTTCCCTGGTATCACCTACCAGATCGGCAACATGATCTCTTCTCCTTCGGCACAGATAGTAAACGCTATTGCTGAAAGCAATTTTGTTACAAGCTACAGCGGTAAGCAAGTCGAGGCATACGGCCCTACAATGGGGATAGCCACCGCGATAATTGCTATCGGTATTGCAGTCACAACTGCGTTCGGTCCTGAGAAGAGAGGTCGACACTTCGAGACGGCTCGTCCAGCTGGCATGAACTTGGAATGTGAGGTGGATGAGCAAAGCAAGGATATCGAGGCTGGCTACGGCGCGACCGAGCAGGTAGAGGTTCCAGAGAAAGAAGCTCAAAAAGTCGCTTCCTAGGATGACTGGACTAGTCATGATGAAACTGGACACGTTCTGTAAGGTATCCATGTCGGGGAATCGATGCCAATCTTCTGCGTAGCACTTCGAGTCAGTACCTCAGGGCCCATCATAATTTGCGAGCAGGAACAGAAGTCTGGTGGATGAGAGAGTCAAATATGCAGCATGGAGCCTTCGTAGCAGGTACGAGCTTTGAAAATGTGATACGATGTAGACATCTGCAATGACATGAGTTTATTACGGAAGAGCCCAATATAGCAAGTGGTGTCAGACCATGATGCAGATGTGCCATGAATAGCACGATTAAGATTCATGCTGCTTATTACTATTGAGCCGGTACTAATAATTATCAAGTCTCGGCGTTGCCGGGGAAGCAGAAAGAAAAACATAGACATTCATTACATAAAGGCGCTGCATTACATTACAAGAAGCGCCTGTCTAGTTTTCTACTACCGTACATTTTGCATGGATCTTTCTTTAGGCCACCTATCTTCTCTTACAACCTTTTCACCCGTTCAAGGGCTGTTGCAGTCGAGTTGGCCCCGATGTACCTAATTCTAAATGGAACGGTCTGAACAACATCGTACTCTGCGGGATCGGATGGGTTTCCATAAACGTGCAATGCACGCACAACAAATTTGTATACTCCAGATGGAGCGTAGGTTCCGTCAGCAAGTCGACCATCCCATATTGACTTCTGCGCAGCACGTGGTTCATACTGGTGCGGGAAGCTGTAGGCTTGGCCAAGGGTGGTGATACCTAGATTTGTCTTGGTTTCGACTGGCTTACATGTACTGATGGGTACAACATCCGCGAGCAATAGCGGAGATCCGAACGCGAGATTGACTACAAGGAGTGGCAACACGGTACTGTTCTCATACTTTGTATCGTTCGCGTGCCCAGGAGGCGGCAAGATGAAGGTGGTATTTGCTGGAACTGGGGGGAGGGCATCGAAGTCGACATCTTCGGGCGTGCCGTAATCATCTGCATCCGACGACAGGTATGTATTATTGGGATCCAGGACAGTTCTGCTGTGCAAAGAGCCCGTAACACCTTGATACGGCAATGACAAAGAAGAGCCATCCGTGCCATTGATTGCGATGTATCCAGACCAGACGGGCAGGCGCAGAGCATCGAGGCCAACCGGAGGTGTGGCGGTGACAGAGATTATGCGTCGCTGACCGGCAGGAATTGTGACAGTCGATGAAGGCCCGAATACAAGAGTCGCAAAATCATCGGTGAGCTCATTGGGAAATGTGGCGGGGAATATGGTAGTGTCGTCTTCAAATGTATATCCAGTTGCGGCACCGATATTGCTGAGGGTGTATGTTACCGCGGCCTTGCCCTCATTAGAAATGCTGAAATTCTGTACAGCCACAAAGTTGTCGGTATCGTTGTACGCGAGACTGCTTACGCTGAGCAGGGTTGTCGCATATGCAGCGTCATAAGCTTGCAGGAGTCCAGAGCCCTGTTGCGCTACTGGTGCGAGGACGGGGTATGTGGAAGCGCCGTCATTGAAGAGATTTGGATTGGCCGTGGCTGAAAGGATGTTCTCAATTGTCTTAGGGTCCTTTGTGCCTCGAGCGACCATGATGAGCGCATAGATGCCGGCAGCTAGGGGACAGGCCATGGAGGTTCCGGACAGGACTGCATACGACCCTAAAGCGGTGGGATACGTAGACAGAATCAAACCGCCAGGGGTCGCGAGCTGCGGCTTGAGATCGGCCTCGTATGTTGGGCCCCAAGAAGTATACGTGCTCAGGAAACCGCCGGTGGCAGTGTTGACCTGATCAACAAGGAATTTGGGTCCTGTGATTGGGTCGACCAGACTGACCACGACTTCTGAGCCCGCAGCGAGAGCCGTAATCCAAGTAGCGCCAAGGCTTGCTTCAACCATTGCGACCGCCTCGATACCCGGAACCCCTGTACCAGAGACAGAGACCGTGCCGGCAGGTACGTTGTTATAAAAGATGACATACTTTGCGCCCTTCGCGGCGACATTGGCAAGTTTGGTCACGAAGGTACAAGTACCTCGACGAACGAGAACAACATATCCAGACAGGTCTGGAGTATCGGCCGGCAGAGCTTCACAGGCATTCGCTGGGTCAGCGGTATTGAAGTTCACAGACCAGAGCGGAAGAGTAACACCGCCCCAGTTCGCTGGAGAGCCTGCAGTGAAGCCGAAAGAGGTGTTGGCGCCGCCATCGACGGTGTAGGTACCATTGTTGAAGAGAGTTGGGACGTGCGTGTTGTCGATAGAGGCGATGGCTGTGACCTTCTTGCCATTGGCTGCGGTGCTGGCATAGAAGAGACCAGCATCGCCATCATTACCGGCCGAGATAGTGCATGGGACACCGTTCTCCACAATGCGTTGAACGGCAACGGCCCAAGGGTCTTCGGTCCAACCTGAGGGGCCACCGATGGAGGCGGTGATAATGTCGGCGCCTGCCTCGTATGCCATGTTGTACGCAGAGATGAGAACATCATCAGGAGTCGAGCCATCACAGCCGAAAACTCGGAATGAGCCCAGAGTAACACCAGTAGCGGCTCCAATGATGCCAAAGGGGTTGTTGGTCTGCGCAGCGATAATACCTGCCACATGACTACCGTGACCACCGCAGTCAAACGGGTCCGGATCTGGAACAGGTGTGTTAAAGCCGTCAAAATCGTCGCCCACAAGGTCATAGCCAAAAGTCACGAGACACTCCGGACCGAAGCAGCCACCAAGCGCGGGATGTCGATAGTCAACCTTGTTTGGAGTTAGTGGTCATACGCCTGTACGGTCGGATTGCAGGCCCAATACTTACACCAGTATCAATAACAGCAACTTTGATACCAGTTCCAACATTGCCCTCCGCCCTCAACTTGTCAACTTGCGTCATCACATGGGTCGAGAACGTATCATTCTCAAACTGCCGTTTGGTCGCAGTGGCGGCGGCTATATCGGTTCCATCACCCAAGATCTGATGAACAGTGGGCTTCGGCATTTGATACAGACGTTGGGGCCAAATTGACTTGACAGCAGGCAAGGCCGCTATCGCAGCAGCACTCTCTTCAGCCTTGTCCAAGTCGTTAAACTGCACCGAGACGCCCTTGAAGAGCTTGAAGTCAAGCTTCATACGCGGTGAGGCGTCACCAGCGATCGAATCGAGCAAGGCATCCCCATCCTAGGAGCATATGTCAGCAAACCATCGTGTGAGGAGCGCGATACAATACTTGCATGACCGTCCTCGTACTCGATGATGTACGCACCGGGCAATATCGGAGGACTTGACTTGGCCAATACGCCTGCTGCAACCGCTAGAACCGACAGGACTGAGGCCGTTCGGACCATTGTTGACCTTTGAATCCCAACCAGTTAACACTGGAAGTCGAAAGACCGGAATAAGAAGAACGAACGCTAGGTAGCAACCCGGTTAAGCGCGTTCAGATAACGCTTTGCTCAACACAGACAGCTGCAATCCGTGGCGAAGCAAGGCGAGAGGCAGATCAGCGGAAGGCGGTCCTCATGTTTATATCTCTCCACCTTCTCGCCCGTGCCCATGTGTTCCCTGGTCGATATCCATCTCGGGGAGGGGTTAGGATACGACGGTGCCACCCGCCTCTTCTGCGTTGGTTTGCATTCCGCGGCCGGACATGCACAGCAGCATACCACGGCGCAGTGTGAGGTGAGCTAGGATGTCTGCCAGGATGAAATCATCGAATTTAACCAGAAGCTCTTATCAATATAATCGGGGCAGAGCAGATGCACCCCATTGGGCAGCCCGGCAGCGACGCCATCATTAAAGCATGCGCACTCTCGGAACACAACCATGATGTGCAAAGGCGCGAGCAACTGTTGGGTGGCTCGGGTGGCCATTGAGCATCTCGGAGAGACAGCCCAAGCAGGCTTGGTCCATGCTGTTCATTGCGGTGGGCCACGCATACCCTGTATCAACTTTGCTCAGGGAGGCAGGTCGCCAGGCCGTGCAAGAGAGAACAAAGGGCCGCCAAGTCCGCCAAGTTGGGAGCGTGCCTTAGCGCTGGTGCAGTTTAATTTGCTTCTGGGGGAGCATGAATTGGGGGCAAGATACAGAGCTCGATTGGAGGGAAACAATTCCTCTGTTAAGCAACAGCCTCACCAAGGAGCGTCGCTCTCTTCTTAAGAAAGAGGGAGGTTGTGAGAATCCAATGCGCCGAGAATCCATCGTGGAGCAATTGTCACTTTTGCTATTTAGACCATCAGCATCTCGATCGCTGGGCACTTGCTCCGATTGATGCACGACTTTATTGCTTGACTTGCTGTGAAATCTGCCTGAGCCCGAACGAGGGCCTCGATGGCAATGCCGTTGCCCAGCCGCCTGCCTGCCAGAGCCGACAGATTTACGCAGAATAACTTTGCAGCAAGGGGCCATCGCGACCTCCCTTTAAAGGCAAGGTTGCGACTGTGGCATGGCAAAGCTGTCAGCCGTTGCGGCGTGTCTAGGCCGAGGAGTGGCTCATTCAGAAAGCCAAGCAGAAGATCACAGAAAAGAAGATTGACACGGAAGATCGACTTAAGCAAAAGAACAACCGCCGTCAACTCCATCGTGCGCCAAGGAAATGTGGCTGGCCCAGGCGGGAAAAGATAAGGTAATTCTAGGCCTCGGTTGGACATTTGATGCCCCCTCCAGACGCCTCTTGGAAGCCAACTTCCCAAGGCCGTTGGGACACCTTCCACTGAGGGGAAGATCAATGCTGGGCATTTTCTATTCTGGCTCTCAGACGATTGAGATCGCAGGCTTGGCCTCGATCCAAATAGCTTCTCAAGAAACCAACTTCCAGATATGCTTTGCATGCAACCCATGTGCTAATTGAGTTATTTTCATGGCCGGGTATGAAGGTTTTCTCGCAGGACTAGTTTCTTCAATACGTGAAGTGCTGGAAAAGCCAACCCCGCGAACATACGCAAATACAGTGCCTACTGTACATGTACAGCATATAGGTTGGCTGGAATGCGTGAGACTGGGGACGCGCCCAACCTACCTGTACCTGCATCTTCCCAGGAACAGGCAGCTTACTCTACTCCACGCTCATCAGCGATAATAATCGCCTACGGATCCGTCTGCGCCAAGGTTATGCGATGGGTCGATTCGCTGTGCCACAGCTCATTATGGAAGCTGACATTGTATCCGAATGGAATGAGTTCCTTGTCTTCGAGGTGCGACGCAATTAATGAATAATGGCCTGAATCGGACTAAAGTCAATGATCCGGCTGAGCCGGCGAACTGCTGGCACGAATAGCGGCAGTAGACCACCTCATGGCGGAAGACCAATATTGCCTACTCACATCGAATCGTTACCTCAGATTCATTCTGCCGGTTTTCCCATGCCTATCTCATACTGCGACTTATGCCCACAGGCATATAAAGATTTGTAGCTTTCATTGTGGGGATACAAATCGCTGTGATGCATAGGGTCAGCGAGAGAATATCTAAGCTAGCCAAGTAAATCTGTACTCTCGTTACGCAATAAAGTACCCCAACTTGCCTCGCAAATGTCGATACCCACTGCCCGAACGCCAATCCCATAAGCCGCCTCGCTAAAATCAACGTCGGCTACCAGCGACAATGGGGTAGACAGAGATAAATCCTAGACCGCACTGAGAGTTGTGGGCAAATGAAGAAAAAGGCTTGATCAATCCCACGTTCTCTCGATGATGACAGGCAGGAAACTTCCGGAGCAGACACTTTCCGGGACATGATCGTCCTCATGAGGAGCAGCCTTAATAAAAGATATAGTGAGAGGGGCAGGCGCTCCAGTGATTAAACATTTGTCTTCCCCTTAGCGGCTATTGTATACTAAAGTCCACTAACACAGTGACCCAATGACAACGGTACTCGTAAGCTCGTACAGGGATACTCGCTCATCTAATATTATTACATTATATTTCGCAGCCAACGTTGTATAAGTATACATACAGTAATTTGTCGCGTTAGGGCACAGTCTGGCGATGTTAAGGAAAACCCCCTCGAATAGTGCAGGCCTGTAGATCTGCTGGCAGTCGACTAGCCCAGAATCCCCATTGTAGTATAACCGTTTCGACATCACTAAAAGGCAAAGATCATATAACGACCTTGATCAGTGTGCTATTTGTGTATTCAGTATCAAGGTAGCTATGCTAACAACTCCCTAGCAACCTCGTATGTATTCATAAACGAGATGCCCTCCTTTCTCCAAGTATCCGCCTCCACGAAAACATGCGTTGCGTTAAAGACCATGTTTTCCGGGCTGTTCAGAACATACTTTGGCCAGTGCGGTGCTTGTATGATGTTGGAAATCTTAGTCCCATCATAAGTGCTCGGCTGGTTTGGATTCAGGGTATTGACAAAGCGGATATAAGCTGTTCCCACCGCTCTTGCTATCTTCATGTCTGAGTCGTACTCGGGGCTGGGTCCCAGTAAGCCACTGATATTCTGGAAGCTGAATGCGACATTGTCGAAATGTGCTATTCCAGCAAGCTCGGTTTTGTTCCAGAGCCGTGTGTCGAATCGGTAAGAATATACATCTTGCCCTGCCAGTGTGTACTGCTCGCACATCTTGCGTCGGCCAGAGTGCATGACCAAATCCCCTCCGATAGCAGCACCTCGGCGCCACTGTAGGCCTTTAGAAGAAAACACGGAGCAGTTGGTGATGTAGAACGGCGGCTCGTTACATGGGTCATTAGGGTACAGCTCGAGCAGCTTCAGAATCGTCGGCGGAGAGAGAGCGTACGACCTCCAATATAGGAACAAGTTGAAGAGATCATGCTCGGAATTCGGGCCGGAGGGACTAAAGCTGGTCCCCTCGTCGGTGTTGGTTCCAGTGAGTAGTGGGACGCGGTTGAACTTGCCAGCACGAAGAAGCTGGCTTGGATAACCCGTCAGAAAATCACCGTCGATGAGAGGATTCCACACCTGTGTTGGAGCGGCCGCGAACAGGCTCTCCTGGCTCAGGCCGCGTAGACATGAGAGTTGATCTTTGGCCGTCCAGCAGCCGACAGTACGCGTGAGGTTCTCAACGGGCGGCGTATAGTAGGCCAGGTCTTGGACTTGACAACCGGTCGGTCCACCACTCTCCATGATCGCTCCCCGGTATAAGCCATCATCTCGGCCATCATAGCTCAACAGGTGATATGCAATACTCTGGGCGCCAGCGCTCTCGCCCCAAATGACGACCCGCTCCGGGTCACCCCCAAACGCCGCGATGTTCTCTTGTATCCAGCGTAGAGCCATTCGCTGATCCATCAGCCCAGCATTGGATGAACCTTCTGCCACTATCTGGGGTGTTTGAAGGAAGCCGTACATGTTAAGTCGATAATTCATGTCCACAGCTATGAGGGGCTGACCCATTTCCTGACTAAGCTTGACAATTCCAGAAAGGTTGTATTGAGGGTCAGCAGTAGAACCGGTGTACAGGCCGCCGCCGTATATCCAAACGAGGACCGGCAGGTCTTTGAGGTCGCCAGATGGACGGATTACATTCAAGCTTAGACAATCCTCTGAGAGATTGAAAGCTGTATGGTACTGCATGCAGCTGTAGCCGTAGGAGGTGGCATCACGGACCTCATCAAAGGAGCCATTGAGGCTCTGCGGCCATTTGAAGCGGAGCGACCCTACTGGAGGCTGCGCATAGGGAATGCCGAGGAAGGCATCCTGGTCCCATTCACTCAAGTAGCGACCCTGATATGTGCCATTTAGGACTGCCGCAGTGGGCACCACAGCGGCCCATGCTCGACTGCATAATTGCAAGATCGCCGTCGTGACGAGAACAGCAGATCTCATCTTGTGCGACTCAAACCTCTGCATCTGGGGATTCCGTACAGTACAAGAGAGCCACAATATAGGGTATTTCGTCTTCTGCTAATACATGCAGCTCGGCCCAACATTTCGCCTCTTTCTGGCTGACATGGCACTTATACATGGTTGTATATGCGCTCTATTGAGCATCGGATTCCTCCATTCGTTCCAATGATTGGAGGAAAATCCGCCGCCGGCCAAGTTTGTGTCATTTACGTCGATTGTTTAGTTGGAGTTGAGAATATGCAGATGGCGGAGAATGTGGGGTAAAAGTTGGGGTACCGCGCCTGTCCTCTGACTATACAGTTCAGACTCTGGTACTGATGACAATCATGTCGGCGATGTCCATGAGCATCGCGTGATTGCGCAGCAGCCTTGCCTGAACTTCGATAGGTCGTCGTCACAGTAGAGTTGTAGGCGAGCCTGAGTATCGCATCGCATCATATCCTGGATTAAGTCGGGTTGTACCATGACTTTCCACAAGGCCAGTGGATTGATCTCACTTCTCGCCCACGTACATGAGATCTGGATCTGCTGCACTCGCCATTTGACCTCTAAATCGGTAGGTGATGGAATAAGAGCATTGATATATTCCAGCAGAGCATCTAGGGCATACTGTCTTAATTGTTCTCGCATCGTTAAGTGTGAAGACGATGCGAATGTATTATATATACCGTTCCTGAACTGTTCCCGGTGCGGACCACCGATTTCTCCGTGGCGGTATTGACCAATCAGAATCGAGCCGAGTCGATTGCAAATCCATGCTTCATTTCTGGCTCCGGCTGTCGGATGCGAGGTCGGTTTTAATTGGGCGCGAGACCTACAGCTCCTTCTGTCATCAAAACCAAATTCTAACGAGACTTTGGTGTATGACCTTCGCGGACCACCACTCACCATCGACCTCATCTCCGTCGATCGATACATCGATGCAGTAGTGGTAAAATCGCAGCTCCTAACGAAATCACGTCGTAAAGTCGATTACCGCTTCGTTTCTCGTTGCCCTGCTTGTCATGCTCTGCCGTTCTTGCCTCCGGGCGAGGCTTCTCGCCGAACGATCTTCCAACATCCTCTCCACCACCCGTCCCCGTCTGCGACACCTTTCCGCCGTGGCTGCCGCAGCAGCCCCCTCTGCAACTCCAGTCGCTTTTCCGTCCAAACGACCCCAAGAAACACGAGCTCCTCAGCTATCCCGCCTTTTCCCTGCACCACTGCCCTCCAGGTCTTATTCATCAGCGCCAGCACCCTCGCCGCAATCAGGTACCATTCAGTCGAGCCCCGATCGGCCATCGCTCGAGAAGCCTGACTTCCTGGATGAAGCCGAGGCTCTTATTTGGGATAGGTTGTCTACCGAGTTTGCCCCCGTTGAACTGGTTGTACAAGACATTTCAGGGGGCTGTGGATCGATGTATGGCATCGAAATAAGCTCGGAGCGTTTTAGGGGAGCTACCATGCTGAAACAGCAGCGGATGGTGAACTCTGTATTGGGAGATCTCATGAAAAATTGGCACGGGGTACAGCTGAAAACACGAGTGCCATGATTCGTACGATCGTACACGCACAACCATCGCACGCCGACAGGGAGAATATGATACCCAGCAAGGGCTGCTTTTACAAGAACTGCCGGCCAGAACAGGAGCCATCAAGGCAGCGAATTCTGTCTGATGTGGTTCACAAAGCATCTCCTTGCTGCTAGATGTTGTCGTGACTTAGGCCCCACAAACAATTGTCACACAGTCGGCTGGGACATGATATGATTTTTCCAGATGATGTACATCTATGCAACACCTTCCTCTAGGTGTTTCCCTGAATCAGCTGATCTGTCTTGGCCAGGCTGCTGCATGGCGATTTCGACCCATATTGGAACATGGTCGCTGGGTCCTCGCTCAGCAGGAGTGTCTAGTATGCCGGTCTGTATAATACGACTGCTCTCCCATAAGCCTTTTGATACAATAATCAAGTCTACTCGATCGCAACTGCTTCCCCATGGTTTCGTCCGTGCATGATACGTATATCTTCTCTCATCTCCGTGAATCGCTCGGAAAACGTCGACACCTTGGAAGCAGCGATTCATCCCGTCGCCTTTTGAAGGCTGCGGACAGTATGCTCTGGTTTTTTCATTATCGTTGGAATCAAAGAACTTCGCGTTGAAATCTGCTCTGTTGACACAGTGCTGTAATGGCGAGGTTCGTAGGTTCGGGTGCCCATCCCACGGTCCACGTGCGACATTGAGATCCCCTGCAATGACGACATGAAAGCCTCGAGACTCGAGGAATAAACACTCAGCAACAAGACGTGAATGAAATGCCAGCTTATGATCATGCCGAGTTCCTGTGACTTGGCCAGTGTCGGGAGACTTGTACTCCGCCGACGTTCCGTTAACAGCATACACATTGATGAGGGCTAGCGGCTTGTCTGTACTTGTGATGCCAGTCGCAGCATCTGCCCTGGCTGTCATCCCAGATGTGCCATCAACTGAAAACAGATGCCCTGTTTTCTGCTGTGTCGTCTCAACAATACTTACACGGCCCTCCAAATCCCAGTCAGCGTGCCGAACTCGACAGCCATATGTCTGGGCAAAATCCTTGCGCAAGATAGTCCCTACGCCGTAGAGGCGTCCTTGAAAGCCCTTGGCGTTGTACTTGTCTCGTGGAAGGACATAATGAAGCTCATATGTCCTCTCCGATGACATTTTGTCACCGACTCCCAGGCTGCTGTTCAAAGACGACAACAGGGATGCCAGTTGTTTCCTGTTCGATGGGCCAACCTTTAGTTCCTGGAGGAACAACACTTCCGGCCAGTTGTGTCGGCAGAGGAATCCTCGTAATGAATTGTGTGGTAGGGTTTGTGGCTGAGCGAGGTCTCTATCCACGTCCAGAGCTTTGAAATACGACGTGATTGGGGCTGCGGAAGCTGAAATAAATGCTTGAATACCATTGATATTCCAGGAGTAGACTCGAACCCCCCGGTGGCCAGTTGGCATCTTTCGGTCACAATCGCTACCAGGATGTAGGAGTCTCCTACGCTTCACGCGCGGTGGGCTTATCTCGCGATCCATGAGCGCTCAGAATATCGCACAAATTTATCACTTTGCTGCGCGCCTAATGGGCTCCTCTAAGTAGTGACGGTATGGTCTTGCAGGCAACTTCAAACATTCATGCACTCGAGATTGCTGTCTTCGAGTGCGGCGCTCTTGAAAGAGTGAAACATGACGTCATTCAGTGACTCATCTAGGTGTTAGATTAAAAGCAGAGTGAACAAGGCTCAACTCTCGTTGGTAAACCTCCTCTGCAGTTTGGCCTTATGCCGATCCGTTGCAAGCTGGGGTGATATGAGGAAGTCGCCTTTCAGTCATCCTTCACGGGAATGAAATGGTTACTAAACGGAGATGATCGACAGACTCGCTAGGATTATAGTCAATAATTGTACACCGTGCAAATATATTACCTTGCAAGAAATTGTTGTTGCTAGATTCTGGAAGTTGGTAATTATTATGATTATTTTTAAGTAAAAGTCAAAAAGCTTATTGGTACTTTTCCATCTGATGAGCAAAGCCTTTAAACTGCTCTTGGACCCCCGAAAGGACTGATCATTTTCTCAAGCTCGCATATAACATTTTCGTAGATAGCCGCTTGTAAATGCGGCCTATCGAGATTTGCCCCAAAGCCAAAGTCACAGAATAAGCATTTAGATGTCAGGTCATCATACCTGGGCCCTAATCTTGATTTTTTACCTACTAATTTGCGGATCTGGACAACATCTTCCGGGTCTAGATATCGCCAGCGCCCTATCTGCAGCAAAGCCACCCCGAGGCTATGCACTGTCAGATTTCGAATCCCGCAGAACATCAATGCATCATCATCAACGGACTCTGGAGGAACCTGGGGCAGAATATCCTGATCCCGATGTTATCATCTCTGGGAAGTAATTTTGTGTCGATGTGGAGTGTGTTTAGACAGGTAGTTAAGTGAGGGTCGATATCAAAGTACGAGAGATCCGAGAGTTTCAATGCCGTCGCCACCATGGTGTTGAGTGATATTCAAGAACAGATCGTGCAAGCTGAAGTGCAAGTCGGAGTTGTCCGTAGACCGTAATGCTTCCCTCTTTGGATGGATCGATGATTGAAGCTAGGTTCTTGATATCGCAATTTGATGCCTGGATAGTCATGCTCTCTCTATCTGACGCTGTTAAGAGGCGGTGTCTGAGATTCTCACTCGAATCTAGATATCCAACGCATTCCTCTTGATGTGATCGGCAAAGAGTCTTGCCTTGTTCGAATACATACGTACACACATCCTTGGCATGGCAAAGTTTGCGTTCATCATGTAATTGCTTTGATTCATTACCGGTAACAACGGGACAGCTCTTGACGATAGATTGGCATACAGAAGAATCAGCAAATCTAACTCTACGAACCTTTCTTAGCGGCTCCGATCCCTCTTGTTCGTGCGATAAAACCATAGAACGACCAGATGCCAAGATTTTGGAACACACCAAGTCTTCAGAGCGTACTCGGAGAAGCAGAAAATTACTGTGCCTTGAAAGCTGAGGTTGATTAAAAGAAAGGGATGCTTTCATACTGTTGACTCAGAGAATTTGCTAAGATTTCATACTCAAGGATCAACCTAAACTCAATACTTTTATCAGATGTGTTATTGTCAAGAAACAATCTGGCCGTATGCTTGGAGTGAGTGGCATGGGATTTAAGGCATGACCAAATCGCAATAAAAGACTGATGAAATGATGATGAATGCCTCGCCACGAGCCCGTACTCATGCGGCATTGGCATGTGCTGTGTATGTGCCGATGTTTAGAATGTGAATTCTGCGCTTGGCGCCGACACTCGTTTATGTCCCAAGTTCCGGCAAGCTAGCGTTGGTTTCGATGGTTCTTGCTTCGAAAAAGACATTCTCAATTTGTCATATCTTGCGCGAACATTATATCTCGACGAGGTCGCAGATTACTGGTTGAGCATTCTCAGCATTAACCGATATCAATGTGACCGTTTCGCTCGGACTGTGATTCGGAAGCTCAACGGAACATTGCGAGGCAAGAAAATCGCCATTTTCGGCTTCGCCTTCAGAGACGGAACCAACGATACTCGTAATAGTGTTGCTGTGCACATTATTGCTCAGCTAGCTGCTGAGCTACCACGAGAAATCGCCATCTTTGATCCTGGCTGTGCGGTCGAGGAAGTTGGGTCAGAAATTCAGAGTCATATTAAAGATCCTGCTCAAATGAGTAGAATTCGAGTTCACCCTGGGTGGAGAGAAGCAGTTAATGGAGCAGCAGCAGTCTGCATTCTTACGCCGTGGGACCGATTCCGTGGGCCACTACCAATGATTCCGCTTCCATCGCCTAATACACTGATACATCGAATGGATGATGCAACCTTGTCACGTCTTTTGCAAGGTGATGAATCAGACCCCACAGAAACAGATCCTAGAGTTCGAACAATTGGTCCTGAGTCAGAAAGGATTGATTGATGAAGTGGATCCTTTATTTATATTATGCACACAAGATCCATGTGAGAAAGGTTGCAGGCATTGTGCAACGCTTATATAAAGCAGAAAGGCAATGACCTTGTCATATGGGAGACTGTCGCTGACTTGGTGGGTAAATCAAGCTGGGTATTTGACGGACGTAATATTGTGGATGGCATCAAATTGAGGCATCTAGGTTTCAAGGTCCACAGCGTGGGAAAAGGTCTGCGGCTTTGAGCATCCTTGAACCCACGTCGTCATGTGTCATGGAACCACAACCAGGACCCATTAGAATTGGCTTTCATTTATCGCATTTAGGATCTGTCGAGTGAGTTGCAAGTATATCGTGCGACCTTTGTTGCTTTGAACATTGTTTGGTTATAGGTTTGAGACTTTATCGATGAGAATATACCCATTTATTTGATTGATGTGGCCAAATGTGATAGTTCCCGTTCACAATACATTCGTGGTTCACGATACACACGGATGTATCATGCAGAGAATTGGTAGCTTATGCCCTTCCCGCTATATCAGTTGCCAGAATCGCACAACACCATCCCCATCTGTTGACAATAGAGTTTTCTTTCCGTCCGCCCCTTGAACAAGATGCCGCTTCTCGAGATTAGACCCCACAACTAGGCCTTGTGGTTTCAACATCCTCCATTTCCTGTTTGTTTCGACGTCCCAGATCTCAAGAGATCCATCATTGCATACCACAATGAGCTTCTTTCCATCATCCAACCAGTCCACCTGAAGGGCTCCAATGCCGCGGAATCCATCTCCAGCCCTATCATCAATCGCAAATATTTGTTCTACTTGTGCCCCTGGTTCTTCAAATGGTCGCCATATATAAACCGACTTTCGATGAGACAATGCGATAGAGTGTTTATCTGTAGGACGCCAGATCAAGTTACGCACCCAGTCATTGATCTCGAGATCATTCAGCCTCCCGACAATGTTTCCATCTTCACTGGAATGAACTGTGATAATGCGGCCTTTCCCAGTGCTAACAACAATATATCTAGAGTCCGGAGAGAATGATGCTGACCATGCTTGGCCCTCTCCAACGTTGGTATTCCAGTTAAGCTTCCCCGTGGCGGAAGAGTGGACGCGCGCCGACCCATCCCAAGACACAGTCGCTATCTTGGAGTTGTCAGGGCTGTATGCCGACCACACAATGGCGTCGGAGTGACCTGCCAGGGTAAACACCTCCTTCTTTCCGACTAAATCGTATACGATTATATGCGGCAGTTTTTCGGGAGGGCGCATTCCGCGTTGAGTGGTAGAATTATTACGTCGAAGCAACATGAATCTTCCACTGGTGTCGAACGGAGTGGACCCGAAGCCAGTAGCCGAGCCCTGGATAATTATCTTGTTTTTAGTTGCATGCCGTTTCTCTGCCAGGTCGAGAACATTCTCGAATTCTCTCACCAAATCAAGAGGCTCAATACTGCCGTCGGTCCATCCATAAGTCTCAACAAGGTCTTTTCGAATGCTGGTAAATGCTTTGGCAGCCAGTCCACGAGTATCGAGGGGCGCATCCTCGTCGACTAGTCGTCCATACTGGTCCAATTGATAGAGCTCTATCGTGCCGTCAAGTCCTCTTGGGTCTTCTCTTGAGCAAATCAGCACGTATCCGGATGACTCCTGGGCAGCAGGGAACCATAAACTCCTGATCGGATGCTCTCCATCTCTAATTCTCTGCCGTAATTCTTTAGTTTGGAGGTCATATATTAAGGTGCCCTTGTCATCCATAGCAGCAAGCAACTTCCCATCTGAGGTCACTGCGCTGCCATATCGCCTGAATGTTCTGTTCCATATACCGGCTTCTGATTGTTGAATCTGTAGAATAATGCACTCGTCCTCATCTCCCCACTGTTTTGGATATCCTTCCGCCCATGTTGGCGCTTCATTATTGGGTCCGTGAAAATCATGGCTTACACTATAGACGAACCGCTCTAAGGCTTCCTCGCGAGTCGGCATTTTCTTTGCTGGGCTCACTGTCATAACACAGTATTTTGTGTGTTGTTGAACATAGCATCCCCGCGATTTTGTTGAACGTCAGGTGTGGCAACTTTCCACCTGGAGCTGATCAGTGAAAGTTATTATGTCATCATGGGGGGCTCAACGGCCGATCAGTGGCTGGTGTACAACGATGCATCAAGTGTCACTTTCACTTGTAAGGAAGGCTTGGGGCGTAATATTTGCATACCTAGTTTCGTCATGCTATCAGAAACTACACACGCTTATTTTGTACATCTCTTTCTTTTTGGCATCCATGTCATGGAGCTGAGACTATCCAACAGTGCTACATCTAAATAGACGAATAGTCCCTGAGAAGGGACTACGGCTACGGCTACTTATATTATGTACAAATTTCGAAAGGCTATCTCGGTATAAGATTGCATTGTCCATAAAGCCGTAAATAGTCATAATTCTCTCCCTTTCACACTGAGATAAGCCCTGTGCAGAACGAAGCGTCTTTTACAGACGTTAAGCAAGCCTACTTTGTAAAGTGACCTCAACCCTGTTTTCCCGAGCTTATTGTATTGGTCTCTAGCTTTGAAGAGATAGTATCTGAAGGCTTTCCTATTGAAGTCGGCTATCTCCAGGCGCTGTCATCATCCGAGTGACGCACCGGCAAAAGAACCGCTAGGCACGGCGCCTTTCCCAAAGCAGAATTGAGAATTGGTTGGTACGTCTTGCGAATAAGATCTGCCGATGTCGGTCGGACACTTTGAGGTGCCACACTTTATGCACGTCGCAGGCACATGACAGCTCGTGGTGAGTGTGGTCTGGAACATGGCGAAAGGCACGCCTTGACTGCAGCTTGCGGGTGGATATGCCGACACTGGATAAACTTCAAGGTGGTGTGCTCGTGTTTGGTATTTCATGTAGCTATCTTGAAGAAGTATCCGTAAGTTTACCGGGAATGGCGGTTCCAAGGTGTAGTCATGTCGATAGCTGGGAGACTTCAGTTTTCACAGGTGGAACGTGGTGCACCCTGCGATTTCAGATTGCAGGTGTTTTGGCACATCTTTGACGAAAGGACCGGCAAACTTCTGTGAGACGAGATTTAACTCTATTACAAGAGACTTCTATCAAATGCGAACGCCTAAAACAAGTTCTAATGTAATCTATGACAAACAACAAGACCTAGAGTTATACCTGGTCGCTCTCAGTTTCAATTACCATAGACAAAAGGCATTGCGATGATCCCTGGACTTTACATCCATTTGTAACGTCCTTCCTCAGGATAAAACACCTCAGTCCTTCGCTTCCCCGTGCCACCTTTCTCAACAGTAAATCTCCTGGAGGGCATGCTAAAGCGGTTTTTCAGTCTGTCCCGATACTCTTGCTCCTCTTGTAATTCTCGCGAAAGGCCGTCTTCTTGGCGAGGAAACCTTTGTGCGCCGGCCACCTTGTCATTCAGCCCAAGACCACGAAGAGAGGCATAAAGTTGATCTAGATCATCCTTGGTCTCCTGACCATTCTTTAGAATGCTCTTGACCTCTCCGTGTAGAGTCGGCTTTTCGGTAACTGTTGCCGAGCGGCCAAGCTTGGGGCGCGACTTGATATTCGCATTGTGCTTCGCACGCTGTTGGTCCTCCCACCGCAGCTCTTTCTTGACTTCCGTCACGGCAGGGGATGCGTTCACGATAACTGGGGTAGCCACCCGGGTATCAGCGGCTGTTGAGGAGCCCCATGATGATCCGAAGGGGGATGAACCATAGACATCGGCAGCAGGGACTGGTGCAGGTTCCTGAACACGCTGTGCGCGCATCTCACGGCGTCGGCGTCGCTCAGCCCTCTCAAAATCGTCATCTGCAGCGTACATCTCCAATGGAGAGCGGGATGACCGGCGATGATGGGGGTGGGGCTCGAGATAGTCCCGTTCCTTGCGCGATCCGTGCCTTTTCAGAACATCAGATTCAAGTGAATTGGACTTGGATTCATGCTTGGACCGACGGTTGGTGTTTTCGATGATGATGGGCTTGGGGCGTTTCTCTGCGGCAGGTGGGGTTGCATCGACAACGAAAGGTCCGCCAGAGGGCATAGTGGTGGAGCGGCGGATTCTGGGGATAGGGATAGGGATTGGGGGCGGCATGGGAGCAGCTGGGGCGCGGTACGTAGGCTCCAGGACAACTGGTCGTTCAGCGCGGCGCTCATGCTTGCGCCGATTCAGGTCCAGGACTTTCTCGCCGTTAACATAAACGCCACTACGTCGCTTGAATGAGCGCTCGAGGTCGCTCTCCCTCTCGCTTCCGGAACCATGACCGGATCGAGGGGTAGGTGGGCGCAGGTGTTCGGAGTAGAATGGCGCAGGTACACGGTCTGTCAGCGAAAGTGGTGACTGGCCGCGGTGTGGTGATGATGCAAGTTGGTGCTTCGTGACACCAAATCTGCGGTCCTTTTCGCAGATGTAAGGGGCAGGGCACATAGGGCCACCGGGCCGGCAGATATCGACGTGCTCGGTGATGTCCCGGGTGCCGTCCGCATAGCGGTTGTGGTAGATGACCTTGATGCACATTGTGGGCGTTGGTCTCGGAACGTATGGCGCGTCGTGCACAATAAGCTGTGAGGTTGACTCAATGAATCAACTGTCTTTCTTTGAGACTGTGAGTTGTCTTGGGTGTAGAGACTCCGGCGAGGGATGTCCTCTTGATAGAACTGAAGAGAGCTTGTGGTGAACGATGAGGAATGGGGTCGAGACACCGACGCAGCTAATGTCAATCGGCCGTGTCAGAGACGAATCGATCGTTTAAATATCGCTCGCTGCTCAGCGACATGGGGACATATAAGCCAGTGTCTGGGGGTCAAGAACGGCGGAGACGAGCAAAGACTCGTGAGTCGAAAGCGTATGAGGGAGAACGCTCGGTGAAGGAGGTCACTTGGCGGTATGCGAATGCGACAGTGATTGAAGATGGTTATGAATGGTACCTAGTCAGGCAGACTCGTCGTTCATTCAGCAAGACTTGCGAAGGCCAAGGCGGAATGAGTTATGGATCGAGGGAAGAATTGGTTAAGTGGTCAGAGAATTTCCTGTTGGATATATACCTGGAAGGCCTGGGGAATCGCAAGTCTAGGACACGGGACTCGATGGACATTTAAATACAGGGTTTGTGTGAAGGTTTTTGAGGGAGCTTGAAGTGGTGGTGGCCTGGCTGGCCCCCAATCCTGCGCCATGACGGGCATCCCTAGCGACATGCACACTGTGGAAGGGTACATACATAAGGTAATTGTTTTTGTCCAGTACTAGCTAAGGTATGGCATGTATGTACGTTCCCCTTACAGTACGATACAATACCCCTACCCATGCATGCTGCTGCTGCTTGCTGCTCTGCAAACCCCAAAGGTTAAACCTGCGTCTGGGTGGTGTGTGCTTCTGCCGCCAACCGCCTGCCGCAGCAGTCAAATCTCGCAATGCGCCAATGCCCATCGAGTGAGAGTGTCTGCCTGCGGTAGCTCCAATGGGCCCCGGCCGGTGATTCATCTCGCAAACGAGCCGGGGGTAGACCAGGCGCTAGACAGACGCGGTCTAGCAACTTAGCAGGTGGGTGGAGAGGACGCCAATGTCCCTGGGAGGAGGCCAATCGAGCTTCACAGCCCGGGGCTGAGCCCCTGGTAGGTCACCATACTGCGTACTAGGTGTGTACGAATGACCAAAGTCCTCAACACCCACCAGCACCTCAAACGGGCTGGGAGGGGGTCTACTACGCAGCAGAGGCCGCGCTCGGAGGGAGCCGGGACCATCAGTAGGACTGTCCTGCCTACATACAGTACGTACGTGGTTCGGTAGTCCTACGGGGTGGGCAAGCTGCCTGTGGCTGTCGAGGGTTTGAGTGGCCTTGTCCTACCTACGGCATTACTAACCCTGCGACATAGGATAGTCCTGTCTAGTACGTACAGTACATGCACCCCCTTCAGTGCGTAATTGCGTGGCTGCAGTCCTCTCCCCTGTGGCGTGTATGAGAATCGCGAAGGATGAGGCAGCCCAATGGCTGTGAACGGCGCTGGAGAGCACCCAACTGGCTGGAACCGACGCAGGCGAAACGATCCAAGGCGATTGATGCCGACATTGAAGAATAAAAATAAGCTACACTAATCAAATCGGACAGCGAGACGGGCCATTAAGCGGCAAAAGGCCAACTAGACGCAAAGACACTGAACCGCCCGCTGCGAAGACCAGTATACTCTTGAGACTGGCTTGTCCAGGGCTGGATTAGAAACCATGCAACCAGTCAAGTCGGCCACCCATAGGCGCGAGACGAAACAGCAACCAACAGTGACTCTACTCCAAATAAATGCTTCTTGGTACTGTGCACCAGAAATTAGCCCACTGGCAGAAGCGACAGATAATATCTGCTGATCTTCTCACGGTCAGGTTGGCCTTCCGTCTGGATGGTCTGTATTGTATTATGCAGTACAGTGGTCCCCCCGTATTATTTAGCTTAGTCAAGAAAAGCGGATCTCGAGAATTGAGTTGCCTAAGACTTGGGCCGTTGGTTTAGTCTCGACTTGACCTCCAACAGTGCGCGCGTCACGAACCGTTTGTACGGCCTTTGCAGGCCTAGGGCAGCGCGTTATTAGTCCTGGTAGACCCAGTTCAGCGGTTGAGTCACAGTCTGGGCCAACTTCATTACGGCTTACTCGACTTAGCCGGTTCTAGTATGGTCTGCTGCATGACGGTTTGGACGGTTCGCCAGGTGAAGAGCGGCCTCTCTATGATTAATGGCCAAAAGCTCGCGCCAGACCCTCCATACGGCGACTGCCTACATTCATGATGCTGGATGAACGGACAGAGGAAAACGAGAGCAAGGTTACCCCACATTGTCGTTGCAAGATGCTTCAATAATGGAGATAGTCCCTATACAGTGTGAGCCTAGAATGGCAACCTTAAAAGGCAGTTCTTGGAATGTTCAGCGTATGCGCAGAATGGCAAGTACTCTACTTCCGGCGGTCTCCTAAGTGAGGATGATTCTCATGCCGACATCGACCTAAGGTAAGTAGTTAGATTTCAAATAGAGGTATCCTGCAGAGACATACTCCAAGCAATTGTTAGTTGTCTAATCATTATTTTGTCCTCCTGCCTACATGGCCTCATCATATTTCTCTTCTCATACAGGCAGAGTTGGCCACCATCAAACCCACTAAGTGTAGTCTTATACGACATACCTCAGATACTTAGTAGTCACCTTTTACAGGGATCTAAAACACTTCTGCCTGCTGTGAAAACCCTCGTTCCGCGTTTTGAGTCGAAGGGAATCTGCTACCGTGTAAGGGCCATTCTCATTGTGAACATTCTTTCTGCTTTTGCCTGATGGCATGTGTTGTATCAATCCGGAAGATGTTGTGTGTCTGGGTTTTCCCTCGTAGTTGCCCGGAGGTCGGTGGGCTGTGCTCTTGCCTGCTCGCGACCATTTCGGAGGCCCTACGAAAGTTCTATTATTCCCCCCCATACCACACCGGGCTGAGCCGCTGTTAGAAATTTGTTAGCAAGTATTGGGTGCAAGGTGGCACAGCCCCAGCGCCTCACCGCCACATCGATCGCCAAACCTGCGGTCGCGGTCGCACTCTCTTTCGCTACAAAGCCGCTGGATCTTACCGGACAGGAGCTGGCAATCTGGGGTGCATCATGGCACTTGGTTCTCGCTATTACTGAGGCACTGAGGATTATGGCTGCTGTTAACAAATTTCAGACACATATCGTATAGCATATGTACGGCCGGCCAAATAGGTCCTTTCCACAAACACGCCATGGGTTAACGGCTGTGTAGTACTAAGTAAGATGTGAATGTGCTTGTCATTGAGGCTAGTAGGTTAGGCAACAGGTATGTTTGCTCGGAAACACATAATACCTAGGAACAAGACTTTTGAAACATTGGAGGATTTGGAGCTAGAAAATACTTACGGTTGCGGCTCGATTGACTCTTTGATTCACGTGCTGAACACAGGCGGCAGCCAATGTTCACGCCTAGCATGGCGATTATGGTACAAAATCAAACGGAATTGCGGCTTCTACCGCCTCCACAATCCACCCAGTTTTTACAGCGCGGTACTGTGCCGCTATAGGGTATCCCGTGAGCTATTGTAGCTCGTAGGGTTTCAATTCGTGCTGCTTGCTAACTTGCCATGTAAAATGCAGACGGGGATGATAGCGCGGCGAAGGTTCATCGTGTGGCTTCTACGGTAGAAGTAAGGAGTCCCAAGATCTGATCATATCATTTGCCTGGTACTACTGGTTGGCCCAGTTGCTTGTCTTTTTGCGCTTTGTTTCGAGACAGACATAGTGCCATGCTCCCAGCTCTGTCATTGTAATGTTGATGATGTCTTTAAGAACCTGATGGACGTTTGGAGAGTATAATCATATTGAGATCATGGATTTGGATTGCGCCTGGTAATGCTACCGAGTAGGAGGGAGAACACAATGGACTGCGGCTGGCGCACCCCTGGATCGGAGAAGGCGCAGTCAGCCCTGCAAGGCAGATTCGAGCACTCACCCTAGAACCCTCCGGCTTCCGCCGACACATTGGGAAGCTTCACCCGGCCCGCCACCGTGGCTTTGCACGAAACCGCTTGCTAATCCTTAACATTATTACAGGCTACCTCTAAAACGTATACCATGACACACAAATGCATCATATTTCATTCTGTGAAACAGTAAGCGGAGGAATAGAAAAGCTTCTCTTGTTTACCTTTGAACTACCGAGATATTGGACAATTTCCACACCTCCTCTGTCACCCGATGGCGGCGATATACCTAGATAAAATAGCCTACCTCGCCTACCTATGAATCATTGCATTACCAGAATACTAAGGAGGGCTAAAGCTCGGTGCTTACACTGAAGTAAACTTGAGAATCTGGAAATGTGGCGGGTCACGCGAAATGGGACCGCGAACTGCTCAATCTTCTTGCTTTTCACGGTCCTTTCAAGCGTTCGCCTCGTTTTGCATTTGATCAAACCCGTGAACACAGGCCATGCACTTCTTGGTGAAACTGGACAGGAGGCTCGATGCCACATTCCGGAGCTGGAACACGGTTCCTCAACATCGAGCTGTGGCCAATGAGCTCAAGTCACATGTATCATGCTCGACATGTCTTTTAGATATATATCGCTCCCAAATGCTTCCCCCACCAGTTGAGCGGCAGTGTAGAGTGACCGGATGCGTATAGAGTTCAGCGAAGATGCAAAAGAAGACGCTCATTTCCGCAAGCCATTACTGTTGTTCACAAGCTTTGTCGTACCAAATGGGTTCTCGACACGTTGCTGTGATGAGTAGGGAAAGATCAACAGCAGGCAGAGAACATCTTTGTTGGGACAAAGGAGAGGATCGAAGGAAGCGCAGACCAGCCTTAAGGAAGTGGCAGAGCTGAATGATGTTGCTCTACGCAATAGTCGAAAAGCGACTCACGTCAGCACTGACAGCATGCTTGGCGATTTTGTCTCGGCCCAATTGGTCAATGCAGGCACTAAGACCGCCATGCGTTGCGCGGATAGGCTGTCAGATTACACCTAATTTCAATTCCCGGGGTGTCAATGAACGGGTATAATAAGAGGCCATCCATAAGTCAGACCTGCCTTCAAGATGTCCGTACAACGGCACTCAACCTCCATAAAAAGATGCATTTCCCTATCACATTACTAGCCATTGTTTGGCCATTGGTCGGGGCTATCCAATTTTCCGGCCCCGCCGAGAATTCTACGTTGCTCAAAGGCTCAAATGTGGATGTGACTTGGACATATGTTGATACCGACCCTTCCACCTTCAGTATCTACCTCTGGAACTTCGTCAATTTTCCACCTTACTACGAGCTGTTGGCCCAGGATATCCCAATTTCCCTATCAAGCTACAACGTGCACATTCCATGCTCTGTTGATTCGTCTTTCGGATTTCAATTGTAAGAAGCCATTGAGACAGAGTAGGCATCGTCACACCACTAATTTTGCATTAGCTCTGCTATCAATGGCACCAATGTATACGTGATATACGCAGAGTCAGAAAAGTTTTTCGTTGAAGGAGAGGCTTGTGTGGACCCGACGCCGACTTCATCTCTGTGCACCGCTGGCCCTACAACAGTGACGCTCACTGTAACGGAACCAGCTTGTCTGACGGCGACTCCATCATCCGTGACTAAATCATCATGGTGCACCAAGACAAGAAAAGGGCCGCATCAACAAGAGTAGGGCTAGACATTGCGGTATCTCACGTCGATTAATTGCTACTGAATGCTCATGGAGATCTTCCTATACGACTTGTGCTATCATAGAACTCACGCATAGGGGCAGTGGATCAGTGCAGCCTCCGAATAAATTCCATGTATTTGGTAATCGATGCCTGCAGCATGTCTCCAATACTTTAATGTGAATTTCCCGAGTCTCTAGGAGATGACTGTAGTTTCCAGCTTGTTAAGCACATTGAGGTTGCCACTTGAATAGGGCTTCTTCTATCTTTTAATCACAACACTCTGGAGGAAGATAGTGCTCTGAAGTGCTTCAGTATATAAGTTCTGTGTTTATGTAAATTTGCTAAGCTACATCTTGATATCTATCAGGCGTTGTTAGAGGCAATAATGCAATCACATTGATTGGATCATTTGAGATCTTCGGGGCAGTCAACCTGTGCCTTCCAATGGCTGTTCTGAAAAGCCTCGAGCTGCATCAACTCTGCATACACTTTCTTCACCGTGGGGAATTCATCCAAAGATAAACCGACTGCCTCACAATTCCAAATGGCAGGTGCCAGGCACGCGTCTGCCATTGTCACATCATCCCCAACCGAATATTTACGAGCAATATCATGGATTACGCTCTCGTAAGCTCTGAGGCCAACGGCATACCACTCAGCGGTCCACTTGGCAGAGTCGTAGCCGAAACCGCGGATGAACTTTTGTACCTTGGTGTTGGTGATCGGCTGCACGTCACCAACAATGATTTGCACCAGGCTGCGTATGCGGGCGCGTGACAGCATCGCTTGGTGCGTGCTTCCAGTTGGTAAGAGCGGATTTTGGTTCGGATACGCTTCTTCTAGCCACTCTAAAGCTGCGAATGATTGAGTGATATAGCTTGGCGGTCCGCCATTCTCTCCAGGAACGACAAGCGTGGGCACACTCTGGGAAGGATTGAGTTTGATGTATGCTTCTGAATTCTGCTCGCCAGTGTTGATGTTAACAGACACGTAATCGAAAGGTATCTGCTTGTGATGGAGGGCAATGCGGATGCGGGATGAGCAAGACGAGCGGTAGAAGTTATGAAGAATTAGTTTCTTGGCTGACGGAGCAGACATGATATCCAAGACAAGAGAAGATCGATGATGAGAATCTTCAGGCCCAGGTTCCTTGTCTCAGTTAATGGTAGTTTATGTTGGCACTTTCAGCAGAATTTTGGTGAAGAATGGCTCCTAAAGGTCTGTTTGATGGATGCTTTTCTAAGCGGACTGAATGACGAAAGGGCGTGCCCGGTAACACAACACAGCTCTGACGTTACCGGAGTAGATGTGCTCGGTAACCCCCGCACTCGGGCTCGGCGGCTGGGCAGGACACTTGGTCTCTATCTAATCTAATACAGCCGATCCCGACTGCCGGACTTCTTTACAGACCTGGCAGATTAGCGGCGCTTCAACGCGTCAAACAAAGACCCATCGATTCAATGTGAAGTTCAGCACAGACAACCTCATCATTGAGATTAATCTGTGTTCGTAGGACCGGGGGCAGTTGAACACTCGAGTTCCATAAGCTCTCGCGTGCACTTCACGGTGACCGGCTGATCCACTCAGTGACTTGGGGCCGAGATGGGGTACCAGACACCACGGAATGGTGCGCAGTCCTTTGCATCGGCTTTGAGGGAAGTTATGTGTGTATGCATGCGTGTGCGGCCATCAATCACCGGTACGGGCGCTGTGCGGTTCGGTAGGTGGGCTCCGGAGGCTCCCGGCGCCTCCGATCCTCCTTAATTCTCAAACAAACCTAGGGAATGGACGCGGACGCTAGACTAACTAAGATAGGATAACAACAGCGAGGATTGCCTACATTGCGCAAAGTCTTGAACGTCATCTAGAGAACTATGGATTTTAAAACAATGCTTGTTTCTTCAGTTTCCTCACCGTCAACCGTTCAAGGACCATACCAGTATTTCCAAGGGCGGAGGGAAGAAAGGCTGGAAGAGCGCCTACTGACCGGTCGACTAGCTAGCTGACTGACTCGGAGCCGTTCGGCGATAGAAGAGGAACCTGCACAATCAAGAAAAAGAAAGTTCGCAAATTTCTAAGCATTGGGAATCAAAGAGTCGGCCAACCCACTCCGGCCCACTTCTGCTCCGATGTCACAACAACTAAAATTTGTCGTCATTGAGCGCGCCATCAATGGACTGTTCTCTAGCAACAGCATCACCTGCACACTCTTCACTTTGCCTCGCGTCAGCCGTTACGAGCCTTTCCTCGTGAATAGGGCTGGTGTCTGAGGGCAATCCCTCCAGCATCCTCTTCGAATCTGCTCGAAGTGGTGAATCCGTCCAACATGCCCGGTGCAGAAGCTGTCGGCGAAAAGCCTGCCGATCAGGTAGCCGCACGCCGGAGCGGGCCGGAGGACGAGATGGAAAACAAGACCGCCGCGCCGGCATCGCCGCGCAGCAGCAGTAGCAGTGGCAGTAACCGCAGCGAATTCGTGGAAGAGGAGCAGCCACATCGAGACCTCGCCCGCGAGCACTCCAACGCCGAGTCAATATGGCTTGCCACAACCCTCACACTTCCACGCGAGTTCCTTTTCGTCTCCGTCATCTGCCTCACCCAGTTTTGTACGCGTAAGTACTGCCATTTCATCATCTTCTCATCCGCTTTTCAACCGGAAGCACGATGCCCCGTCTTCTTCTCAGCTCGGCCATGATGAACTAACTAATTATCACCAACACAGAGGGCGCATTTTGCCAGACATTGTTCTTACTGCACCAGATAGGAGGCAGTTATGGTGTGACCAACCCAGGCCAGCTAAGCTGGCTTGTCGCTGGCTATAGTTTGACGGTTGGCACGTTCATTCTTTTCTCCGGCCGCCTAGGTGATGCATTTGGCTACAAGCTGATGCTCCTCATTGGTTTGAGCTGGTTCTCGATCTGGTCGATGGTTGCCGGTCTGGCTGTCTATTCCAACTATGTCCTCTTCGTTTTTTCACGCGTCTTCCAAGGCATTGGGCCAGCCATCGCTTTGCCCAACGCTCTTGCTATTTTTGGTGCATCGTACCCTCCTGGCCACCGAAAGGCAATGGTATTTTCATTCTTCGGTGCTAGTGCCCCTGTAGGGGCTATGGTCGGAACAGTAATCGGATCAGTCCTCGAGCTGGCCTGGTGGCCGTGGGTTCTTTGGGCCCTCTCTATCACGCTGGCGATTATTACGGTTGTTGGCTACTTCGTTATACCCTCGCCGCCACGGAAGACGGTCTTGACTCTAGACCTCCGTACGCTAGTTACAGAGCTCGATATTGCTGGAGCAGTTGTCGGATGCACAGGTCTTGTTGTTTTCAATTTCGCATGGAATCAGGCGCCACTCGCTGGATGGGACGCACCGGAAGTCATCGCTACGTTGGTTATCGGACTCGTCCTTTTGGGCGCATTCTTCTATATCGAGGCTAAGTGGGCGAAACGGCCTTTATTGCCGTTTGACGCGGTCAACGCCGATGTTGCGTTCGTTCTCGGTGCGGTTGCGTGTGGCTGGGCGACTTTCGGAGTATGGACACTCTACTTCCTGCAGATCTTACAGCAAATTCGGCATCTCTCGCCTCTTTTGTCTTCGGCCTGGTTCTCTCCCGTGGCTATAGCCGGCGTAATTGCCGCTGTAGCGACGGGCAAACTGCTTGGACCTCTCAAGACGCCGCCTCCTGTAGTCATGACCATGGCCTTGCTCGCCTTTGCCGTTGGCGACATATTGGCTGCTACAGCCCCTGTACACCAGGTCTATTGGGCACAGACATTTGTGTCGGTCATTATCATGCCCTTTGGAATGGATATGAGCTTTCCGGCAGCTACACTGATCCTTTCGGATGCAGTCAAGAAGGAACATCAGGGTATCGCCGCAAGTCTCGTCAATACGGTGGTAAATTATGGTATCTCACTTGGTGTCGGATTTGCAGGTACTGTTGAGGTCCACGTTAATAATGGAGGCCGGACGGAAGAGGATCTTCTGAAAGGGTTTCGAGGTGCTTTGTACCTAGGAATCGGACTGGCTGGCCTTGGCCTAGTCATCTGTTTGGCTTTTCTGGAGAAGGAATATAGGAGAAGACGGAAGCAAACCGGAAAGACAAAACAGGAAAACATTGAAGGCGGGAGCACAACCCCAGCAACTGATTTCGAGCTTTCGGAATAGATAATACATAGATATATACCCTCTGGCAATGCTTATATTATAACCCTGAATCTAGATCTTCTGTCTATTCTTAAAGAAGACTTCGAACCTAATCGATCGAACAACGTGCATGATCTGGTGAGTCGACTTGTTATTTTACAACATCAAGAGCGGTGATGGTTTAGACTATCCATGATAGCCACTTGCATCTTGCCGGCTTTCCGGCCATTGAAGAGCCACTAGCTCCCATGAGACTATCCTTTGATACATGCTATCATGAGCAGAGAGGAAGTTGACTTTACAAACTCTGGAACGCCCTCTCTAAATCCACACTCTAACTGAGCAAGATGTCATAGCCGTCTCTGGTGATTCTGACTGGTTCTCCTCCCATTCCGTACTTTCTCCTGACCAACTCGAAGATGATCAATCCGGCACTTGTACTTGGCACCTGACGAATTGTATTCCACCAAAACCCTCGATATAGCCACCTCCGGAGTGCATTGGGTCCGTTACCCTCTGTAGCCGACGTCTCTGCTAGACACTTCGCCCAGGTCTCCTGATAAGCATGATAGTATGCTCGGAACATTCGCCATCGCCACTTCGACTTGTGCGTATCTGACTGCGAGTAATGCCGAATCTTTCGCGCCTGCGTATCAATATACTCGAGGTGTTCCCAATGTTCCATTTGGATGTGGGTGAGTGGGTGGATGACAGTTTGCTGCGCCATAGAAGCACTGAAGCCTGCAAGCATAAGAAAGGCGGGTTCTATTGCATAATGCGGCCTTATTGTTGTCGGTTGATCGCCATCTGCATCCTGTGTAGGCCTTTGCCGTGATAGGATATGCACCACATCCGCGCTCAGCGAGCCATAGTACCAGCCCACAAAGTTGTAGTAAGCCTGCGCCTTAACATATTCAAAAGTGCTGAAGAAAATGGCGCTCCCAAGCCCATCTTTAGCAAAGGAAAGACCCCAGCCCGCGAAGATGCCGCGTACTCCGATCTCACGCAATTTGGCATAGCCGAAAGTCCACATACTTTGAGGCCTGCCATTCTCATTGAGAATCTCTGGCCCTTTGCCTCCGCGTTCAAAGCGTGCTTGGATGGCATCGAGCGGAGCGGCCACGATGCTTTGAAATGAGCCGGCAAGAAATCCGGCTGTGAATGTGTCTACGGGCTGCGGCGGTGGATATACACGCCGAGTGGCCTTCCCGCTCTCCTCATGGAGGCGCCCAAGAATCTGAAGGTAGCTGGTATACAGCACAGCTCCTACACCAACATTCGCAATCAGGGGTGGGACCACCTGGTCCGGAATGATGCGCCAGCCGTAGTGTCTGACGGCGGAGGCGAGAACGCCAGGCGTGGTGCTCCTGCCGACGGAGCGCAACCACTGCCACCAGGACTGGGCGCCACCGTTGCTCGGACTTGCAGCATCGCCGAGATTTGATAGATAGCTATGATTCTGCTGCTGCAGATTCCTCGCGTAGGCGAGGTAGTCTACGCGGGTTCGGAAGAACGCCTTAACCGGCGCACGGAAGTAGAACGCGATAGCCTGCGCCGTGAAGGCGCGCACTCCGGCGGCGGTTGCCGCGGTCGCGGCGTTTGTCCGCGGATTCTTATCTGGAAAGTCTGGTGGGACAACCGGAAGGACGCCGAAGTTTCCAGGGAATGCGTCGCCAGAGCCGCGCGACGGGTCGCTGACGGTCATTGTTTTAAGGCATTTGGCCCTGGCAAAGATGATGTTTCGGCGTCCGTGATGAGCTAAAATCTGAAAGCTCACTGGCCGCCGGCTGCACCCGCGCTTCCAACGACGCACTGGCAGCTGGCAATCCAGCATGCCGGGTGGCTCCACCCGGCGGCCGTCACAAGTATATGAGCCAATATTTTCATTGCAATACTGTACTGCCAAGATCGGAGTATTTGCACCTCCTGAAGATTCGCGTTCAATAAATCCGCCGGAGCTAGAATGTTAAAATAGACTAATTTAAGCAGAGTCTATTGTTTGTATGACAACGTTCCAATGACCTGGCTGAAGTAGATGCGTGATCACATTCTGATATACAACCCGGGGTGTAAATGTGCTTTATTACGATTTAAAGTGAAATTCGAAATGTGTATGAACTTCATAGCTAATTATGCCTCGACCGTTGCGATTACGCTCACGCTATTATTATCACCATGAACTTGTCGAACCGAATTCTTAACTCCTCAGTCAAGTAAGCAAATCTGAGAAACGACGACTATTGCTGCTGGTGTGGGTGCTGATGTTGGCCTTGATCTGGAGCTGGGGATGGTGTTTGAGGTGATGGAATCTGGGAAGTTTGCGTCAATGTAGTAGTTCCAGTTGGTTGAGGCGACAAGGAGTGACTTTGATCGGGAGGTTGCATCTGATACTGCATGGGATACCCAGGATATTGCTGCTGCATCGGATGTTGATATTGCGGAGGTTGTCCTTGAAACTGCATCGGATACTGCCCTTGTACTGGCTGCCCTGGCTGAGCATATTGGTACATTGGCTGTCCTCCCCACTGATGTTGCTGGGGAGGAGCTCCTGCATAGGGCTGTGCTGTCGCCATTGGATTCTTGGGATCCGATGGCGGCTGTCCCTGAAATGCCATAGCCTGCATTTGTGGTGGTCCCATCGGAGCTGACCCGGGAGTGTTGGGGTCACCCAGCAGGTCAACTGGGTATGCGTGTCGGAACCCCCATTTCCACCATAGTTTCCACTTTGTCCCGCCGCTCATAGCCTCCCATTGTTGCTTCAGTCTGGCCTGATCCTCTGGAGTTCGGGCAGATTGCGAGCGGGTAAAGCAGGCTACCCACAGAGATATTAAAATCCAGCTGATTGTTCCAAAACGCAAGGTACTCTTGCCGAGCATAAGCCGACGGAACCACAGGAAGTTTTCCAGGAAGCCAAAGAAGAACAGAACCACCAAAAGTACCAAAATGACAATGACAACGATAACCCAGGTTCTCAGTGCTCTGGTGGCGGTACTTTCGCTTGATCCGCCACCACTACGAGGACCGTCATCGCCATCATCACCATCATCACCAGAACTTCCCCCACCGCTTGATGGGCCATAATATGAGTCATCCGTCGCTGTAGGGTTGCGACAGTCCGCGATGTAGTAGGAGTAGATGAAATCCGATGTCGCGGGTGAATTGCTCAAGGGCACAGCACTAGGGGCCAGATAAGCGGTGATGTACGTGTAGCGATCACCGTAGGTTGCAATTGAGGTGGCCGTTGATGTGGGCGTGTATTGGTCCGTGACTTGAGACGGAATGTTCACTCCGGTTACAGTTGTCACCGTGAAAGGTGTTGGACAAGATGATGGCGCGGTGTACCTAGATTGAGTCAATCAATACTGATTGTTCCAGAAGCGCGTTCAAGGTCATAATCCTGGGTTTGAGCCTCTTGAGAAGGACCGTTGCGGTAGGGTTATCTCCACTTACACAACTGGTTCTACGTAGACAGTATAACGGTTGTCGATTGTAAATTCCTCAGTGGTAGTTATAATATCGCTTTCTGCCACTGCCCCAGGGGCCAGATAGACGTATATGACCGTGACGTCGTCATATGTGTAGACATAGCTGGAGGTTGAGACAGGTGTTGCAGTTGGCGTCACCCCAGATTTGACTGTTTCCACTGTGGTATACGTATAAAAATAGATATCATCTGTGTATGTCCCATATTGCGTAGATGATAGGGCATATTGGTAGTAAGAGGTTACAGTCCAGTATGTTGACGACACAGGCGATGCGTTCAGCAACAGCAGCACAGCGATTGCCCACATTTTCCACAATTGGTTGAGGCCCATCTTGCGAGGCGACCGAATGTAACACGTAAATGTTGTTCAGGATTTCAATGGAACGTGTCACAGATCAAAGTCCTTGCCAGGTGGGATTAATTTGACTCGGAGCGTGCACAAATAGCCCGAGGATCGCATCGCGTGCTGGGGAGTCGTCTTTTTATTGTCACCCATCACATGTTTTCTGCCAATCCAGCCTAACAACTTCGTTTCCACGCGAAACCTTGCGAAATGGGACAACACGCTGGTAATCATGTTGTAGGCACTTTCAAGTCAGGGCCGTTTGTGGCTTGCCAAGATAGACGGCCGTGTTGTTCTGCATCGCTTACAGGGGAGCTCACAGGGGTTGGCTCAGCCGCTTTCTGAGATGCACCAATCGCGCATTGGGCTGTATCACCTTTGCGGCTTGACTTCTGCCCGACTGCCTGCAAGGCTTACTGGCGCTTTTGCTCAGAAATAAGGAGATCGGCAAGGGCTCCAAGGGCAAAGGCACTTTCAGTCCACATTAGCGTCAAGAAGACAGTTCTAGACACTGCAAAAGCCCATGGTGATGGGGGGGTTTGAGGCCAACACACCACGGTCCTCATGAACACTCTGCACATGCAGTTCCCTGAGATCAAAATGCAAGTCATGCAGATGAGGCAAGCCACAAAACACGGGAAGATAGCTTGTTTGACGATGACAAGTACACAATGCTCTAACTATTAAAGAAAGAAAGCTTGATGCTTGCCCCAATCGTTGCTATCCTAGACGAGCCTCTTCTCAATCTACAACCTTCAACATAACGTACGCCTTGTGGCCGACAGCCTTCTTCAATGTACTTAGAGGGTCTATTCTAGGCTTCTTTCGGGTCTCTTCGACAGTCTCACCGTCCTCGTTAACAATTGTCATCACTTCGTCTGCCTCCTCGTCGGAACCATCATCGAACGAGCCGTTATCAAGGAATACCTTGAGCATGCCCTGAGAGTATCCGCTAACGATGGCTGTTCCCTCGTCTGCCGTTGTGATGGGCTTCGGAGCTACAGGATCGCCGCCGCCGTATCCAGCTCCATAGCCAGCTCGACCCCCTGCTAGATTCCAGAAGATGAGTTGAGGCATCTCGTAGCCGGCTTGCTCGAACTTCCTCTTGATGCGCTCGTATGAAGTAGACCATCCTCCACCATAAGAAGCAGAATCAAACTGCATATCGGAGAAGACGAAGATTTGCTTCACCATATCCTCCTGCTTCAGCTTATTTTCAAGGGCCATCGGCAAGATGAGCTTCTCGAATACAGCCTCGAAATCGGTGTTCATATCCCAGTCAGCCCGGCTCAGCTGAGAGTACTTGTCGCTCAGATCTTTGGAAAGATCGATCTTTTGGACCTTGGGGTTAGCGCTGAAAGTGATGAAAGCGCCTCCAAATGGTGGCTCGGTGACTTCTGCAAGAAGCAGAGCAAGACCGATGGATGTATCCATGGGGCAACTCCCATCGGGGAATTGGGGGGAATACATGGACCCAGATACATCGGCCACTGCGATACTAGATTGTAGTTTACCCGAGTCTTTGATCCGCTGCACAAGTGCCTTCCACTGTCCGTCAAGAGACTTGGTCTGCATCTGCTGGATTTTGCTCTCGACTAAGTGGTTGGTACCTTTGCGCTTGTTCTTGCGGCCTACAGCGGATGGGCTAATGTAAGCACCGCCGTTTGCTTCTCGAACGGCCTTGATTAGGGTGCTTGGAAGAAGCGTAGCACCTGAAATACGCGCCTTTCCATTCGCAACGTGGTCGAGGTACTGATCAAAGCGATCTGCGTCCTTGACTGCAAAGAGAGGGGCATAGTTGTTCATCGCGATAGATGGAAGCCTCTCGTACTTGATGTTCTCGAATGTCTTTGCGGTAATTTCACGCTCGACAACTTCGAGTCGTTTGCGAAGAGCCGCAATGTCTTTACGATATGCCTCACGAGCGTAGCGAAGATACAGCACCCGCTGTTCTTTACTGCCGGCATCATAAAACCCCAGCTCACTGCTATATTCGGTGGCCGGATGCATGAGCTCGGCGACGGATGAGACAATGAACGTGTGCTTATCGTGGAAGCGCTCGTGGGACGGTGCCCATTTTGCGCAAAGCGAGATATCTCGCCTGGCTTTGGGGTCTTCTGCGCGGAGACGAGCGAGGTCTGACTTCAGCTCAGATGCGAAGAGCCTGGCAATGGTAAGATGGAGAGCACGATAGACAGGGTCATTGTTGAAGGCATCGAGCGCGGCATCATGGCGAGCGTCGCGCTTCTCGTGACGGAGATCTTTCGCTGTTCTCTGATCTGGGAAGTCATTTTTGCCCTTCTCTTGCTCGATATTTAGGATGTCCTTTGGGTTGGCCAGAACGTCGAGCTTTCCATTGACATGCAAAGCAAGAATATTCAGGAGGTCCTTCCAGTAGCCGTGGGACACCCCGTGTCGAACATCGAATCGAGCTGGATCTTTATCATCTTTTTCAGCCTCCACAATGACCAGATCATCATTGCCTTGCTTATTCTCAGCATTTGTCTCAATCTTCTTTTGTATTACTGGTCGACTGAGCCAAGGGAGGTTCGCCACGAGGGTGAGAGGATGGTACTTTGCGAGCCATCCAGCACATCGGTAGAAAGTCTGGCGAGAGCTCTTTCCCAGGTGGATGGAACGACTGTTGAAGACGATTTTCAGGGTGACAAGTGGGTCGCACTCCCAAGCAGCGTTGAGGAGTTCGAGGAGGCGAGGACCTGAGACGACATCCTCGAGCTCCGCGAAAAGGTCTACCAGAGCATTTGTAGTGGAGCGATAGGCGACTCCCGCATTCTCGGTCAACATCTTGTTTTCCGTATCTTCATTTGAAGGGGTTGCAGCGTTGCCATGGGAGAGGAGGCCTTGCATGAACGGGTGTTGGCCCTCAGGCACGGGAGAAGCAGCGTCAGTAACCACAGCCATCTTCTCCAAACCTTGACGGACTTCTCCAGTGGTACTAGACGACTCTCCGCTAACAAGAGTGAAGATCTCCGTGCCCATATTTGTATCGGTCTCATCTTGATCGATACTCGCCTGAGAGGCACCTGCACCGGCCAGGCCCTGGCGGCATTGTTTGAACTCTGTGACGAGATACCTCTCATAGTCATCAGACGCGAGGTCAAGGGCTGGATGAGATGGTAGAAAGACGGGGAATTTGTATTTTAGGAACCACGGCTCCTGGCTCTGTTCGGTTGACTCCATGATGGCAGATGGCGGTAGGTGGGTATCTCGGAAAGCGAAGGATTCTTGAAAGTGACATATACTGATACTGATACTGATACTGAAGCTGAGCGCGCGATGATCAAGAATATGCCAAGTCGAGGTTTACCTGGCGGCAATATCTACTCGTCAGAATTAGACGCGTTGAGTTGAACTTATCCGAGCTGAGCTGGAGGGGAGACGGGGAGTCGTAGTATGCAGGTGCAGGCGCCCAACCTCAGGAAAAGGGGGGCCAAGCGCAATGATCGGGGGGGACGATGGGAATCTCTCTGAACTTCGGCCAGCGACGACAGAGAAAAATACCTATGACCACACCAAAGACGGGGCTTTGTTTGAGAAATTAATCATATAAACCTGCCTCGCTGTTTGATAATAAAAAGAGGCTTTTTCGTTGCAGAAATATACAAATGCCTGGCCGATTTATAGACATTTGTCGAGGTTGTCAATTGCCATTACAGGAGAGTAGGTAATTAGGCCCTGACTCAGTGCTCCTTACAGCGCTGTATTTGTATTTGGCGGGGTAGGGTCGGTGCTGCCTGGGCTCCCCCAGTGACTCAACCGGCCACAATGGAAGGAACCCTTCCTTCCTTCCTTCCTTTCCATGGCTACTGCGATGACCCAAGCCCAAGCTCAGCCAAGATTTTCCTTTCGCAATGAGAACACCCAGACGAGCCATTCCATTGGCAATCATTAGCCCCCTCTAGAAATCAAAGATATCGGATCCATAAAAGCATCATTTCCACACTTGAGAGCTGATCCAATCGATTGATCGATCACCCGCCCGCTGTGCCACATCGGCCTGAGTAATAATACAGCATCCATCAAGAACTTGAACCTACCAACCTTTCTTTAGGGGTGTGGCAAAACTCATCCTGTCTAAAGAATCAAGATGATATTACTTGAGCATAGTCACATATCTGATTATAGCTCGACTTCAACGTCTTCCGATGATGGAGTCGACGAGCAAGTGAGAATCGTGCCATCCAGCTGAATGCCTCCAGAGACTGAGCCGCTGATCAGCTTCACAGCGCAACTGCCACATGCCCCCACGCGACACCCGTAATCCGGCTTCAGTCCCAGAGAGTCAGCTAGCTCGAGTAGCGATACTGGCTTTTCCTTCTTCCATATACAAGACTTGTTCGACTTGGTGAAGCGTACCCGCGCCTGTGTGAGGTCGCCGAGAACGTTACTAGATGGCGAGAAAGATTCGCTGTGCACAAATGGAGGTGGGATGCCGACTTCGGTGAGTAAAGCCTTCATGTCCGCTTCAAAACTGGAAGGCCCGCATATATACACTGCGGAAAAGCGGCCTGGAAGTGACATCTCGGAGCCTCCCAAAGGGTTCATCGTGTAGTTGCTAGCCAAGAGCTGCATCAGGATCTCGCGGGTAGGTCGACCGGCATAGTCATGGCTCTCCCCGATGACGTCTGTTATCATTGCATCTGTGAAGAAGACTCTTTTCTCAACCGGATTCTGCTCAATGTCAAGAAACTCCCCCTGAAAGGGGAAGTGATCGCTGTTCTTGGCGACATGAATCCAGACTCCTGGTGTCTTCGTCATGTTTGGGTGAGTGGCATGTGCTTTCATCATGGCTAATATCGGCGTGAGGCCAATCCCCGCGGTGATATACACCTGCCGGGGTGACGCAATCTGGGTCCAGTCCAGAACAAATCGTCCAGCTGGAGAGCGAACCCAAAGAGCTGTCTCCACGGTGCACTGGTCGTGCATCCACGCGGACGCGCCGGTTCCCTTCTTGATACTCAGGCGGTAATATGTTGGCCCGTCTCTTCCGAACCACTGCGAGATACTCCAGCTCCTCACTTGACCGCTTGGCAGCCGTACAGTAAGAAATTGTCCAGGCAGATAATGTGCAAGTGCTTCACTATCCAAGGGGCGGATGTAGAACGATTTGACACTCCCACCTTCATCCACGATCTGGTATGGTCGAAACTCACGCCACCCTTTCCACGCATTCTTTCCGACGTTGACTTTATCGTCTATGTTGATCAACTTGCGTTCTATGAAGAATCGATTGAGTCGGAGCAGACCAGCATGGTTCGCTAACAAATTCAGAGTATCTCGTGTTGTAAGTGAAGCATCAAAGGCCAACTTGCTGATTATGGCCACGTCCATTGGATCGCCAGAGGAGCTTTCTAGAACCGCCACGTCTCCCGGATGCACTCGGCCACCTTGTAGAACCCGTAGATAGATTCCAACACGACCCGAGTCAGCCAGTGGCTTTAGCCAAGAGTCGGGTTGTCCACATCGCCAGGACAACTTCATACACGGTATTCGGGAGCCACAAACCTGGAGTCGTACCGAGGGTCCAACTCGCCAGATGTCTCCGAGATGGAAGTCGCGTTCCGTAAGTGACGCTTCTGTGCAACGAAAGGTGATATTCTCTCCCCAATGGCACCAATCCCACGATGACCGGTCCACATTCAACTCCGAACACCAGTGATCATAATTTTCCGCCAAACAAACATATACCGGCCCGTCGTGCGCAGCTGTCGCATTATCTATGACCCCTGCTTCGTCAAGCTCGATGTAGTCTGTGACGGAAGCCAATGGTGTGTGTATAATACTGGTCTTGATTTTCAACCCGCGAACATCTTGCTCGGTCGGGAATGAATGGCTGACGGCAAGGACCTCCATGGGATCCCTAGAATTTTTTGGATGCAAAGGCTTATGAATTCAGCCGCTGATGAAAGTCCTCAACATCTCAGAACCCAAAAGAAGGTGACCTTGGCAGACCGAACATCCTCAAAAGCTTTTCTTTCCTGGTCGCGAAACCTTAGGGTTACCTCCTTCCGGTAAATTGAGTCGGACCCGAAGTTCGGTGTTGCAACTTAGTGAACCTTCCCCGGTGCTACACTGTTGCTGCATGGTTCAAAGTGAGGCACAGCAGTCGTGGATCAGGCGTGAATTTGCCGACCGATAAGGCCGAAGTTCGACGGATACTCCGCGGTCCATGGCATCAAGGTGGAATGGTCGGATCAGAACCAAGCAACATCGTTTTTTAGGCCCTGCTTCCCCGTGGGGATCTCGGCTACACTTACTTGGCCGTTAGCTTGATTGACAGCATGCATTTTCAACACGAGTTTGCATTTCTCAATCTCGATATCAAGTCCAGAATTTCGTCGATAAATTGTCTGTGTACAAGAAGAAGGGCGCTTTTCCTGCCTGAGTACCCTACTTCTTGATTCATATTGATTGAGGCATCGGCGGGTGATGATGAGTGACAGACATACAGCCACCGCTCAACGTCGAGACCCATGGACTATGGAGGGTTGATGCAGCTCGTCGAACTCTCGGCATAACGGCTCTTGTTGCGACCAAGTTCTGTGTGTTGGTCGTAGGTTCTGTCACATGGCATTAGTAAACGCACATGCGGGCATTCCGAATCGCCCGAATGTCCCCCTCGCAGTTCTGTCCTTAGTTTACCTCTAGCTCCTCACCATTCCCAAGAACACCCTTTGGCGCTAAACAGGTTCTCGACCTACTCCAAACCCGCTTAGTGGGGTGTCGGCAGTCTTGACGCCATCGAAGGACGTTTGGGATGTCCCGCCACGGGTCTTAAATTGTGCCGAGGGGCCTGCTCAAGATACGAGACTCGTTCATCAGGAGAGGCTTGCGTGATTTTGACTCTCGCGCATTCTCCTCTCGCAACCTTCGACACTGCAAATCATCTGCTATCACCATTCTGATCGATAATGCTGTTCTTCAACCGTGGCGTCTCATTTAATCCGAAAACGGACATCCCATCCCTCGAAGGCAAAGTGATCCTCGTGACAGGCGGGAACAGCGGGCTTGGGAAGCAGTCCGTCCTCGAATTTGCTCGACACGAGCCGGCACAGATATGGCTCGCCGCACGCGATTCAGATAAGGCCAAGACTGCCATCGATGATGTCAGGAAAGAAGTTCCAAATGCCAATATCAAGCATATCGAGCTGGATCTCACGTCTCTCGATTCAGTCAGGAATGCCGCCAAGACCTTGTTAGAACAGTCTGACCGCCTCGATCTCTTGTGTAGGGTTTCCGCGTCAATCACTTTGCTTGGTTTGATGAGCAATTCGGGATTTAGCTGACTAACCAGAAACAGTGCTGAATGCGGGCATCATGGCGTCTCCTCCAGGTCTGACACAAGATGGGCTAGAGCTTCAATTTGGCGTCAATCATGTTGCGCATGCATTATTGACCAAACTGCTAATGCCTCTATTGCTCAAGACGGCCGAGGCCCCCAATGCGGATGTTCGCGTAATTGTCCTGTCATCGGTGGGACACAACATGAGTCCTAAGGAGGGCATTCAATTCGAGAACGTGCACACAAAGTGCGACAACGTGCAGACCTGGACACGATACGGCCAGAGTAAGCTTGCCAATGCGCTGTTCGCGCGCGAATTGGCGAAGCGATATCCTCAGCTCAAAACAGCTGCTGTCCATCCGGGAGCTGTCAACACCAACCTGGGTCGGTATTTGAAAGAAAGCTATCCTTTCCTCAGCTTCCTGCAGCCACTCGCGGACCTGCTCCTCACAAGCATCGAGAGCGGGACCAAGAACCAGCTGTGGGCGTCGGTTTCGAAGGATGTTGTGAGCGGTGAGTATTACACGCCTGTTGGCGTGCACGGCAATGCGAGCCCCCAGGCGAGGGACGATGCACTGGCGCGGAAGCTTTGGGAGTGGACAGAAGAGGAGCTCAAGGCTTATGAGGTCTAGATGAGATGAGACACTCGGACTTTCAATCGTTTCTCTTTGTTGTAACCCGGCAAGCGGTACGCAATATGTTTCCTAGTTAACTTCTGTCGTCATGTATCTGGGTAGGTAGCCCCTAAACAAGATCGTGGAGCCTCTTGAATCCTTCCCGCAGCGCTGGGTCGGCATGGCCCGGAGGGTTGTCAGCACCTTAATTCGACCAGGATTTTCCAGCGTGCTACAGCATGGTCCCCCCCACTACATCGGTACTTTAGTTGTGACGTAAGGTACCTAGGTAGTTCCGCACTACTTTAGGTCAATCGTGTATGTACTGTAAGGGGCGCCAAAAGAATCCCTCCAAATCCTATGAAGCTCGTACTGAGCACAGCCATGATCCCAAAGAGGCATTGCCAGGGCCTTACCAGCCCCAAGTAGACATTCCCATCGAAGATGAGCGTCGTTGATTCCAGTAGTCGATTTTTCTCTGATCCCAATCACTTAATGCTTCAAGCCGCTTCCTTGCAGGTAGACACAAGCGAATCGAATTAGCCAGATTATGGCAACGTATGATTCTGGTCAACGAAGCGTAGGTCTCCCAGCAGTCACGTTTTCAATTAACGATTCACGGAAACTGCCAAGGAACCAGAAAATCGTTCAAATCAAATTTATCGGGGGGTATCTCATGTCTAATAGTCTTCTACAGCTTCTCCGCTCGGATCCGGAGTCCATCCTTGGCCTTCAGAGCTGTTCCTTTTTGTATCTGTGGCTGATATCCTGGCTCTATCTCTTCAAACCGAAAATGTGCCACCAAGACACTGACCATGACTTTCAAGTTAAGGATGGCCAGTTCCTTCCCAATGCATACTCTTGGACCGTTAGAAAACGACATGAATGCCTGCGATGCTTTTGCTCCGCCACTATAAGCTTGTTCCCAGCGCTCGACTCGAAACTCATGCGCATCCTCGCCCCAGAACTCTGGAGACCTATTAATAGCATAGGGGCTGATGATGAAAGACGTGCCTCGCGGGACATGAAGATCCCCGATTGTTACGTCTTTTGTCGCTTCCCGCATCATGGACGGAAACACAGGATAATACCGCAGAACTTCCATCACAAAACACCGGAGGTAGGTGAGTGAGTTCACCTCTTCTCTTGACGGAGCATGATCTCCTAAAGAGCCAACTTGACTCAAGATCTCGGAACGTAGGCGTTGTTGTATCTGTGGGCGCCGTGCGAGCTCAAACAGAGCCCACGACAAGGTGATTGCAGTCGACTCGTGGCCAGCCGCCAGAAATGTGAGTAGATGGTCCACGAGCTCTCGCTCATCTTCAACTCCTGAGGCAATAATCGCAGAGAGCACGTCTAAAGAGATAGATTAGCATAATCTGCAACAAAATCAGAATTTCACCAGATATCTTACCTTCTCTTTTCCATTCATGCTCTGGGGCTTCAAGCATTTGTAATTTTCTGTCTCTCACTTGATCGGTGCAATAATTCCTCAGCATAGCTGTTCCCCAATTGAAATCTCGGACCCGTCGTAAGGGAAAGTTGAACAAGGTGCACGGTGGTATAAAAACTGGTAGAATATTCCAAAATACCGTATCAAACCAGGTATCCTCGTCGTATAAAGGGAGGACAGCTTGGAACGCTTTCAAAATGGGTTGATCTGGTTTTCGTTGGCAATCGAAGTCCACGCCTAACAGAGAAACCCCGATGACATCAAGCGTTGCTGATAATGCTAGACTTTGTATATCAATGACTACACCTCCCGCGGCGTTCACTGGGCTTATTTGATTGATCTTATCGCACAATATGCTTGCTTTGCTCCACATCTGTGGTACAAGTCTCCGATTTCGTTCGAGACCAAATATTGGTACGAGGAGTCTTCTCTGCTTCTGTGATTGATTAGAACTACATGCACGATATCTTAGAAATTCTGCAATGTGTGCTTACACGATGAACAACGCCTTCTGTGGACACAACACCGTGCCCCAGAGTTGCGATGAAGCCCTCTCGAACCGCAGCTGTCTTTGGAAATGTACCTGGGTCGTTCATGATTGCTGATAGAGCTCTAGAGTTCATGGGGACGAGATAGTCTGACGGTCCCATGAAGATACGATAGAAGCCACTGCGGCTTGTGGTGACAATTTGTTGCCACCTGACAAGTGGAAACCCCCATGGCTCTTGAAGAAACTGGACGAGATGACCAAGAAATCCTCGATCGCTCTGATTATGCTGAATTAGCATTTGAATGGCTTCAACTGTGCATACGCAACGTAAACATACTTTCGGAAAAGGCAAATCTCGAAAGGGCGAAACACAAAAACGGTATATCGTGCATCGATAGATGAGGCTAGAGAAAAGTATTGCAAGGACCAGTACGGCTAGCCCTAGGCTGGCTTGACAGGCTGGGATCTCAAGCCTCTTGCTATACAGCCCAAACAAGACACGGCTCGGAAGAAGAAGCTCGACAGACATTTTCACTACTTGCCTCTCATATCAATGCTAGCTGATAGAAGATCCACAGGAACCCGGCCAATTCCAGAAATCTGGCTACAGGGCGTTTATAGCAAACGCTCTAAGCGGTAGCCTGTTCGATTCTTATCTGGAGGAGTGTCTAGAGCTACAACAAGCCGGAGAACTTGCATGAAACTATCACGTCTGTGGGCTCTTTCATTGCATATCTTGTGGCGTCGCGCATGTCGTCTACGCATCCTGTTTGGTACATCCTCATCTTGCCGGATACGCGCCGAGATTGGATTTCTAACTATAACACCTATCTCCACTTGGCGTCGGTTCAATTGTTGAAGCCTAGCCATTTCTAAGACCAGCTAGACTACCTGAGACTGATCGCAGCGTCGCATAGCTCTACACGTGTAGAGTGGCAAAGCGGAGTTACTAGAGGCCATGTCGAATCCGCGCTCTGAAAATCGCATCCCATAGGATATAATGGAAGCATTCATCTGCTATTTACGCGCATCAAAATACCATAGGTAGAAAATGCCGCGACTTGGTGGCTTGCGCGATCGCCATCGTCGGACCCCGACTAATCCTTCGTCCCAGCTGCTGCATGTCAGTACGAAATACCACATCGGTTGTTTTCAGGCTGCAGCTCGTGCCGTTACGGCCTTGTGGTAGGCGGAAGGATCCATCTTGAGGCATGGCCTTGCATACCGACGTGGCTAGAACTCTTTTCGACCCCACCGACACACCTTTTAATATCTCCTTCCGAGAGCTCGGATCTACCAGAGAAGCTAGCACTTCTGTCTCCGATAAAGAATGTTCAATGAACAGCTCCAAGCTCAGAGCATTCCAGCATTGAATATGCTAAGTGAGCAATTGCTACGGCACTGGATGATCTGGAGTCCTGGATTTCAAATTCGCATGGCACAAGATGTCATGTCGGTAGATAGATCCATGTAAGGCACAGGATGACAGCTTAGAAGGATCCTTAGTTTCTGTCGGAGGATTGATCCTTCGCGTTGCTATTGTGTAAATGCGCCACGAGGCTCCAGAGCTGAAGTACGATTCCGTGGGTCCCAAACAATCGGACACGAAGTTAATTTCAGCTGAGATTTCTCGGCTCTTGCAGCTGCCGTTGTAACGGTATGCACATGCTTTAGTAATAAAAGGGGCGACGCGCTCTCAAGCGATGCCGCCTACTCGGACTTGAGCTTGGCGGACCTCGGACTCGTTATCGAGCACAGGAGAGTCGAGACTAAATCGTACGAGAACAACATGCATCTCGCTTGCTTGCAGATTATAATCTCATAACAAAAGTTTCTACTTTTTCAAGATGACATGAAGTTCCATGTGGAGACAACGTCGCCAAGCAATGTGAATAACTTGTATTAAAATCTCCGTGACCACATTGTCAGATCACCACAGGACCCCTTTGGTCTGTTCCCTTTCGCTGAGGCGATGATTCTTCATCATGAGGACCCAGACGATGGGCCCAGCTAGAGCAGATAGCGATGCTATAAGCAGAATTTTTTGGGTTTCTCCATAAGCCTTCACGATCGCGTCTCGTTCTGGAGTGCCCCAGGGGTAACTCAACTGAACAGGCAGGCTGCCGTAAATCTCTGTAGCATTGGCTTTCAGGTCGTCTGGCAAATATTCCGCAAGCTTTTGCGGCATTAAGTTCGTCCATATTGCTCCGCTAATGGAACCTCCAATTGACCCGCCGACACTGGTGACTAGACTGAGTAGTGCAATCCCTACGGCGACATCGCGATGCGGCACTGAAGCCATCACTGCAATAGATTGGACCATCACCAGCGTACCCCCTGCTAGCGATCCAAATACCTCGCACATGATGACCAGTCCAATATGTGTGCCAGGCATACGGAATTTGATCATGAGACTAGTCATGAGAATTTGCAGTGGAACCATGATCATTCCCAACTACTAGAGGAATAATGTCAGTACCGTCTTTACTTTTATAACAAGGACTTAGACAAAGTTGGAAGCGCAAGAGAGATATTCCTCTTGCTTAGATATTACAGATGATTGATCTCCGAATATACTTGTCACTACAACCGTTATGTACTTACTTTGTAGCGATCCGTAATGCGCATCAAGCTGGCGAGTGTTAGCACTCCTGGGAACTGTTGAATAAGTAGGACGAAAGGAGATACGCACAATCCCACGACAACTCCCCAACCACAGGATACAATGTTGAAAATGTTGAGTATGTAGCCCGCTTTCGATACACTGATATCATACACCACCTGAAGGTAAGATGAGAACTGTAATTTATAGCAGCTGTAACGCATTGGATCAGAATCCGAGGCTGACGAGACGAACATCGAAGAGAGGTGACGGGGCTTACTAGAAACTGATCCACATGTTTCCTCCTAGCAGACACGCAGCTAAGACTGTTCTGTTTTTGAACAGCTCAAACGGCACAAATGACTTGGGAGTAAGATGCTTCCCGTAGAAAGGGAACAAGACCAAGAGGATTGCACCCAGTAGTATCATCGCAATCACTCTTGGCTCTCGCCACTTGTGTTCTTGATAGCCAG